TATTCATAAAATATGATATTCGAAGAGCTATAATAAAGAAGATATATTACACATTTCTTTTTTTTCTCTTTTTTACTGAAGGAATTTTTATATTTCTGAAAAATGGATTTGTTTCTGTTACTTTCTGAGAAATTTATTTTAATTACATTTAAATATTTCTTTATTTTTCTAAGTGTTCATAAAAAAACCCTTTGAGCATTTTAGGTTCTAAAATTATAATTTGTAAGCAAATACACTTGACTATCAAATAGATTTTTTTAGCATTTTGAAAATTAATAATAAAAAAAATTGATTGTAGGCGAAAAATTTGTTCATTTTTCAGAAATCTAAGCAAAATCCCTCAGATTGAAAAAGTAGGAAAATTATATTATTAATACATATTTTTTACTTTGCTAGGTTTGAACAATTAGTTCAGTCTTCTTTTGCTAATAACTATAGAATTTTTCTTGAATAAAAAACTTAACTTTTATCAAAAGGTGCATAATATTTTAGGGTATGGGAACTGCTAGATAAATTTTAATTTTTATCTTATCATACCTTTTTTCTCTCTAATTTAATTGGTGAAAATTATCACTTTTATCACTAAACCTGGGAATCTTTTATCTTCTGTTTCTATTCAATGATATTAATGATAATAAATACCTGATTGTTTTTAAAATAATGTATAAACAATTTATTTAAAGAACATATTTTTAAAACAGGAAATCATGTTTAAATAATCTCAATTAGCATTTTTCTGCATATAAAAACAACAGTATTAAATGACCAATATATTAACCAAATTTCAAATAAATTAATTCATTAATATCCAGTCAAATGCATAAAAATGTGTGAATGTTTCTTGTTCTTTCTACTTTCTCCATATTAGCATTATTACTATATTGAATTTTAGTATTTTAAAAACTTAGATAATTTTTTTTTTGAAATAAATTTACTGCTATGTAATTAAAAGTTAATACAAGTACTGACTTGTCCTTAATAATGGAATCCAGATATATGTATTCATTTATACAATCAGAATATGTCTTTTTCCCACTCTAATTAAATAAGCTAGTGTACTTGTGGTATTTATAATGACTCTGAAATTCTTTTTTTCAACTGTCAGACTGTCAATATTGCAGATGGTGTGCAACTGTCAGGCTGTCAATATTATTGATCAACAATGCTTCTACATTGATTGTAAGGGTGCCCTAATTTTATGAGATAAGGACTTGAATACTTATGTTGGTTTTAAAAACCATCTGTTAAGTTTATTAGGTTGTTGTGCATGAAATTTTAAAAGAATTTTTTCTTGTGACTCATATATAATATTAAAATAAAAATTAAGCTATCTCATTTTAATAGAAAGACAATAAGTCATATTTCATCAGCAGCTGTGCTTTGAAACTGTAATATTTATTAATTTAATGAAACCATTATGATTTATTATGCATTTCACTAAAAGAATGTTTTGATATTACTAACATATTTTACACTTGTCTTGACATTAGTCAGCTAGTCCACATGCTATATGCATCAGAAACAAAATCATCAATTCCAAGTATAGGTAATATTTATGCCACCTGTCTTATAAATATAATTATTGTGGTAGTTTTTTTTTCTTCATAAAAATTTCAAGGTTTTATTTCATGATTTAGGATCGCATAATATATTAAGTTCCACATTCAATGAATATTCATGATCAGATTCAGTATAATTTCTGAAAAAATAACTGAAGAGTCTTAGGAGTAAATCTCTATTTACTTTCACATTCAATGTGTTGCATAATTATATACATTTTTCGAATAATTAATTTTTGAATAATTATTTACCTTTAATGAGAAAGATTATCAGTGCCAAATTGTTAATATTTCTCTAAACTGTTGCAGAGTAAATTGATCAATGTTCCTTTTTATTAAATTTAAAATGCAAGATTTTTCGCACAAAAATATTTATTTTTATTTTAATATTTTTTACTTTTGCATTTTTATTAATAATCAAGAATTTTGGTTTCATGTAAAGTAAAAATAGAAACTATGGGCCATGGTAGCCCAAGGTTAGAGCATCAAACACTTCGATCCAGAAAAGCAGAGTGCAATCCTCGATATTGCTAAGACTCACCTGGTTTATGTGGCATGCATTCACGCAAAATTAATGAAATCAAAAGGCCTGTAGTCAATCGTTGAACAGAGCAATAGATATAGGGATATCAAGAAAATTTCTATCCCCTTCAGATCTATGTCTGAATTGTGGAAGTAACCTCTCAAATAAACGGGGCGCCTTCTATTTGGATGGTTTTTTACGACAATGCTCTTTCACTTTGAGGTGCTCTCTTATCAAACAGAAGGCGCTCTTCCCTGACTTAATTTGGAAGTTCAATGGCTTGCAAACTTGGATTCTCCAAGTGCCACTGGAAACTACGACAACAGAAATACAAACTTCATTCCTATAAAACTTTGATATATTAGTTCTAAAAATACCTATTAAGAAGCATTCTATTAAGATCTATTAAGAAGCATTCATTTTACAATGGCAAAATAGGTACAAATAATCAACTTTTTAAATGAATATTTCTTGGTTATTATAAAATATACCTAAAAGAAGAAGATAATTTGTATTTAAATAACAGATTTAACCACTTTTCTTCAGGAATTAATTTTAAAAGAAGCGCATTTTACAATTTCAAAATATGATTTAAGCTTATAAATAATGATTTTAAAGTTTGTACAAATTGAAAACTGAATGCTATTGAAAATTCTATACACATAATATTTTTATCCCTTTTTAAAAAGAGTATATCTTTTTAGTGTGTTCTGAAGAATCATTTAGTAATCATATTTATTACATATACATATTTATACATATTTTTTTTCCCCTTCAGTTCTGAACTATTTAGTAGAATGTATTTTGAAATTTATATTTTTAAATGGACTATTTATTTTCTTTTTATTAAAATGTAACATTTTTATTATAAAATGTAGCTTTTATACAGAGAAAATCTATATCATACTTAATGTACTCTTAATATTGTAAGTAAAATATGAAATAGTTTTAAATAAAAGACTTGTGATTTGTAACTGATTTATTTATTTTTAAACAGGTTCACTTTGTTTTGATTCTTTGATTTAATCATTATTTTTTTTATTTACATTTCATTTTAATAATAATTTACATTTGGAGAAGAACTATTTGATATATAATATACATTAATATCTGCTTGTTAATGTTATTGTAAAGGTTTCATTTTATCTGTAATATGACCTTGGTTCCATGGCTATGATAAGATAATGAATAACTTTTGTCTTTGTCAGATTAAATGCATTGTTAAAAAATTTTATTAATAAAAAGCAAAGACAAATGAGATGACATGAGTCTTTTGTCATTTGATAAAGAAATATCATTTTGAACTTCAAATTTACACTGTTAGCTTCTGTTGATTGAATTACTTGTACGATCTCAACATGAGTTTTGCCGAATACGAGGATGTAGATTTGGTATTAATATAATAATTCTAACTAATTAATCATATTTGGAGTATTTATTAATATCATAACCTTGTTAAAGTTTCAAATTTTTTAAAAAATTCAAATTACCAAGGACAAATTAAGTTTTTCTAAAATTGAAAAGGAAGTTAAAATTGTTAATAAAAATTCTTTTTTTTATTATTAAGAATAGGCTGTTTGTGTGGTTTAAAATTTTAATCACTTTTTGAAAGAGGATTTTATTTTCATTAAAAACATTTAATGTTACTGTCTTAAAGTTTAATATTTATGTTTACATTATGCCAAATCCTATTTTAGTTTTCTACAATATTGTTGCTTTTCTAAAAATGCACTTTTTGTTTAAAATGTTTTTATTTTTTCAAAGTTTGAAGGTCTGTAGTCAAGTTAAATTTTTATATTTGCTTAAATATGTAAATTAATGTGTCCTGTATCCACCTTAGGGAAATGTGAATTTTTCAAAGCAATTTTTTTTCATTTATTGATGAATATATTGTCTTAATTGTTTGCTTATTTTTTAGTATTTTTGTCTATTTCTCTCCACTAATTGTGTTCATATAGTTTTGTTTATGTAATACAATTAACAAATTTATTTTAGACAACTTATTTCTTAGCTTCCATTAATAAAATAGTTGACTTGATTGCTTGCTTCGACATGCTTGCCAAAATATGATCAAAAACTAAAGAAAAGAAAATGTTATTACAATTTATTTTTTTAAATCATCTACTATGAATTTGAAACTTATAATCAATGTTTCTCTTCAATAAATCAAATAATTTAAGGTGCATTTTTTCATGCTCATTAGTACTTATTTCAATCCCTACGTGCGTCTGGTAAAATTAAGTTTATAAATTTAACTGAAATTGATATAAATTATAATTGTTTTTTCTTTTCTTTTTTTAGCTACTTAGGTTAAATTTAAATTTCAGTTCATTTGAAATATTTGTAAAAAATTACAGAAAATTTCTAATTACTCTATTTAAGTTAGAAGAATAGAATTCAATAATTGAAAATATGTATATGTAAATAGATATATAAATAATTGAAATTCTTATAGTTATTTAAATTTATGTTTTAGTACTTTGATGTTTCTCTAAAAACTCGTTAAAATGGTTAAAATGTTCATTTGATTAAAATGACACTGATCCCGTTATGTACAGGATTAGTCTATATGATTCATTGGATTTCAAAGGACTTTATATTCATAAAGAAGGGTGATACATGTGAATACATACGTAACACTCACCAAAATGTCTGGAACATTCTATAAATGTTCAATGTTTGTGCCCTTTGCTTCTTGGTATTCATTTAATTCTTGTAATTGATAATTTGTTTTTACAAATGACGGTTTTATCCCGTTTTTTCTTACTATATGGCTGAAGGACATATTTCTAGATTAAAAGCATATTCACATCTGAATATTTAATTGTTAGAAATCGATTGTTGTTCTGATCTCTGCTTTATTTTTGATAACATTTAGAATAATTTAAGCTTTGATAACACAGGTAATTCTTTTACAGGTTACTAACAGTCCTCCCCCACCTTCGGTGCCTCCTCCTCCTCCACCAGAAGATTCTCATTTGAATACCTACCCAAATACAGTCTTACCTGCAAATGATGCCGTTGATGATTGGGATGATGACTGGGATGATGATGATTCTGTATATAGTCAGGTTTATGGTTATCTATTTTAATGAGCAATGCACATGTATATCTGCTAACTTGTGGAATTAGGCTTTATAACAATGTAGAATTACAAACTTTTAATAAAGCTGGAAGGTATTACCATGGAAGTTTAAAATAATGTTTCTAGATAATTTTTTTTTATTGAAAAGATAAATTTGAACAGTTCTTACAATAAGCATTAAATAATAATTGTATTTTATAACAAAACTAAGCATTCTTTGCTGCTGTCAGACAAATATTATGTATTCAATCTTAGAGCAAAACAAGCAAAAGTTTATATTTATCAATTTATAAAGATTGGAGCTGTTATTTATTTTCTGATTTTTCAAGGCTTCTCATAAATTCATTTTCATAAGATTCTGATGTGAAACAGTTAAATTTGAATTCAGCTATTTTATATCATGCTGAGCTTCATAAACAAATGCCTAATTTTCAAATTTTTTGTTCCAGTTTCAAAATTTAACTGTTAGCAGATATAAATGTAGTTTTGCATTATCATGAATGCACACTGTTAATAATTTCAGGAAAAAGTTTAATACTTACAAGAAAAGTACATACGTACCTCAAATTGCTGTTGAAACCGAGTTAATCTTAAAGTGAATAGCATGTTAGAAAACCTTGGATAGGGTACAAATTAGCCGCCTATAGGGTAAAATATGTCCCATCAAAATTTCAGTTCATCTTCCCAAGTTTTATTTTATCATGGTGCAATGGCTAAGCTGTCTTGACTTCAAATCCTAGCTGGAACAGTTAAATTTTATCTCTAATTTTCTTTTTCAAAAAAGGTTGATAACCATCTGATATTTTATTCATTTTATAAACTATTATTTTTAAATTTAAATGAATTTTTAAATTTTTTTTTGAAGTTGAAACATATTTATTCTTTGTTTAATTTGAATTTCAAATTACAATATTTTTAAAATTCTCTATTTTAATTTAAAAATAAAAATAAAATATCTATTAATTTATTTGTTTTGAAAAATTTAAATCTTTAAAAAAATTAGTTTAAATTAAAAAGTAATAATTTTTAAATTGAATAAAACATATTAAATAGCTACCAACCTATTTTAGTAAAGAAAGTTAGAGATAAAATTCAATTGTCCCAGTTGGGATTTGATTTCGGGACCTCTTTGGTAGAAGATTGGTAGCCAAACTGTTAAACCATGATTACAAATAAGTTGGGAAGCTTTTGTTCGTTTAAAATTAAATGAACTTAAACTTTAATGAGGTATTTTTACCCTAGGGGCAGATTAGGCAGTTAATATGTATCTTATTCAAGGTTTTCAAACATGACCTTTCATTTAAACTTAACTTTGTTTTAATGTAAATTTTTGAGATGTGTATTTCCCTTGTTAGAATTAAATAATGCATTGTTAGCTATCTTAATTGTTCTCAAACTTAAATATAATTAAATGCGTTTTGAAACTATTTTTAATATACAGTATTACTAATATGATACAAACAGACAAGTAATATGATAATGCACAATTTTTGTTCTTTTTTTTAAATTTATTAACTGTGTAAGATTTTAGAAGTAGTTATCAGCAGATATTAGAAAATAAGGTCAAGTAGCCACGGTATTGTTCAAGAATCATAGTAGCCAGTTCCAAAATTTTTATCTTATTTGTTTTAAAATCTGGAATTTTAGTTTTTTTTTTTTGCTGATTATGTCTTCAATATTAATCTAAAAAATTTGTTTAATTTCAATTTTCTTTAGCGTTAGATAGCTCAAGTAAATTAAAGTTAAACTATGCTCTATAGCTAATCATTAATCTCATAGACTGTAAATCAAAAATGTATTTAATTTTGTTTCAACTTAATATCAAACAACTAATTGCTTAATGAAAATGCTCCTAAATTTTTAATACAACTATTGGAACATTTTTTTTAAGAGGCTGCTCTTCTCTCAAACGAACTCAACTGTCAAAGGGTTGGTGACGAGTAGAAATTTTTTTAAATATGCTCTTCCTCTTTATTTTATTTTCACAAATAGTCTGGTATTTACTTTATTCAGCAGTGCCTTTCAATGCATGTAAAGTACAGGGCTGTCACCCAATCCGAATTAGAGGTATAAAGTGTACGGTATTTTAGATTTTTTTTCTGACAAAATTGTGCCAATACTGTTCTGCATTTAGCAACTTTCTAAAGGTAGTTAAATAGTATACGATTGTTTGTTTTGAGATTTTTGAAAAACGTCTTTGTGCAATTTACGTTATAAGAGTTTTTTAGCATCATCCAAATCAGTTTAAACTGTAATAAACTTAAAATAAAAAAATAAATACTGAAAAATATGTAGTTTTAAATTACTTAATAAAAACAACAAATTGCGTATTTTTATTGCTTTAGAGATTTAAGGTAAATTACATAGAAGTTCCTATAAATTAGTATGCGCTAGTTCTCCTAATTTAATAAACTGATCCCTTTATTTTACACTTTTTTTTCTTTTAACGGAATATGCTGTTGTACAATACTATATCTGCAAAAGTAATTAAATATATGAAAAATCACAGGATCAAAAATATAAAAAAATTTACCTAAAATCATAAATGGAGAGGGTAGAAACGTTTTTAGCTATACTTCATTTTTATAGTTAAGTGTTAAAATTCAATGTTTGTAATCATTGAAAATGTTGAAATGTAACAGTCTACGGTTAAGGTGAACTTAGGACGTTAGTTTTAGTTAATATTTATTATTGTTTTTCTCATAAAATAATATTAAATATGCGTGAGCAAAATTTTATTTTAATTTTTTTTTACTCTCAAAAATAATTAATTTGCATTCATTTCCCATAAATTAGTTTATATCTTGCTAATTCATTAATTTTCTAACACTGTATTATGTTTATCATTAAACCAAACATTTGTTTGGCTTATAACAGAGCTTATACATGAGCTAGTTTTATTGCTAGCTGGCTTTATAGCTTTTTTTTTTTTTAAACTATCCTACTGTTATAAAATGTAAGTAGTTTTAATATTTTGTGAATATTTAACATTAGGAAACTCAAGGTGGTGCCCAAAATCAAGCTACTAATGCATCAATAGTCATTTCTAGGGAATCAAGAGATTCCTTGAAACCATCAGATAATAGAAGTATTTTAAAGAAAAGTTTTAATAGGTAATTATTTTTTGTTTAAATTTTTTTTTACCTCATTCTATGAATATTTTTTAAAAATTTTAATACAATTTGAAATTTGAATGTTTCATTTAAAAGTATTTTATACAATTTTTATTGAAAAGCAATAACAATCTATTATTTTTTTAAGGTTTTCTACTTTTGTTAAATCTGGAGGTGAGAGCTATATTTTAGGTGAAACCAATCTCACAGTCCCAACTGAACAATGTGTTACTATCATCGTAAGTTAATTACTTTTGCTTCTTTTAAAGTGTTATGTCTATTAATTTGATTGTACTGAACAACATGAAATATTTCCATTAGATGAAAATGTGTTTTGTGTAGTTTTGTTTGAAAATTAGGAAAATGTAATTTTTTTTTCATTTACTACGTACTATTTTTCCAAACTTCTGCATTTTAGCCCGGTGACTTTGCATATTTTAGCAACACAAAATGGTAGTTTACAGACAAAGAAAAGGATCTCTCATTGCAGAGGGACCATTTCTAACTTCGCAACTATTTTTGCAACATTTCAGGCCACAAAACCTTCATCTACCTTCTCACAGTTTAGAAGCTCTTGGTGCATTAGGAAGCAAGATATTCAAAGTTTAGCAACCTTTCTGCTATAAAAATGAGGGTGGACCATTTTGGTTTTGACATAAAAACCAAGCACATTTTGTCTGTACAGAATCACACTGTAAAAACGGGGTAAAAAACCGAAAATAAAAAGGTTTAATTTTGTTGTACAGTGTTATTTTGTATTTTATTTTTAGTTTTATATAATGTGAGGCATGTCAATCTTAATACCTTTTGAGGTATTTCAAGATATTTGATAGCTGCCATGCTAGCATTCCTCTTGTTGTACCATAAGCAGTTGTGAGATTAAGAAAAGATGATATTAATGCTAAATTCTCTTGTCTTCTTTATAATCTGTCAGAATTTACTACATTTTGGAATTAATTTAATTGTCTTTCTTAATTGTTAAAAAATTCAAATGTTTCCCTATTCATGTTTTTTTTTCTCCAGGAGAATAATGGTGAAATAGTTTGGTTGGAAAGCATGTCTCCTTACACTGTCATTGTTGATTCTCCCAACAAAAAAAGCAAATTGAAAGGTCTGAAAAGTTTCATAGCTTATCAACTAATTCCTTCTGTAAGTAAATATTAAACAACTTGTGTATATTTATCTTTATTTTTTAACAAAGAGTGTCTGTACAATCAAAATTTTAACAAATTGAATAATTTTTCTGAGCCAAAAATATTTGTTTACTTTTTTTGATATTTTATAATTTTTAATCAATTAGTCACTAATTTATTTTAAGAATTTTTTGATTAAAAAAATTATAAATCGTAATTTGTATAGCTTTTTTAAAATTTTTTTTAGTTGTATTTATTATTATAAAAACTTAGACAAAAGCAAATTTTTTGTCAAAAATCGAATGACTCTTAATAAATGAGTGTTTTAGAGATAAAAAAAGAAATTACTTTTGTGCTATCAAACGCAAACGTCTAGACATGCTTAAACATATTTTCAATAAAAGAGACAAGTATACTTATTCATTATTTTTCCAAACTATTAATCAATTATGCTTAAATTGAAACTTTTTTTTAACGCTTGTAATTTTTCGTTTTTTATTAATCTTAAAATAATTTTTTAAAATTTTGTGTCACTGTCGTTGCTTGTCATTGAGTCTATGCATTTTATGTTGGTAATTTATTATTATCATTTTTTCCCCTAGTTTAATAATATAGCTGTTAGTAGAAGATATAAGCATTTTGATTGGCTGCATGAAAGATTGGAAGAAAAGTTTTCTCTCATACCAATTCCTCCCCTTCCTGATAAACAAATATCAGGTACATTTTATATTAGTTATTTTTGTTTATTATTCATTATACGAGATGTATATTTTTGATGATTATTTCTGTCTCACTTAAAACCTTGTATTTTACCAATTTATTCTTGAATAGTAAATTTCCTGCCTGTGTTACCACTAATGTTCAAAAGCTTTTAATATACTTATTAACTAGCTAATCTGCTGATAAAGTAAGGTAATCTGTTAGAGTGAAGAGTCTTGAGTTTTCTGTAATATGTATTGTGCACGTTAATGGTTTCCATATTTTTAAAGTTCAATAGCTTGTCTGTCTCATTCTATCTACTAATTTGCTGATTATTTGATTGTATTTATTGACTTTCTTCTTTAGATATATACAGTCATCCCCACTTAATCGCATATCGGATAATCGAATAACCCGCTTATACGAATGAAATTTAATGGAACCAAATCATTTTATCTGAAACTAATGTTAAGCTTCCCCGTTTAACCGGATATTTGTTGTCTTTTTGTCCCCGCCTAATTGCATTAAAGGTACTGAAAAAAAGAATTTTTTTTTTTTTTGAGAAATGTTTCACCAGCTAAAATGGAATTTCCGTTTAGCTCAAAATAATAAAATAGCTGTAAAATAGCTCATTAATTGGGAATTTCCCAAGTTTCGAGAATTAGAAAAAATAACTAAGTAAAAGCAAAAAACAGAAATTCTGAATTTATTTGAAACGGATACGCAAGTCATGAAAGTCTTTGTAGAAACTCAAAGAGAAAATTTAATTTTGCTAAATTGACGAATTAAACAGGTATAAAAACAATCTTCAATTATAGACTTTTTAAGAAGGGATCAACTAATATTTTATTACCTATATTTTACTTTTCTCTAACATTGATTTTTTTTTGAACATTTATTTTTATGAAAATTTAAATGACATTTATATTTTGTGATACTAACACAGACAGTTTTAATTATAATTGTTTATTGAACATAAAACTGAATTTATTTGATCGAAACGCTGTAACTATGCATTAAATACCATTAAAAAGTAAAATTTCGCAAAAATTTAGAATTTAAGATTGAATATTGCACTCCTTTTTTAATCAAATAACCCGTTTAATTGCATAGATTTGGCTGGAACCGATGGTATTCCTTTAAGCGGGGTTGACTATATATATAAAAATAATAACAATATGTTAATTTCATTAATGGTAATAATATTTTAAACTCTGGTTTCTTTGTATTATATTTTTCATAAAGTGATTGATGATAAATTCTATTTTCTAATATGTTGATTGTTTGATTGTTAAGATTGCGAAAATTAAATAAATAGCATGTTAATTTTAGCATACAGAAACGTTGCTATTGTTTCAGAAAAATGTTATTTTCCACGATTTCTTAGTTGTTGATGTATAGATTATCTAGGTACAGATAATCTGTACATTGCAGATCACCTAAATTTAAAAAAATAAATTTTTTTTTTTGGCATTTTAATGCATTACCCTTGTTAATCTGCACATTTGCTAAATAATTTCTAGAATGACTAATTTCTATACTTTAGCGGTAACAAATGTAAAAACAGGTTAACTTTAAACAAAAACTGTACATTTTAAATTACATTGATTATTCTAATTGCTGCATTGTTTGTTTTAGCAGAGTGAAAAAAAAATTATTTTTGCCATTTTATTACATTCTTATCAACTGATTTTATTTTGGTAAATATTATGTAAATAAAATAAGGAAGTATGCAAATTTTCAAACTGCTACATTCTGTGCACATCTGGACATTAATATTTGATTTGTATTAATATTATTTCACTCTGATGTTAATGTGCTTCATAGAAGTTTTAGTGTTAATACCAAGTACAATCGATGTCATCTAAAGTCCGATAATAATATATCCAACTATTTCTTAATGGTGTATTAGTTTTAATATGAAGAATTTTCATAATGCTTAGTTGAATAAAACTTTGTTTATTTTTCTTACTACATTTTTCTTCTGAATAAACAGTTTTTTTTCTCTTCAGTTTATTACATCATCTTTATGCATAATATTGATCTGTCATGAAGAGTAACTTCATAAAAGAAAGTCATTTTGAGAAAACATTGTGGAATTTTTCATTTGATTAATTTTCTATTTTTTAGGACGATACGAAAAAGATTTCATTGATCATCGTAAAAATCAGCTTCAAATGTGGGTAAACAGGATTTGTCGTCATCCTGTTCTTTCACAGTGCGAAGTATGGATGCATTTTTTGACCTGTACGGATGAAAAAGTAAGCATCTGATCTAATTCTGTTCTTATGATTTTCGTTGAAAAAAAAAGTACTATTCTTATTTTTATAATGTAATTGCTTTTTTGTTAATTTGCAAATTTTAAGACTTTAGTTATTTTTGTTGATTAGCATATTTCTAGAATTGAAACTTCGAAAAGTTATTTAAAGTAAGGGGAAAAAAAACGAATTTTTTAAACTTTGATGGTGGGAACGTTATGAATAATTTAATTCTATATCAGGGATGTGATTCTTCCGCAGATCGCGGATTTCCACTTTTTTTTTCTTGAGATTTTTCCATTTTCCTGCTAATTTCTGCTGAAATTTTTTTTGTACAAGTTAAAATATTTTATGAGGAATTACTTTTTCCGCAGAGCGAAAGTACTGAAGTCCTCATTTCTCCCTCTGAAGTTAGTCTACGATTTTCAAAGCTAAACAGAAAATTCAAACTACGTCCTGGCAGCTAACCCTTCTGTATATTGACTTATTTTAGCTATTCTCCGCTTTTACGCTCAGAAAATAAAATTTTCTGTGTTTTTATCTGTCCGCTGGATAGCTCGTATTTTCGTAATTCAGACGTGAAAGCAAACGAAAAAAATGGAGTTGGATTTGCTGTGAAAAGATTTATTTGCTCATTCGAATCTTGTAAATTTTTATTTATTATGTCTAAACAAAAGCAATACAAACAAGCCTTTTAGAATTCCCAAGTCCAGACTCTGCAAATATCTCGATTCTTATTCACGAGATTTTAATAGCAACCATTGATTTTCGTATTTTCCTGATTTAAAAGTTGCGCATTGCGATTCTTATTTACGCTATTTAAAAATCGTACATTATGATACTAATTCACGAGATTTAAAAATTCAATATTGCGTTTTGTACTTATGCATTTTAAAAATCGCGATTTTATTATCAAACATCGATTTTCGTATTTACCTGCTTTAAAAGTTGAACGTTGCGATTTTTATTCAGGCGATTTAAATATTGTACATTGCGATTCTTACTTACGAGATTTAAAAATCCAATATCGCNATTTTTAAAATCTCGATTTTATTATCAAATCTCGATTTTCGTATTTACCTGATTTAAAAGTTGAACGTTGCGATTCTTATTCAGGCGATTTAAATATTGTACATTGCGATTCTTACTTACGAGATTTAAAAATCCAATATCCCGATTTGTATTTAGGCGCTTTTAAAATCCTATGTAGCGATTCGTATTAACTAGAGCTTAAAATCCAATGTCGTGATTCGTTTTTGCGGTTGTAATATCAAACATCTATTTTCGTATTTATACGTGCTTTAAAAATTAGACATTGGGATTCGTATTCACACGATTTAAAAATTATGCATTGTGATTTGTATTTATGTGGTCTAAAAATTTCGCATCATGATTTGTATTTTCTCATTTTTTAAATTCGATATAGAGTTTCATATTCTCATGATTTAAAAGCCTCATATCGGGATTCATACTCTCTTAATAATTTAAAATCATGCATGTGATTCATATTCATACAATTTTGAAATTAATCATCGGGATTTATAATCACATGGTTTATAAGCCACACTTCTTTTGTCAAATTTTTGTTGTGTATATATAGATATTTGAATATATTGATTTTCGAATTATTTTTATTCAGAACTTTTTAATATTGGTATGTACACATATTTATGCTTTACAATTTATTTTTGACTTATATCAACTATTATATTTCGTAAAAATCAAGTAATTTAAATAATGCCAACCTTGATTTTTAGCCTCATAATAAATTGATGTATATATATTTATATTTTTGGTGAAACTTTTTTAACATTGACAATTTGTTCACTATTTCTTCTCCTTTTTTTCCCCTCTAAGAGATGGAAGGTTGGGAAAAGAAATGCAGAAAAAGATAAACTAATTGGAGGACCATTTTTTCATGCTATATCAACACCATCCACTCCTTTAGATAATTCAATGGTGTAAGTAGTTTTGTTCTTTTGATATAAAGAATTTTAAAAAAATTTCTCAGTTAATTAGAATTACATGCTTGAAAAAATTGAATTATAGATTTTATCTCATCGTGCAAAATAATTATGCAGATTAATTTTGTGAAATTAAACCTCTCTTGATTATTTATATTCAATCAGTATTATTCAAATATTTTGTTTTTATTCATACTATGGACGTGAGACAAAAGCAATGATGCTAATTTATAAGCAATGATGTAAATTACTTTACAAAGGGTTCAATATATTCACCAATCATATTTTTCTTGTTTGAAAATTGTGTTTTCTCTTTTTTTGAAGTGATGTAAGAGGTGGTTTATTTTAGAGTTAAAACAAGTCCAAGTGGTATTCACATTCTTGATTTTATATTTGCTTAGACGTAACAGTTCTTGGCTGCATGTAAGCAGATTAATGCTGTATGCTTGGAACTTAGTTAAAACTGCAAATTGATCAAATCTTAAATTAATCATTGATCTTAAATTAATCAAAGTCCTATAAAGCACTTTGTTTATAATAATTAAAACTCATGATGTAATTCTGAAAACAGAAGAATAAGGTTTTACAATTTAATTGTATCGTTCTTGCGAAAGAAAATTTCGAAATCTTGAAAAAGCTCTAAAGGACTATCTGAAAATTATGTGTTACCCTAAAAGATGTCATTTGAAAAAATAATTAAATGTACTTTTAACCTTTAGTGTATTATATTAATACTTGCACTTTATTGACTTAAAAAAACTGCATTAGTTTCTATTTTATCAGTTTTTTAAATCTTTTTAACATATAGCATGTTTTTCTCAAAATAAGTCTAGTATTTATGAATTACAAATAAATATTTGCTCCAATTTTTTGTCTTCATATTACAGCAACCTCATGTTATAACGTCTATTTTTGTTTGTACCACAGGGGTCGTTGTATTGAGCATGGACTGTTTATACAAATAATCAGACAGGGAGTTATTATCTTAAAAATATGAAGACCAGGGATTTTGCATCAAGCAGGTGGGATTGGTGTTATTTTGTAGGGACTTGTAGGGGGTTATACTGTGACCTTGAACCTCCTTGCTGACAATTATAACAAATAGAAAAAAAAGACTTATTTTCTTTAAGGAAGTATAACTAATGATACCGAGGAACAACTCATTTGAATGATCTTCATTTTATTCAGATTTATACTTTTCCTCCAATTGAACTGTTGATTGAAAGATTAGTTTGTCATAGTTTTTTTTATTTTCAACATTGTTTATTCTTCTATTTGTATTAGCACAATTTTACTGCATTTTTTGTTAATATGTTATGGTTTAGAATAAAATTTTAATGATTCATTTGCAACTTAATTAGTTTTAATGGCGTTTTCATGCTTTTCTTTCAGAGAAAAACAAATAAATCATTTCAATCTTTGCGTTATGAAAATGGATGATAGTGTGAAACAATTATTTAATGTAGCTATTGAACAGCACAAACGATATGCTGGGCGTGAGTATTTTTTTCAAAATTGCTCTAAATGTATATTGCTTATTTGTAAAAAATTATGATCAGTCTCAGAAATCCTTAATCTTTTTCTTTCATAAATTTTTTTAACTATGAATTATGTAAATGTTGTTAATATTTAGCATTATCTAAAATCCCAAGGTAGTGTTACTGTAATATTGTTGCAGTACAACCTTGAAAATCTGAACTTTAAAAAATTGGAAACTTTCAAAAACAAGCATTCTTTGTGCTAATACTATTGTCTCCTTATGTTCTTATTGTTTAACCTATTTTTTTTATAAGAAAACGTTGGAATTAATGTCAACTTTCTCTATCTGCATACATTTCGATTTATTATGCTCTATGGACCCATCAATAGTTTACGAAGGCAGTTATTTGTCATTGCCTTGTGAATCCAGCACCTGTACTGATGACACCTGAGCATAAATACTTAATTGTTATATAACTTACCCATATGGTGAAATCATAACTTTGGCATCTTTATTGGTTTAGGTAAGATATCTAATTAAGGTATATTTGAGTCTTTTGAAGTTACAGAACTTAAGTGATCAGCGTTCTTTTGGTAAAACAGAATTCATTAGCTATTGTCAACACATAATCATTATTATAATTGTGAACATATAAATCAAAGAAAAACTACAAAAATTTTTAAAAAAAATGTGAAGTAGGAAATTTTTTTATTTTTTTTCTACTAATAGTCTAAAAAAAATAATTTATGTTAGAGAATTGAATTGGTGGAACTGAATTGCCATTTTGTCCTGCTATGAATTTGTTTTTGGTATGAGCATAAGCTGGAAAAACAGTCTCCTATCTGTTAGTCAAGTCAAAGGGAAGCAGATTTACATTGCCTTCTCAGTGACTATGGGATATTAGTCTAAATGTCCCTCAGTAATTCAAGCACATGTTCTCTTAATATTGAGCAAATTGTAATACTCTGACTTTGCCTTGACCAGTAATGACAATACAAACAAGTAGTAATGACAGTCTAGTGATATCTGTACATTCAGAAAAATGCATGTTCTTCCTATCAATGTGGTTTGCTATTTTTTAGTCTATCTACCAATAATTTTATCTTCTATATGGTAAGCTTGTATTTATGTAATTATATCATCGAATAGCATATTGTCGTTGACTGCACTAACATTACCTCACACTCAGAAACCCTAATCTAGATTATATCGAATTACTGTTCCTATACTTTTAAAATTGTTATTAAATTGGTTTTAGAATTTTTTAAAAAGTATAAAATTTAAAATTATTTAAATTGTCTCTTTATTTACATCAGCCAAATTTGTTAATGTTTTATTAACTTTTGTTTTACAGCTGTTAGAAAAGAAATACAGCGGATGGCTGATGCTTTTAAGGAACTTGGGTTAGCATTTCAAATGGATCCCTCTCCTGGTAAAATAGTTCTCCTGAATTTATTTTTTTGTGCTCTCTTGTGCATTGTTTTATTATAAATTATTGAAAAAATGCCTTATTCTATCTTTTTTTTAATTATTTTTTAGTTTCTGAATATTTAACTACTGCTATCAAACACACTGCTGGTGTCTATGAAGACTTAGGGAAAATGTATGAGGAACAGGTAAATATTTTTTTAGGAAATGTTTTTAATTGTTGCTTTATTTATAAATGTTTAGTTTGAATAGGATAAGTGTATCTGAGGATGATTATTGATAAAATTATCAATGTATTGTGATTTATATATTCAATCTAGTATTTAACAAATTCATTTACTTAAAGTTGGCAGGTATTTAATTCTTTTTTGGATTTAAAATTTTCCTTATTTTTATTATTTTTTCTGATTCCTAATTTTTTAAAAATTAATCTTTTATTTTGTTATATTTCTGAGGATATTAAAAAAATTACCACTCTGCTGAAAAATTCCTACACTGCACCACCAATAAAATAAAATATTCTAACTCCTTCTTTTGAAATTCTCTTATACTTGACTCAGCATGTCTTGAACAACCTCAGCTGAATCTCTGAATGGGAAAGATGCAACTTGTGTTCTTATATGAGCATTGTTGTACAGTACCTTGGTCAATTATCAAATGAATCAATTTTTCTTAACATTTAAAGACACAATTAGAGGTATGAATCATTTGAACTGGTTAAAACCGATTTCTTACTTATCAAAATTGAGAATACTTTTGAAAAGCCCCTCTTTTAAGCTGTTACCATTTAAAGCCATTAAAGTTTGCCATTTGCAGACTAAAATTGCCTAGAGTTACACATGTTAAAGCGAAAATTAAAAAAATTTAAGTGTCGAAGATGAAATGAATTAAAATAAAGATAAAATGAATGAAAATAAATATAAACATGAAAAAAATTAGCACCGAAATATGACATTTTACCCAATATTTCAATGATTTTAAAAGATAAGGAAATCAAAATCTCATTAATGCATAAAAACCCTCATTCAGAAAGAAAAAAAATTGAATAAGTAAATTTGTTTTCATCTCATTAATGCATAAAAACCCTCATTCAGAAAGAAAAAAAATTGAATAAGTAAATTTGTTTTCATAAATCCATTAGATATTACAATTTATAATATTATAAGAGCATCTTTTAAAGCAAAAAGAAAAAAAATGAAAATGATTTCTGATTTGATGAAAATGATTGAAATATTTACTGCATTCATATGAATGCAGAAAATATTTAGTCTTATATCTTTTTTCTAATTTCATCCAGCCAAAATATGATTCTGAACCAATGGCTGATGTTCTTCATGAGTATAAAGGAATGCTTGCTGCCTGGCCTGATGTACTGCATATTCAAAAGGTATGAAATATTACCATTCTTTTGTGTTTGTAAGTAAAAAATGTTTATTCATTTAGTTTGTGATAAATATAATGATTAATATTGACGGTCTTAAAGTTATTTCATATTAAATATAACTTTTTGAACTTGACTTCCTTAGGTAGTACTTTTTATATCGATTTGATCCATTCCACATAAAAAATGGGATTATTGTAATTATGTGAACTTGTTTCATACTCTAATGCAGTGTTTCCCAAAGTGTGGTACGCGCATCCCCAGGGGTACGGGAGCAGTTTAGCGGGGGTGCGTGTTCTTGTGCGAAATATCTTACAACAAACGGAAATTTCAAAAACTTTTATTTAAAAACAAAGCTAGCAATGAAAATTTACGATTACGTGTTTTTCTATTGGCTATTTCTCACAGAGTTAACAGTTAATAATTAGTGGTGTTAATAGCCAGTTGTGATTTTTAACTTTTGTGCAATTTTTTTAAAGTAAAATATANTTTTGTGTTCGATTCCAGTGGTACACAGCGTTACGAAAAATTTAGAAAGGGTACACTAAAGTCGTAAGTTTGGGAAACACTGCTCTAATGTAAAGCAATTCAAAAATTAATTTATTCATTATTTTTCATTTCATTGTTATAACTATGAATAAATATTTGCAATTTTAATCAATTGCTTAGTAGTGCTTTATAAATTCAAATTAATGATTCATTTTTTGTTTTCAGTCTGCACTGAATAAAGTGGCAGAACATAAAAAGATGTATGAAGATGGTAAACTAAGTCAAGACGAAGTTGCAGCTATTAGTCAAAGAACTGATGTCATATCTTATGCAACATTAGCTGAAATCAACCATTTTCACCGTGAGAGGGTAGCATACTTTAAGACTATGATGGAGACTTATCTTACTGCTCAAATAGATTTCTATCAAAGGGTAACTATATGTTTAGATATTACACTTGGAATAAATTAGAAATATTGTTTAGAACGTTTTATATCAGTAACATCGAACGTTAGTACTTAAGGGATTAAGTTTTAATATTAAACTAAACTTACGTTGCAATTAATTTTAAAACACAGGCAAAAATGATAAGCCTAAATGATTAATCCAGTTTTAAAGGGCTGCTTATTTACAAATATACAACACACAAAGATAGATGATACATCAATAGATATATAATCACTGAAATTTTGGTACGAACAACTAACGCTCATTGTGCACCCTTAGTCACAAGACACACATTTCAATGATGAATCTCTATACCAGATCCATCCATATATTCAATTTGTTTCTATCAAACTTCATCACAGCATTGCAGATATCTTCTGAATTAACCTCAGCCTCATATTTTCTTGACCAATTCTAATTTAAAAAATTTCTTTTCTGTTTTTTGCTTTGCATTGTGACCTGTATTTAACCCCTTTGAAAGATTCATTAAATAATAAAAAGCTAGGTAATTAAAAAATACTTTCAATTACTAAAAAAAAAAGTCCAGTGAATTATTTAAAGTTTTTTTTTCACTTTTGCTTTATTTATTTTCTAACAAAATACTGCTCAAGTTAGGCAATTTCTTGTATTTTTTTTTCTTTAAAAATTGATGAAAAAAATGTTCTTTTATCAAAATTACTTCATTTATCTCATTCTTGAAAGTATTTTCATATAAAGTGGAGGCAAAATTTATTCAGAAAATAAGATATAGCTAAGATTAAGTTTGGTCTAATAATGTTACTTCGACCTTTAAACTTTACATAGTTAATTATTTTTGAAATTATAATGTATTCAACTAACTCATGCAAAATTTGAACACCAGTTTGACTTTAAAAGAGGTTTAGATGTGTATATGTGTGTTTATTATCTATTTTTTTTTCTTTCAGATTACTGAGCAACTTCAATCTACATTATCACAATACCAAAACTCATAATCATTCAGCAATAAAATCACATTGCGGTACATTACTATAAGTTGAAGAAAGCTGTATTTGGACAATCTACTGTGTTCTTAAAATGACCGATTTCTTACGAAGCAGATGAATTAATTGTAGTATAAATAGTAATTTATTTTTTATGTGCAGCTTTTGTGAGATGAAACAAAAAATGAGCTTATTTGTGTATTTGCATTGTACATGCCAAATAATGCATGGGTTCTTTAAATGAATTAGTTATTGCAGTTTCAATAATATGTTGTCATTAAGTTTTACTTTTGTGCCAGTCTTTTTTTTTTTATAGTTGTCAAAATTTATATAATATATGTGCATGCTTCATATTTTTAAAATAATCAATTTGCATATATTGAATGGATTATCCATGAGCTGAATATTTTTATTTACAATTTTATTTATTTAAGTGACATATGGAGTAAAAAAAAAATTGCCTTTATTTTAAATGTAGTATTTATCATAAAAATGTCCTGTTTATTTTGATTGTGGGATGACAATAATTGAGTTATATAAGAATAAAAAATTTCAAAAACTAAGTTCCAAAATTTTATACAAATTTTAAAAATTATTACAAATATTCAAATTTAGTTCGACACATTTAATATGTGTGCCATAAATGGCTATGATGTGGTACAGAAGTTTGGCAAAATTCTGTAATCTTTTCATTGCAATTTTGAGTTTGAAGGTTATTTCTATTAACTCTGTTGCAAATTTCCTTTTGAACTGCAATCTAGCTGTTATGCATCCATTAATGGATCTTGACAATGAATATGTGCTGAGCACTTTCATAAACAACCATAAAAAAGTGCACATGCACAAATAAAAATAATTCCAACATGCCTTACGTTTTAACTCTCAACAGTTCAAAAGTTATCAAGGTTTTGTTTTTCTTGTAGCTCAGTAATTGTCACATATCAAATAAATTATTTATGCTATAGATTATGAGATGTGAAGTTGAGCTTTCAACCTGTAATGATCATAGCAAATCTTTCATTTTATCTTGCTTGTTACTCATTTATGCTTTGCAATGATCTTTCACACCTAGCCAATCAAGCATATTCCAAATATTGGAAAACATAGTAAAAAGTTAGATTAACACTGGCACAGATAGATATGAAATAATAAAGCATTTTATGTATATTTAAAATTTATTCTTCAATAAAATTATTTATGTTGTTGCATGAAATGTTGTTCATTAGATTTAAAATTTGATAAAGATGCTGTACTAAATGAATATGACCAAAATGATAAAAGAAATGTATTTTAAACTTTTACAACTTGTAAACTAAATATGTGTGATCATTCTCTTACAATGAATTGTTCATAATACCAATACTGTTTTTGTATAGCTATTGTTAAATTATTTTTAAAGAAATTTATCTTCTGAGAAATTAGAAAAAGTATTATTCAAATAAAATATTTTTATATATCATGACATATTTAAATTTTGTATGTACAGTACAGAACCCGTTATCCGGAAATCAGAAAACCGGAAAACCAAAAAACCGGAACGAAATTCGATAAATTTTTCCGCAATTTTAAAAAAAAATTTTTTTTTTCCTTATAAGATTTTACGATTTTATTTTCTTTTTTGAAAGATGTACCTTACCATCATTTCAGAAATAATCATTAGTGTATTACCTCATCGTTTTTTCTTATTTTAAAGATTATTTCCAAATATTTTTTTTTTTAGTTAGGTTTAACACTAAAAAAACGGCTTTTTGTAGCGATTCAGAAAACCGGAAAAATCAGTTATCCGGAATAGCGATAGTCCCGATCGTTCCGGATAATCGGTTCTCTACTGTATTATCAGAAAAATCACAATTAGTAAAAAACTTTGTATTGAAGCAAGCTTTTAAAAAACTATTTTATTATGAAATGGATACAATTGAATTATGTAACATAAACTTAAAATTCTTTTTTTTTAATAAGGGAGATTTGTATTTATTTTTTAAAAATGAAAGGTTTAAGTACTTTTACTTTTTTAAAGTTGGTATACTTTAAAAATTTAAGATAAACTAAACATATTTTTAATCAATTTACATCACTGCTTATCTATTTAATAATACTAGTTAAGATCACTTTATTTAAATAATATAAGATTATCTTGCTTTTTCTCTGACATATAAATTAATAAGAAAAAAAAAATACTGTGATATAATTCAAGTAAATTCTTTACACATAAACCATGAGATTTTTCTTTTTTAATTTACCCTACATTTCTCTCTCATAATTTTTCATCATTTATGGGTTTTTCGTGTTATTCTTGTTTGTATATTTTATGTTTGGGACCATTCTTTATATTTACTTATGTTGCAAGTGCTGGTAACTGATTTTTCTTCTTTTTTTTGAATGGGCAAACAATATATAATTTTTATACACACATATTTATATATATTTTGCTACAATCTCATACATCATACTTAAGTATTCTCATTTGCTAGTCAAAGAGTCATATTTATATATTTTCACCAATCCATTAAATTTCTATGTTTACCTATATATGCTTTATTAATATGTTGTTTCGTCAAAGCAAATGTAATTAATATTTCTTCGTTTATAATTTCAATATAAACTTATTTTGAATTTTCTTTTGTCTAGAATAAAAAGATATCTCTTAAGTGTATAAATTAATAAAATTGATTAAGGTTAAAAAAAAAAAATTATATGCTTATGGACACTTTAGTCCAATGTAACTAGTTAAAACTTTTTAAAAAGAAACATGTATTTTTTCATATTGAATAAATGACATTTCATCACAAAGCTACAATTTATTTTTTTAATACTTCTACAACATGGCATTAGTTACATACTTGATATGCACAATATTTACTATATGTATATATAATTGTAAAAATACACAATGCACTTAATAGTTTACAAAAGCAAAATTTATATATCAACAGTTCAAAACCAACAAGTGTGCGTTACAATACATGCAATTAATCTTCACATGCATTTTATACAAATAACATTTATAAATATATGACTAGAAAATAAATATTTTGCTGTACTCAATAAAAATCTAGTAACAGATACCTCGATATGAACGGCTTATTCTGCTTTGTATTTTACTTTTATAAAGCCAAAAGATAAATATTGAAATAACTTCAAAATTTAAGTACTTATTTTTAAATAATCAAGGTTCTCACTATGAATTTTTATTACTCCGAGTCTATTTTAGAGTGGTTATCTTAAGTGCTACTGGCACCATTAAAATCTTGGACCACAGGTGTAGCAAAATATTACCATTAATTCTAAGGAAAATTTGTATTAGCTCATTCAATTTGTTAAATAGCTCAGGAGATTTAATTTGAATTAGTTCAGGATATAAAAATATAAAATTTTTTTTTTAGTTTTGTTTGCAAGCTGAATTGCTCAAAGGAAACTGGTCTTTAAGCTTTTCCCGAGTGTAGAAAAAACACAAATTTGTATTTTACTGTTTTAAAAAAACTGCAACATTCTTGCATTTATTAAACTGTGCAGCTAACTCATTATTGTACTAATTACTTTGACTACTTATCGCAAGTGGGAACACATGGAAGGTGCAAGTGGAAAGTAGGTCTTGCTTTTTTATTGGGATGCTACTTGGTATAGTTAAACTTGAATCCCAAGGATTTAGGTTTTTATTAGAATCTTTGTTCTCTTTTAATGCAACATAGTTGCAAATATTTTAACTAGAAATATAACTGTTGTACCAGCCATAAGCAAAAGATTAAATAATTATTTAAGCCCATCAACAAAAGTGCGTTTTTAGGTTTAAAAGCGAAATTATTCTGTTTCAAAAAAATAAAACATGTAGTAGATCCAACTATTCAGAGATATTTAATTAAGGCAATTTGATTTCATTAATATAGACCACATTTCAACACTCAATTTTTCCTCCTCTGTTTTCAAATCTTACTTTTTCTATCTTAAACAATTGATCTGATTAAGGAAACTTTGATTGTTGGTTATGGGTATTTGCAAAATATATGCCACGGAATTACATACTATGTCGGACATAATTTCACAGTCTTCGTGTTGCACACATAGGTTATAAAGTGCTTTGCATTTGGGGAAAAATGCAGCAGAATATATACACTAGAAATATATATGGAAGAGTGGGATGTAACGGAGTATCTTGATTCTGGCAAAATTAGTTCTGCTTTTTAGAGAACTCTGAATTACTAGGTAGGAAGAAGTATCTGCCATATCATTGAATTCATGGTGTCTGTGTAGATAAATTGTTTTATGCTGTCAATACTCTAATGTTCTTTAACTATTTCTACTTATTAGTCTATATGGTTATAAAAATCTTTTTAGTCAAGCTTATGATGAGTTTACTAAAGATTTATACTCTTAACAAACAATAAGGATTTAGTCCAGTAGTTCCATGGATCTGTTTTTTCTTCTTCTGATAACCTATGCTCTCTATGTGAGACAGAATAGAATCATCACTATATAAAACCAATTTAAAATATCAGGATAACGAACATTTAAAAAAATGTGTTACCAAAGATAGGACAGTTGTTTTGGAATGAAAAAAAAAAAAAAAACTCAAAACACGACTAAAAGAAGAAAAAAAAAGTGTATGATGAACCAATATAACAAAACAGTCTATCAAAAAAAAACCCTGAATACTTGATTAATGTTTCTTTAGATAAAAGTAACATGTGTTACTGATTTTATAAATTGTAATGATGTATTTTCTATCTAAAACCAATCCAATGTGGAAAATGATTTTGTAAGGCTCCTGAAAGCTGAAATGGTATAGTACATAACTAAACATAGTGGTACATGAATTGTACATAACTAAACAATATCTTGATTAAATCCAACAGCTTCCGGGTTGAACAGATTAGCTCCAACGGGCCTTCGAATCATATCCACTTTCCCCTAAATATTTTGCTACCCCTAAATCAAGCTTTGGATTTTTATGGGCTATATTGGTTAATAAACATAGTGTTTTATAATAGTATAAATAGAATAAAAAAAAGTCTTTGGAACAAATATGAGTTCCAAAACGTAACTGTTATAAATTACAAATTAACAATAATAAATTTTAATACCATATTATATTTTTACATAATATAGAATAATATAAGCTGTCTGTACTAATGAGCTATAATGACTTGTACAGTTAGGGTAAGTTAGTACCTCTGTTGAATGTGATAGATCAAACTATTATCAAGATTAGTTCTGATTGGTTGTTATGCAGGAAAAAAAAGGTGTAAATCGAAATTGTTATTTGCGAAGTAAGAGGTTGACTTGATCAAAAATTGAAGCCTATATTTCAAAATGTCTATTGAAAAATTAATAAATGTGTTAAGCATAGCAAAATTTAGGTGTCCTTTGAAATATTATTGTGATTGGATATGTAAGCATTTTGAAACAGTAACACTTTTGGCCCAATTAATATGTTTACTGATCTGCAAGCATTACAAACTACTAAGTTAACACCAAAAGCCCAGACGATAACTTCATGTTTAAATACTAAAGATCATTTAGCATATACAATGAAGTTAATAAATTACAGTGTTGTGTTACTTTCACAGAAAGACTTCTTATTTTACAACCAACAACTAATGGAAACCATTGAAATCTAAATAGAAATGACATAAATTTTAAATTTATTTGTTCAAAAAAGCTTAAGATAAAAACGGGTTTCAGGAGATATTTGATTTGCATACCATAAATAATTATGTTTAAAAGCTGGAAATATAGAATGGGAAAAATAATTACCTAGTTATAAAAAAATTACAGGGATATTATTTTATTATAATTTGATGAATCCTTAGATTCCAAATAATTGCAAATTTATAATAATTTTATAGAGGAATGGGCTTAACATTTCCTAGCTGACAATCTCTTCATAAGCTTCTATGGAAACAACAGAATGCAGTTATGAGTTGATATAACCAATACCAGATTTAAGCTTGGCAGGATCTCCAGATATTGAAGATAGTATATAGTAGATACACCAAGAGCAAACTGTTATAATTCTTTATAATTAAACATTTAATTAATAGCATTTGATAATATTATTTGGTTATTGAATATATTATTCACATAAAAACTTAAATATAGTTAAGAAGTATAGTGATGAAGCTGTAATGTGGAAATTTCGTAAATTGCATAACATATGAAGTTAGATTCCTTGAAGGGGAAAAAAAAGAACAGAAACACATTTTAAGCTCATTCATTACACAAAACCAAAAGACATATTTTCAGAATTGGGGCGCCCTGCAGTTATCAAGGGGTCAAAGCTACAGCCGGCCTAACATAAATCTGATCTAACTTATAGAAAGTTATATCCGGCCTTGGATATTATAACTTTCACATAAACTTCACTAAAGGTTACACCAACTTTTTCATAGTGAAATATTTTTAATAACCTAAAAAGTATTATGAGTGATTTTACTGCAAAGCTAAAGCACATCAAAGCATGCTTGGCCTGATTTAGATCAGGTGGAAAATTCAGCTTACACATGCACAATTGTTTATGATTGCTCCAGCCATCCAGAGTAAAGACAGTCAACATTAAACACGGTTTTGACTCCCCTGAAAGCTGCAATTAAAGGTCAATCAAACTCAACCATGGCGAAAACTTTTACCACAATAATGAATTTTGTTAGTTGTTTATTACGATGTCAAGTCTGCCAGTTTCCAAAATAAGGTAGTAAAGAAGTCTATTGTGTTGGAAGCTTATAAACCCACCATGACGAAAATACCCAACATGTAACAAAACCTTGGCACTCAGATCGTCATTTGAGCGTTCATTTAATAGCATGGAGATTAAACATTCAAAAAATTTCTTTTCATGTGATTGTGATGAACAATCTGCAAGTGAGTGAAGAAAAACCTTGCACCTCTACCACTCTCTTGACTCACTTAATGCAGTTTTAACAATCTCTCTACATTCCAGAAATGGCTTTCCCAGACTACTTCTTGTTTTTCCCCTCAAAAAATTACCAGGTAAGAGCATTTTGGAACACTTGACGCAGTTAAAGAGGCTAGCACCTAAACTTCAAAAGGTATTTCAGAAAAATCTTACCAAAATGTACTTTAAAGCTTAGTTGCAAGCTCTTTAAAAGCTAATATTTTATGACTAAAAATTACCCTGGAAACAATCCACTATGAGGTGTTACTTATTATGAAACCTTTTCGTGTGTCATATGATATAATAAATTAAAATTTTAGAATTGACTCGCTCGAAATTAATAAGATCTAAAGTAATTACCAAAAAAAATAAATAAATAAATAATGCAGGGTGGATAAAATTGAGATTAGACATAGAGTTATCTTAGACGCGCTTGGACCGTCACCCAAAAACATGAAAAGGAGTTAATTACCTGGGACAGAGAAATAATGAGAGCCATTTTTGGACCAATCAGAGAAGGAAGAAGTGTGGCAATGGAGATACAACGATTAAATCCAAAAGCTTTTTAAAGAAAAGAATATAATAAACCGTATGAAATCAAAAAGCATCCCATGAAGACATGGATAGATGAGGCTAAAGTATCTTGAAAATAAAAAATTGGAGAGCGAAAACATGAAACAGACGGCTTTGGAAAAAAATTATTAAAAAGGGCATAGTCAACACAAACTGTAATAACAGGGGGCAAGACATCAAATAATTGACCCGATGACTTGCACTTTAAATATATCTTTTGTCAGAATTATTAATTTATGATGTGCAAATTTTTTTGTGTAGAATGATTTAATATGCATTGCTGCAACATAACATATCACTTGTTGCTGCCATGGCTTTTTCAGAAGTCATTTCTTTGCATACACAAAAAAAAAATTTTTTTTTACAGGTTTATATGAATTACACTTATTTGGGCTTTTTTTCTTTAGGTAATACAAATACAGTTCTTGATCCCAGTACGATATCATATATGCATAAAATGGTTATTTCTTAACAAGTGAGTTGCAGATCTTTAAACTTAATTTTTCTTCAACAAATTAAAATAATCATTTCAGTTGAAGAATTATCAGTTTAACAATTCTGAGATATTACATTTGTAATACAGATAATTATAATACAGGTACATTTATGGATTGTCGATGATCAGAATATAGTAAGTCCTGAAACACTAAATCCAATTATCATATATCTTAGTCAAAATAATTAAATATACATACTATATACATAGCAAAGTCTTTAGAGAAAAAAAAAGACTTACTGTCAGTATTACAGTGGGTATATAAAAATACAGATAAATTTAATTTCAGTTTCAATGATGAAATTAAATTAAAATAAAGCAAATTACTTGCCTAGAGAGGTATTTTAAAGTTAACATTAGAGTGAATAAATAATCCCAAGAAACTGAAGCATTGAGATATAACTTGATTAAAAGACTTCATTGGCTTCAAAAATATGCTTAATGGGAATAAAAGTTGACATGTTTCAATTGCTTGTTAAGATGCACATTCTCAAGACTTTCCAGATGTGAATATTTATGTTTGGCAATGGGCACCTAATGTAGGTCACGTCTTGAGAAAGGGCGTCAATTTTTGAGTGCTTGAAACACATCCACTTTAATTTCTACCTACTTAATTTTAAAGCCAATGAAGTTTTTTAATTGAGTTTATTAGTTAAGGACTAACTGACAGTACTTCAATGAAAATAAAAAGGAGTAAAATTACTTATCTAGAAGATTATTTTAAATTAAACATTTGTTTGAACTATTGTTCAAAATTGTGAATTTTTTTTTTACATCATTTATAACTTTATTTATACAGGGTTCCCACTCTATGATGAGATTGAAATTCAAGGACTTTCCAANGCCGCCGGCAGTATTGGACAAATTCAAGGACCTATCAAGTTTTTCAAGGACCTAAGACGTTTTTCAAGCACTTTCAAGGACCTAAATTTAGCAAAAAAAAATTCAAGGACTTTCAAGGACTCTTAAGGACCGTGGGAACCCTGTTATAGGACTGATGCAATAAAAAAAGCTGAAATCATGTCTCCCCCCCTTTTTTCATTGTACGAAAAAGCGAGCTGAATTTATAATGTCACTTTTGCATCAAATGTGCTTTTAAGGAGTGAAAAGATCATTTTATAAATATTAAAAGTAGTAACATTTGTGCATGACACTAAAAAAGAAAGAAGTAGTTTTGCTATTTCAACTCGTATTTTAGAAAAATCATTAAAACAAATATAATAATGCTTCATCATTAAAAAATGCACCATGAAACATTTTATAACCCTTAAGTTAATTTAAAAAAATTCTTTAATAATTTCCTTTTTAAATAATTCATTTTACTCAACTGCAAGTTTGTAGTTAAAGTTTGAGTTAAGTAATGAATTTAAAAATAATATGACATGTTATACAACTCCACTATATTATATTAACATCGGTGATTGGGTATGCATCAAGAAATGAAAGAAAAAAATCTAGTGTAAGTTAAAGACTAATTTGAATAAGGTGAAGTTTTACTTCAGTTAATGTTTAGTATGACTATAAAAATAATAAAATACATTAAGATAAAAATCTTTATATATATATATATATATATATATATATATGTTTCACAGCGTCGGCGCATGGATTCACGAACCCGTTCAAATTGGCCAGGAGTGTCACGGACACGTGCTGCCGCTTCCGCGATCCTGGCGATAAGATCCATGTCCGATGTTACANTATATATATATATGATTGAAAAGCTACAGTAATTTTTAATATAATGTTAGTTACAGATGTATTATATAGATTTATGTATATAAAAGCAATATTTGGCACAAAACTAGAAAGAAGAAATACATTAACCTTACTAAACTCTAAAATAGAACACATTACAAATCCATGACTAACAAATGCAATATACATATCTAAAACAAAAATTAAATATTTTATACTAATATAGATAGCAAGATTTTACTAAAAAAATCAAAGGATTAAAAGATGACTTAATACTTTCACATAAGTAATATGCATACTTACACCAATGTGCTGTATATACATAAGTTATAAAAGAGTCATCAAATTTTATGTAAGCAATTTCTTAAATTTATAACATACATTTTAAATACATTCAAGCTTGTCTTTATGTTTCTTTAGAAGCATTACATTATACATATTATATTAAATACAAACATTTTATGACATATAAACATTGAAGCTAATCACATATTAAAACAATCATAAATACTATATCACTTGTAAGTTAAAAAGCTCATCAAATAAGATAAATCTAACCCTGGATGAAAAATAGTCACCCACACATCAAAAACTCAAAATACAGAAGTTGAAAACTATAAATATCACAGATTTTTAAGAAGGATAAAATACAAATGATTTCACCTCAGCATCATTTTAAAAGCCATATAGAATTGATACTGATAGAATTGGTAACAACTCAACAAAATAATAAAGAAAAATGTAAAAATAAAAAAAAGCAGTTGAGCATGACATGCTTTTTTTTTTTAAAAGAATTATTAATTTGATACTTTGGCAATGAGCAAAAACTCAATACAATATTAACCTTTTATGCAAAATATTTGAGTCTCTTTAGGTTTGTCAAGACAATAGGATCCCTGTGGCAGAATTTTTTTGGGTTTTCAGCGAAAAACCTCTATAGCAATAATATCTTTCTAAAAATAATTAAAAATCGTGAAATCAGTAACAGTAAATAAAGAAAAAAAGATCGGACGTGAAATCACACAATTAGAACACTTCAAAAAGGTGTTACTAAATGCGTGTTGCGTTTCAAGATTCGGGTGTTGTAATAAATAATATCATGTTAAAAAATCAGATTTGAAAAGCTATGTGGAAGCCAATAATAACAATAACTGCCAAGAAGAAAAAGAAATTGATAGAATCATTGAGTTAAATATTAGATATTCAAATACGTGATTTGAATTTCAAATATTGTCAGAAAGATATTGATATACATAAAAACTACGTGAGAATTAATTTTATAACTCTCGAAAACAAAACCAAAATACTACATGGATTAATGATAGTATCAGCATAAATTGAGAGCATCAAAAAGTCATTATTTAAATGCGTGATTCAAATTTTGCGGGTAGAAATAGTATCAAGTGAGAATTACCTGGAATTTTAAAAACTCCATGAAAATTTGGTAGCACAAGCAATGAAAAATTGGAAAAGTACTTTTTTTAAAATCACAAAAATATCAAAGATAACTGAGCAATAAAAGACATTATGATTTTTCTTCAAAGTAGAAATTTGTAGCAATAATTGCTGAAAAAAAGGTCAAAATGCTATTTTCTTCTTCTTCTAGAGCTTTTTTTTTTTTTATTTATTTCTAAAGCGAACTATCTCTTAAACTTTCGTAATTGAAATTTTTTTTTAAAAATCTAATTGAAATTCTAGCAGAAGTCGGTCATTATTAGAATTTTTTTAAAATCATCAAATGAGAATAGAAAAATCACGAGCATTTCCTTTCCCCACGATGAGCGATAAAAGCACCTTTTGATATGATTTCATAAAATAAAAAAATCTATCAAAAATTTCTGCTAAAGAAACATTTATACTTAAAATATTTTTCACTTCTTAAAGAAAAAAATCTTTCTGCTAGAACTCTGTAACGTTTTGGGACAATGCTACCGAGTCGCCACGATTCTGCCACAAGGAATAGGATAATTCTGGCATAAAATAATCACACGATCACATGTTTACACAGATAGCACACTTTTGTTACAAAATTAATAAACATTAATCAAGTAGTAATAAATCACATCACAGATTATCCAGTTGGACTTGAAGGTCTTGGTAGTCCTAAAATAAATTATAAATTAAGAAAATGGAATATTATATTTTAAAATAACTAAATTACTTAATTTTATTTTAAAATTAACTAAATAATTTATCTATGAAACAAATTAAAATAAAATTTCCAACTTTGGCAACAAATATATATTTAAAAAGAAATTAATTGTAAGTTTTAGGAAGAAAAAAAAAACGTCTGTTTTGGAGCTAATGGGAACATAAATGGTAATATTTTCCGAAAATTTCTTAATTTGGCACACAAGAAGAACTAAAATTGTGCAGAAATATTTCTTTTGAACAGTATGTTCAAGTAACATCTCTATAGCTGAAAACAAAGATGTGAAATCTTAAAACCTTTATTTTGATTACTTTTAATGAAGTTTTGAACAAACATTTATTTCGAAATTTAAATTAGTGCAATAAGTAAATACATGAAATATTAATTAAGTAAAATAAATATAAGATAAAAATGGGCCTATTAAGTATCAAAATTTTAGAGATAATTTTAAAATGAACTCTTTTAAAAAAGTAGTAGATAACAAACCTGATCTTTAAGAAAAAGAATTGAGCGAGATATATATAATTTCCGCATAGATCCATCAAATCTCCAAAAATGAACTGCATTACCTAAAAAAAAAAAGGAATATAGTGAGAAAAAATAAACAAGCTGAGTAAAAAATTTAAAATAGCAAGCAGTTTGAAAATTGAATTTAAACATTAAGCTGTAGTTATTGTATTCTAAAAACTTACAAACTAACTATTTAAAAAAAATAATAAAGATTCTAACTAATAAAAAACACTGTCGGAAAACAAACAAATAAATTAAACAAAAGGTACAATTTGCAAAATAAATAAATAAAATACATTGACAGTAGATATTATTCATTTTAATGATTGAATATGAAATGATTTAATAAATCTCCTGCTGTCACAAATACATACTCAACTTACCAGGTTTAGCACCAACATAATTCCCTTTTTCATCTGCTAAAAAAAATTGATCATTTTCAAAGCTGATTTGTTCAATATTCTGAGTATTGATCATAATATCTTCACGCAGAGGTAAGTACATAGTACAACCTTTTGGCTTCCAGTCTTCTGTATGATATATATAACAGTTGTGTCTGATAGATAAGAAGTTTTTTGCTAAAAAGTGAAAAAGTAAGATAAGTACTTAGGAGAAAAAAAAAGGTCAATAATTTTAATAAAATATTAGATTAATATGTTAGTTGTTATACGCAATAGGAACATTTGATGAGTTATAAGCTCTTGGAGCATTTTTTGCAAACATGGTGAACTCCAACATGCTCTAAAAGCATTTCTTGTGTATTCATTCCTACTACAGATAAGATGGATCCATTTACTGAAAAAAAGGTCTTTGGCGGGCTAAGGCTCATAAAATACTCATAACATTATTACTGTCGTAATCTCTTGAGTATTATCCGCAGTGGTGTATAATCTGCAAGTGCAACTTTCAGTCCTGATGGGGAGAGGGGATTACAGCAGATAATTCACACCACTGTATAATCCGCGTTTGACAGGAGAAATAATGAGTTCATAAGCTTCTCCCACTAGTAGAATATACGTCATACATAGGCGGATCTGTATTATATATGAAGCATCAGCAGCAAAACGAACGAGAAAACATGGTATCCTGCTTATGGGGCATTCACAGTAGAGGAAGAAGAATTTGCAAGTGCAAATTTGCAGATACGAACGAGAATCTGATTAGTGAGTTTTTGTGTGTATATTTCACAAATAAGGCTATTGTTTGATCCTCCAAATTCAAACATTCGAATTTTTCGTATACAGCGTGAATAGTGCCTAACATTTTTATGGATGACGAAAGTCAATAGGAAACACCCGATGTCTGATGTACAGAAGATAATTTTGAAGATATAAACAGAGACGGTTTTAATGTTTTTTTTACAGGTAATCGATGGATTATATGCAGGAAATTATAGTACTTCAAACAAAGGTTTGGTTTAGTAATAAAAATATAAAATATCATATGGTAAAAAGAAAAATAACAGTAATCTGCTTCTTTAAAAGTACATATGTATCATATCTGCATACAATTTGGTAGGGAATCAAAAATGAGTTCACCTTAAAAAAAATTCACATTAAGCGTGTTGACGTTAATGAAGTTTGACTGTATATGCACCTGGTAGTTTAACTTCTCTAGCACGCCAGTGGAGGCTGCAGATTATCAGACCATCTTTTAGATAATTTTTCATCTCAGATTTAATATAAGTCTAAAATATTACTGAGAGGAGAAAAATAATTTTAAATTACATAAACTCAATTGCTACTTGTTTCAGTTTTTTAACAAAATTTCTTCTCTAATCTGCAGATATATAAGCAAAAGGAAAGAGAAGACTTTCAGTAATTCGTAATATTGTTCTTTAATAAACTGTAATTTTAAAAATTAATTCATACTTCCCTATAATTTTAATTGTTCGCTTATAATAGATTGCATGAAGACTTGTTCATTTCAGTTATTCTATTCTATTCAAAGTGTATAAAACATTTTGATTGAAATAAATTCTTTTATGTATATCTACCTTATCAGTACTAATTTTGCTGATATGCTGGGGCAGAGATGGGCAAACTTTTTTGGTCAAGGGCGAAAAAATAAAGAAAAAAAGTTTGGTGGGCCAAGTAAAAACTTCTAAAATAGAAAAACGATCTGCAAGTTTTAATTGAAATATTTAATGAGATGAATGAAATTGTGATTTCATTTTTAAAAGAAGTTTATATTGAGGTTCCAAGTGAGATGTACTTATTTTATTGCTCAAAGCTAAATGTTTGTCTGTTAGTCTAGTTCTGAAATGATTTTTTCTAAGGTTTATAGTTGAAAACACTTGTTGTATATATAAGATGAAGCAAACATAACACTGATTTTCTGGACATGAATATTAAATTTGAGAAACTAGCTTTTGGTAATGATTTGTAAAACTCTAACTATGGCATATTTAGAAACAACTGCTTCAGATGACGCCAATTTACGGCTATTCTATAAAGAGCTTTTGCTTTCAACATTCTACCAATTGAAGCTGCATATTACCATCAATTTATGTTTTGTAGAACAACAATAGAGAAAGTAAAAAGGTCATCAATACTTTGTTAAAAAAGAAGGAATAAAAATAGCTTTAAACAAAGTAGACAAGAAAATGGATGTATGTTATTTATATTCATCACAGATCGTCAAGGCAAAATTTTATCCGATTTTTGATTTTATTAAACTGTGGCCCGCGGATTAATTTGAAATCATTAAGATTGTGCTGTAGACTGACTCTGTAAATTATGCTACCAGCATGCATATATATATATATACAGTAGACGCCGCTTAATGTGATCACGGTTAATGTTATCAAACATTTAATGTTATCAAAATCGCTTAGTCCCGTCCGCTTAGATCAAAATACACTGCTGGACAATTGCTAAGGACGGATCATAAATTGCAATGTAGCATAACATTAAGCGAGACATGAGGCCTAGTAGGATAAAATATAGTTGCCACACTGTTCAGACATTAGAATAAAGAATATTCATTGTTCTGGAAAGTACAAAAGCTATGAAACATCTGAAAGAAAAAAAANTTTTTTTTTTTGTTTATTGTAATCAATCGGTTATTGTTATCAAATCATGTTCGTCCCGATGTGATCACATTAAGCGGCGTCTACTGTATATATATATATATACTTTTTGATTGTGTGCACAGTTTATTTACTACAATTACTATTTTTTTCATTTCACTCTGGTTCTTAACTATTTTATAAGAAAAATCAACTATAAGCTATAATAAGAATTTTCAGTGAATAGCAAAAGGTAAACAAATACCCTAAATAAAAAAGTTTGCTGAAAAAATTTAAAAATAAATTCAAATCAATTTGTGTGGTTACTCACTTCTAGAAAAATTTCTATTGTCAGTAGATAGGTAATTACTTAATTTGGATGTTGAATACATCCCAACAGAGTAATCTTCAGTTCTGGGACGTTTGAAACTAGTTTGTTGATGGTATGGTGAATTGGCATTATCTCCATTAGTAGGAACTTCACTGTCAGTCGTCAATACAGGAAGATTATAGTTATACTTTTCTGAAAAATAATTACAAAAATTTAACCCTTATTTGTTCACATAGTTTTGAAGAAAAAAAACAGTCATAAAAGTGCCTATTTTTTATACTACAAAATTATAAAAAACAAAGTGCATGTACAACATAAAAAATTCATTTTCAATTATTAACTAACACCTTTGATAAGTGCTGACATCTAGTTTAAAATAGAACTATCATTAAACACATTACAAATAGTCTGGTACTACCATTTGATACATAAATTGAGAAATAAACATGATTTTGGGCATAAATGAATTGTTTTAATCGCTTGGGCACGTTACTTTAGAACATTTCAGACGAAAAATATGAGACATAAATAGAGTATGAAACTTCAGCCCATCATTTTGACATGAGGGAGGAGATGATTCATGGGTGTCGTGGGCGGACGGAATTGTTGGTATTTGTCCCCCTCAATACTTTAAACAAATACACAAAACTTTCACGAATCATCATCAATTTAATATTCTGAAAAGTAAAATAAAAAAAAGAGATTAATTTTTTTGCAGATGGTATTCGTCCCTTAAATACTTTGAACAAATAAAGAAAACTTTCATGAATCATCATCAATTTAAACTCCTGAAAAGTAAAATCAAGAAAGAGATTAATTTTTTTACAGATATTCAGCTGATTTCAGAATTGTTAGAAATGCATGAAATTCAGAGAACTAATGTGACTGTGTATTTTAATTTCATCCCTCACAAAAAATAAACAGCAGCAATGCTCATGAAACAGTTAAAATCATTAAAATTTTTACATGATATAATTTTATGCATCAATTAACTAAATTAGTATTATTGTCCATAATTCTGAAAATATTCAATTTTGAAATTTTTTGAAGAAATTAAAAACTGTACAGAAACGTGGTGAATAAAATTTTTTAGGAGTTGAAAAGATCTCCATTTTAAAAATTTTCTGACAATACATCTACAATGATTAAATTTCTTATATATTAATCAAAGTTTTTCCCCTTTTAAGAGAACTATTTTTGAGGAGAAAATATAAAGGAATTTCGGAAGTTTGGTTGCAAATTATTTAAGGAATATTATTTATAGCGTAGTAACTGAGTAAAATAAATAATAAAATATAGCAGAAAATGCATAGAATTTTAAACTTGATAAATTTTAAGACATAATACGTGCATTATATCGAAGTTTTTAATCAAATCTGGAGACATTATTAAGAATTAGTTCAGAAATTTCAAATTTTAACAAACGTAACCTATGACCTTTTCTAAACTAAGATTCTGAAAGTAAATAACTTATATGACTTCTTTAGAACAAATAATAATATGAGATTTCCGTATCAATCTTACCCAAGTTTTCTAAGCTCATGACAAGTTATATAATCAAGAGTACTTAAGATGATTGTTCAGATGTTTTCGATTCAAATCCAGCAGCTCCTAATGTGGTGTAAAGCACCCATTCAAAATCAAAACAAAAACAACTAGTATTAAGTTAAGGTTTTGATTATGTTATTTTATTTTCTGATATTTTTCTAAAACAAGGTGAGACTAAAAAGTTTCCAAATTTTCACGTTAGATAAATTTCTATTTAAATTTTAAGCATTTTGTTAAATAATTTTTATTCCTAAAAATATGCTTACTCATTTATAAAATTTTTTTTATTATTCTATATTACTGATTTTCTATTTCGACAGTAGATGTCGCTAATCGCTAATAACAATTCTCCATGTCTTTCTCTGTTGTAATGCAGTCCAATGTATTGTGTACTGAAGATTACAAATTGTAATTAAAATCTGATTACAAATAAATTTCCTCCACTACACAAACTGCGATGGAAGAAAACAGAGAGCAAATTCTAGCTGATTTTCAAGTATGTTCATGTGTGTCTCGGTATAGAATTCTCAAAATACACTTTCACTTGAAAAACGTGACTGTTGTTTATATTTTGACAACTCATTTTAAATTTTTATTTGTTCATCTAAAGTTTTTCAAACTGTCTGATGTTTCTTTTTAATATTTAAAATTTAATTAATCTAATCCATTTCACATTTAGTTTTGACATTTTAATGTTCAGAAGTGTTTTTTATTATTTATTTGTTATGTAAGCATCTAAAATTTCACTCCTTTATTATATAAACAAGAACACAAAAGCTTTTAATTAAACTTTCTTTTAAAATATTTTTAAACTTCTAGTTTTGATTTTGTGTCATTTTTATTTACTTTTTTTGGATATTTCTTTATTTTATTCTTTAAATACATCGATTGATACTAAACTGTCTGAAAGAAAATATATTTCATATTTTTATGCATTTTTTAAAAGCAAAGATATTTATAAATGGATATATGTGCTGTGTGTAATTTTGTAATTATTAATATCCATAGATAATGAACTGAATTTTTTTTTTTTTTTTAAATATATTTTTCAAGTGTATCTGATTTATTATGAAATTTAATGTATAGTAGTAAAAAAAGAATTCCATATTGGTAAACTTAATTTTTTCCACAGTCATGCACAGGAATTGATGATTTAGGAGAATGTATAATGCACCTGGAGGCTTCTAATTGGGATTTATTGGTATGTATATTTCACATTTGTTTTTAATGCCATTGAACTTGGTTAGTATATGCCCAGATTAAATGAGAACCCATCTTAAATAAAGAAACTTTTTACAAATGATTACTTTATTATTAAAAAGACTACATTAAACTGCGTAGTTGTTATGAGTATAATTTAGATTAAGCTAGAAAATTTTCATAAACTTTTTTTAAAAGCAACTTCATCTTCAAAAGATATTCTAAGAAATTTCATTTTCTAAAAACACTCCTATGGTTCAGTTTGTTCAAAGTTGAATGTAAATTACCGATAAAAAGCTCTCTTTTTTTACCATTATGATTATGATAGTCAATTTCTCTGATAATATTCAGTTAGATAAATACAATTTTTTTTAAAAAAAGTAATGAAAATTGTTACCAATTTTCTGTGTCTTTGAAATGCATTTATGTAATTTTAAACTGTTATCTACTGCCTGTCAATTGTAAGTGACAAGTATGATCTAATTTGTACCTGAGGTTATATGTCTATTGAAATTCCCTTCTCTTAAAAATAGAAAACAAATACTAATACTTTTTTATAAGTACAGTTTACTTTTATATTTTTAGTTCTTACTAAAACTTATAAAGAAAAAAAAATTGAAATGTAATCCAAAATCAATATTGAGCTGTATATTTAAACTTAATTTTTTATGAAAAATAAATTATTTATTTAAAAATACTGAAGTCACTTCTATCCGAGTATTAAATTGATATAAATATTTATGCAACAGTAAAACTTTACTACAGGGCTCTCTTATTATTTTTGTTGTTGCAGAAACAGCGAAAATGACTTTAACGTGAAATCTTCTAATAATAATAGGAAATTGTGATAAAAGTAATAGGGAAATGAAAGATTTTATTACAGTAAAATCACTCCAGGTTATAGAGCTCAATTGAAGGGGTACCCTATTCTTGGTATTTTGTTTTAATATCTGTTAACAATGTTAAATTGTGTTAAGTGACAGAAGGCTTAGAAAAATTGGAAAAGATCATGTTTGATGATGGTTACACGTTCTAAAGTCATTAAGTGTTGTCATTAGTTCTTGTATAATTTTTTTAACTCCTCCTGACTTAATAATTATTTCTATATATTTTATCAAATTTTCTTTGATATTTTCTTTAGAATGCAGTCAACAGTGTGTTACTTGATCCGCAAGTTCTTTCATTTGAAAGAGATATTGAAGTTCCCATGGAATTTTCTGTTAGTGGTAACAGTGTTGGTAGGGAACAAAATACAATCAATCAAAGCATTGCTGCTCCTGGTAATTTACTATCCATGCCAACCTCTGATGAATTGCAGTTGGTATCTCGACTGCTGAATTTTTCTGTCCAATATAAAGAAAATGTGGTTCCTTTAGAAGTTCCCGACTCTGAGACTGTTGGTATGTTCATACTTTTTTGGACCCATATATTATTAATGCTAATATTTAAAATGTATTTTCATGTCATATTTTATTTTTTTCTTTATCTTCCAAGGTTTTCAAGATGTGTTATTCGTTCATTTATTCTTGGTTGTTCCACACAGCTTAAGGGTTTTTAATTTGTTGATTTATTATAAGTCTTCAGGTTTTTGATTTTTTTGCAGAAAAAAACTATTTATTCCGGGATAAACTAGAGAAAGTGGAAGTAATTCTAAACTTATGAATAAAAATTTACCTTCACAAATTCTTAGGTCTATTTCGTGATCTTAAAGATTATATAAAAATATCTATTTAAAAGTACCTTAAACATAATCTCTAAAAGTTGCTTTGAGTACTCATTCTTAGCTGTATTTGATTATGAAAATTCCTTTGAAATTAGTTTGTGATCTTCATAAATTCTTAGGATTCTTGTTTTCATTATCTTAAAGATTATATAAAAATATCTATTTAAAAGTACCTTAGCATAAGTTCTAATAGTTGCTTCATTGAAACCGTCATTGCTTTGATTTTTGAAAGAAATTCATAAATTTTTTTTTTCCAATTGTTGCTTAGTTTTCACTTATTTAAAAATGATGTATTAAATTGCTTAGAAATTGATACTAATAATTGAATTAAATTTCAATTAAAAGCTGTTTAAATAAATTGTTTTAATGTTCGGTATTTATTTATTCCAAAGGAATTTCTTCCAGTTGATTTGGAAAAAATCTGTTTCTTTCGGAGAAATGATTTTTTTTTGTAGATTTTCAAATAATGAAGTAAATTTTTAAAGTTCTATTTAAAACGGAACAAGGCACAGAAAGGAACATCTGTCTTAAAATATTAAAATTTTGAATTTAGTTTTTTAATGTCTTAAGGGTTTATTTTCAAAATATGTATCGAAGCACCTAAGAACTTTTCTCTTTATATTTTTGCACCATACTAATATTTACTTTGGTACCTGGAGTAAGACATTTGTGTTTTAATTATAATAGCAGGTTTTACTGCATTCAAACAATCATCATTTTCTAAAAATCATACTTTTCTCGTAGTTGTTAGTTGATTTACTGCTGGTATACTGTTGTGTTTTAATTACGTGATAAATACTCAACTATCTTGTTTCAAAAATTAATTTATTTCATTGTTTTTTTATCATAAAGAACTAAGAATGAAGGATTAGATAATTACATGTTTTTCTTTTTAATTTGCCCCTATTTCTGAAAGAACTTTTCATTTTTTACTCACAAATGCAAGTAAAAAGAATTTGCTTTAAAAATATATTTATTTTATATACTATGTTAATTTAAAATTCTCTATAAGTAACAAGTTTTAATAAGTAATTTTCCTTTTACCAAATTTAATTTGTTTGAATTTATTTTCTATTTCTGATACGTTTATTCTTTTTCCAGCTGCTATAAAGTCAGCTTTACATGCTGAATTAGGAGTTCCTCCATGTAGACAACAACTTTCAGGTTGGAGGCACATGACAGGTTTCACTGATCTCATTACAGATGATGTAAGTATCTAAGCATTCCATTTACCTTGAATATACACTGCCAACTATTGCAGATTGTTCATAATACTTCATTTTTATATTCTAAGTGGTAATACAATCTATAAATTTTAATTTAATTACTGAATTTTTAAATTTGTTTAAAATGTTTTTGATCATCACTACACATAAATGAATAAATTATATATATAAATTCTAGTTAGCTAGTTAATCAAATAATAGTAGGTTTATGTCCTGGCAAATTATTAAGATTATTTTTATTTACATTTATAGTTCAATTATCTTATTTTTACCTACAGTTGTAGTTCAATTATCTTTTTCACTGTCACTTAGAATAGGCATCCTCTGTTGGATTAAAAGTTGCCAGTTCTGATTATGTATTAGCAGGGTGCGTAGCGTTTTTAAAAAGTTCTTAAAGGTGCTTATTTTTGATTTTAGTTTTTTAAAAGCCTTTAAGGGTGCTCTATTCCATGGGTGTTTTTAAAAAGTGCTTAATTTTCCCTTTTCCAAAATGTGATTTTTTTTTTTACCGTGTTGATTTTTGCTACAAATTATGCAAAAAGACATTGTCCTATTCAACGTTTTCACAATTAATTCAACCCCAATCTATTTCGGAATATCGTCAGTCTGTAGTGTATGAAAACACTATTTGTTTTACATGTTTGATGAAATACTTTGCGGGTCTGCACTTGTGTATACTGAGCTAAATTCAGAAATAAAGTTTTTTGATTCTCAATTTCAATGAGATTCTCAATTTCAGATTTCATTTTCCACCCTCTGTGATAGAATCGAAAAATCTCTCGAATTTTTGCTGATTACGGGGACCAACTAAACATTGTCAATTTTTTTTCTCTATTAGCGATAGAAAATTAAATTTTTCTTGTTAATTTAATTGTTTGTGATGCACCATCGTCTTTGTCGCTGTAAATAAAACCGGATAAAACCATCAATTGTCAAAAACTTGACAACCATGACTAATTATGATATTTTTAGAGTGCTTAAAAATATTTTTTGAGTGCTTAAAAGGTGCTTATTTTTTGTTGAAAAATTTGACTACGCATACTGATTAAACTTCTATGTTTAATATTATATCTTTTCAAATCTTGTATTCAATGCAACACAAAGGAGTGAGAAGTAAAAAAAAAAAAAAAAATCAGGATTTTTGGTGGTCATGTTTTTTTTCTTTCAAATGTTACTGTTTCATTCCAGACTGTTCTTTCAACAATGCATTTACCTCAACGTTCAAACTTGTTCCTCCTTGCTCCTGATCACTCGGTAACTGTTGATCCGTATGTATCTTATCTTTTTCTAATTTATCAACATTAGCTATATATTTTTTATTTTCTAAATATTGATGTATTATTTTTAAAATAGATCTAGCCTTGGTAATCGTTTAAGTGCTGATTATCGACTTCACATTATTGATACAACAAATAATAAAGAATATGATTTACACTTTCCGGGATCAAAATCTGTTTTAGAGGTGAGCCACCACTTTTTCATTTTACTATTCCAATTCAAAATTTTTTTTTTCATTTGCTTTCCAAGATTAGCTATCACTAAGAGAAATTTAATGTTATTTGGTAAAATTTTGTGCTAAAATATGAAAATATAAAGCCATAATTATACTGTATTAATAGTAGGATTGGAATTGGGCCAAATGCTGCTCTTCAATGATCAATATACAACTCCAATCTTTCCAGCACACAAGAAAATAAAATTCTATGAAAAAATAAAGATGTAACGAATATTCGCCCACTAACAGGGTATTCTGCGCTTTAGGCGAATATTCTGTGGGTCGAATAATTGGTCAAATATTCGTCAAAGTATTTGGAAAAGTATTTTTCGACTGAGTTCTTATTGGGGGAGGGGGGACTTTAATAGATTTGATAAAGGATAATCAAAAATCGTATTTTTTACTATACATTATTAGATATTGTTTTTATACATATTTGTTAAGTTCTAAAACTTGTTAATATTTGCTATGAAATATAAATGGAAAACCGAAATTTAAAGAATTGAAACTGAATTACTTTATACTGAACTGTGAGTTTTGAATTAGTGATTCTTTTTCTTATCAGGCAAGTCAATTTCGTCTTTTTTTTTCAACACTTTATATTTTAAAAATTGAGAAATTTTTTATCTATTATTTGTTTTATTTTTGTTTGTTTTTCTGTAGAAGATAGGGATAACTATAGTGCAGCATTTTGACGAAGCATTTTTAATAGACTTCATTCTTTTGTTGTCACTTTTTTACTGTGCGGTAAGACAGATAACTGGTAGCATAAAAACTGTGATTCTCAGCTTAACTATCGCGAAACTATTAAACAAAAAAGCTGAAAGATGTTTAAAGCAAGTGCCTTTCAAGAGTTTTTTTTTAACAATTTGAGATGTAAGTAATTTATACACAGAAAAAATTTAAAAAATTTGATTTTATAGAAGAGTAAAATAGAAAACTTATTATAGTTTGATTTAATTCAAGGAAACAAATTAGGAATAAGTTGGAAACATTTTTTATTTCAAGACGACAAGATGAAAGTTTTCACAACTATAGGTGAGGTATAAATTTAGGTATAATATATGTCTCCAGTCAATTATTTCTGAAGCAGATAATGCATTAGAGTAGTGCTAATTTAATGCCTGCTTACCTGATATAAAAATGCTAGTGCACAATTTTGAAATCATTTATTTGACATTAAAAGCTGATTATCTTTTCAAGCTAATTATTGTAGAAAGGAATCAAAACACACAAGAAGGAATTGAAATTAAGTATGAAATAAAATCTTATATTCAGATCTGTTTCTGATTGTAAATACTAAATTTTTTCAAAGTTAGGATGAATGAAATTATTTTCAACTTTGCTATCTATTAGGTTTTCAATTATCTATTAGTTAATTGATTTTTTAAAATTATAGATAAAACAAGGTCTGAGAGATGTTACAAACATTCCAGTTCGACATCAGCGTTGGGTTGGATGGCCAGACTCAGTAAAAGATGAAAATGTTAGTAGTATTTTTTATTACATACTTTTTATTGCATCCAGCCAGTTTTAGTAAGTTTTTAATCATTATATATTTTAATTTTTTTATTTATTTATTTTTTTAATTATGAAATATCTACTAACTTCATGTGATAGACCATTATTTTTCATATTTGTATTATCTGGATATGTTGTTAATGTATTTATGCATTTCAGCTTTAATTATCATTCTAAACTCATTGAGGCTTAATTATTATTTTTTTTCTTTAAAGACATGTAGTTGAATTTTTGCTAGTAAGAGAATTTTCTAATTATTTTTAATTTTTATTTGTTGTATTCTTTGTTTTTTGGCACATGTTTAAAAAAGTCTTTATGCTTAAGATTTTGTAGGATATTTCATTGTCAAGAATGCCCTTTGAAAATTAATCCCAAATGAGTATAATTATAACTTTTGTTTATCTTAATTATTCAAAAGACTCAAAATTAAGTTTCTTTTCTTTCTTTAAAGGCTGGTGAAATCGGAGGCATTTTAAGCCCCTTTTTAATTTTCTATTCTATAATTCCTTAATTTTTTTTTCAATAATTGTACCATATTTTTTGTTATTCAAAGAAGTATCATTACAGTGAAAATATTTAAAAGCTTTGAACTTATGCACTTTACAATTTGTTTAGATTTTTATTTTGTTATCTTAATTATTTATGCATAATGATATTTTTAGAATAATAAGAAATATCGTCAGTAATTCAGATTAGGAAAGGTTAATTGTAGAAAAAAAATTATTTTGAAGAAATATCAATGGAATTATGAATCATTTTGCTGTGTGAGTTATAATTTAATATGTGTTTACATAATATTGATAATGTAAATTTATATTAACCTTAAGTAAAAAATTATTGCTTAATTGAACTGCTTTGAATCGAATGATGATTAATTACATCATTTTTATCATCATGTATTAGAAAAATATGAGTGCCTGTGATATTTTAATAAAAACAAGTGTAGTCTGTAATGGTTCTAATTCCGTCATTCACAGGGTTGTTTTAATTTTATCCAACCTGAAAAAAAACCTGGTAGGTTTTTTCGTAATAGCATTTTACTATTAACAAATTAAATCTAGGTAATAAGTTTATGATAGAATAAAATACAAACTGCATACATTGAAATATTTATAATTCTATATTTTTTCTGCTTTAAAAATTTTAATTGATGTTTAATTAATTTTGTGCTTTAAATTTGTTAACTAATATTACAAAGTGAAACAATTGTTCTAAGGTATTCTCAAAAAAATTTGAGCTACTGATTCACAATACAATTGAAATTACTGTTATATTTTTCTTTTCTTGGCTTTATTACCTACAGTTACAGATGATTATATAGCACTTTTCACCTTTTAGTTGATGAAATACTTCTACAATGCTTGTTCTGATGTATGTTGATGTAGTACTAGAGCTTATTCTAGAACCTCTCTTTCATTGCACATCTCATAGGACAAAATACAGTTTGATTAATAATGCAATGCACCATTTCATGAATGCATTTTTCATGTTAAAAATTTACTTTGAAAATTGCTGCTTTTAATTTGAATTTACATAAGTAATTTATCTCTTCACTTAAATATAGTTGTTTTTCATAATTATAAAGCAGAATTGGTTAATCCTACAAAGGTAGTTGAATCCTATTACTGTATTTTAAAATATTATTGCTAATTTATCATTGTAAATGACATTGATAATAAAATGTATTAATAATTATGGTCATTAAGGATTTAATTATGAATTAAGTTAATGGTAATTATTAATGCAGCAAGACTTACTCTAAGATAATAAGGAATAATTAAAAAAATGATGAAAAACTCAAGTTTGAAAGAACCTAATTAATCCTTGAAACATCGCAATTAAGTACTGAAAAAAAAAACCTAAAAACCCAGTGGGTTGTGTTTTTTACACATCTGGGCATTCTGAAAACTTATGACGAAAAAAGCTGTGCAGAGTGAAAGTTAACATTTGCAATAGTTTTTCTTAAAACAATTTCGGCATTATATTCTTTCTTTGATCATAGATTTTTTTTTAAACATTTGCGTTTAAGTAATTCTTTTTTTTTCCTTCTTGATTATTGAAGACTAAACTTGCTGACATGGACCTTCCTGATGCTACGTTAGAACTAATTCTTTGTCGTGAAGAGGTTCCTAAAACAAATTCTAAGAAACAGGTAAAAGTTTCATTTTGATTTATTTATATCCACCTATAGCTTTCTTTCATTCATGAAATTTGAATAATTTTTAGTGTTAGTTTTGATTACAAACTCAATTCTGAACAAGATGTTGTGAAAGGTCTGAAGTAATAAATAAATGAATTTTAATTATAATTCATAAATATGTGTCCATTCTAGAATGCAATTTGATTTTTTATTATATGTGCTTTGAATTAATGTATTCAAATTAATAATGAACACGTTAGAAATCTTTATCTCACTCATTGTATTATCATAAAACTGTTAAAAACTTTAAAGATGAATGTGCTATTGTATCAGTTTTAATAATTGAAAACTCTGTTTTACTTGGAAGTAATTTGCTTGTGTGTTGAGTGGGATTTATTTTTATTTTAGTTAGTTGTTGATCTTACTTCAAGTGAAAGTGAAAATGAATTTGAAGATGCTGCTGAATGTTTTGGGGTTGATGATGATATGTTTCAAGCTAGTTCTTCTAGAAAAATACAACCACTGAGTATGATATATATATATCCTCTTTAAAAGTTTTAGTAAAGTTTTTCAGTCGTAATATTTTACTAATTATTTTTTTTCTAAATCTATACCAAAATAGTGCCTGAAGAGGTTGAAGATGAAGTTCTAGCTCTGAGCAGTTTTGAAGCAGAATTTGAAAATAGGTATATAAGTTTATGGTGTTATTTATTAGTGGAAGAAGGGTAAAGTGGCATTTTTGGAAAGAAAAAAAAACATTTAGATTTATCGGGTAAAGTTCTTTTGGTCTAACGTAGCTGCACAACATTAATTTTGCTTTATCTTTTGATTCCAAAGATTTCTGTAAGAGATGGATTTAAGGGAACATCTCTGAGTGTAGAGAAAGATTGATCTAAGTATATTAGGCAATTAACAATTGACAAGTAACATTAAAAACATGTCTTTTGCATTGGAAATTGAAATGACAAAAATGTAAATGTTTTGAAACTAACAGCTGGAAGCTTGCAGACAAGAAATTAAAGCTATGCATACTCTCATTTCCTAGAGTCAACATATAAACTTTAAGATTCAAATTCTCTGAACTCAAATTCTCTGAAATGTTATATAGATCAGTGGTTTCCAACTGGCGGCCCTCAAAGCTTTTTTTTGTGGTCCGCGAACTAAAATATATTGTTATTTTTTTGTGGACAAATTTCGTAAAAAATCTATATGGGTTTAAAATACTTTTCTCATTAATAAAAACCTAATTTCTTCGTTTCTGTGAAATTTATCATACCAACGGTGCAAAAAAATTTATTTCTCAAGTTCTGCATCCAAGAAAATATTTATTCAAATACAAAAATAATCGTGTATGTTGCTCTTTTTTATTTAATTTTTTTGTATTTTGTGATTATAATTTAGCATGTGTGTATCAGAAATTTTCTCAAAGAAATTCTCCGATTTAACTTTTTGTAACCACTAATTTTGGACGAAAATACTTATATACACATTTGTAAATTTTAAATTTAAAATATAAATATCTATTCTCTGGTGGTTGCAGCAGACAAACCTCAATTTTGTCATTGAACATTTTGCGTGCTACTATGTAAGTTTTAATACCAACCTTTTTACAGTTTTATATCTTAACAATTAGATATCTGTTGCACATTAATTGTTTAATACGGGTGCAGATTAAAGTTATTGTAGCCCGAATTTTTTAATATGCAATTAAATATTTTTAAAAATCTACTTCTTATTTTAATTTGTAATTCAATACTTTTGTTTTGTACAACTTGGTGAAAATCTGACAGTAATATTTGATGTTCCTTCAAGCATAAAAGAGTCCTACATAAAATTTTGATAAAGTTGCGGCCCCCGCCATTTGACTTGTGTTTTTAATTGTGGCCCCCGGCCTCATGTAAGTTGGAAGCCCCTGATATAGATCATTATCCATTTGGTTTTTCCATATAATGTCATTTACAAACACGTGAAAAATTAGTTTTATGTAGTTCTTAGTTTTTAAGTTGCATCTAAGCATAATACTCATTTTCATTATGAAATGCTTGTTATGTATTGTTAGGCTTATAAAATCTAGCCTGAACTGGTGAGCTACATGCATTATTAATGTCATTTAAAAACAAGTGAAAAAAGTTTGTTTTATGCAGTTGTTTGTTTTTAAGTTGATTCTAAGAATAATGTTCAATTTTCTTATACATTGTTTGTTACATATTGTTAGGATTATAACATCTAGCTTGAACTGGGGAGCTACATATAGTATTGAAAACTGTCTATTTTTAAGTTGAATCTAAGAATAATACTCATTTTCATTATGAATTGCTTATTATGTATTGCTTATTATGTATTGTTAGGTTTGTAAATTATATCTATTTGAAATGGTTTCCATCGTTAAACACAAGCATGGTTAGAAACTAAGAACATTTAGTTGTTAGTTCATTGGTAAACTAAAAAGTCTCACTGTTATGTACCCACTATCAGTTGCTTATTTATATGTCTCTTCTATTCTTATTACAATAGGTTGTATTTTTTAAATTTTTTTTCATCAATTTTTCACTACCTACCCGTGTTATACTGTCCTACATTAATGAAGCAACTGTTAATCAAGTTAAGGTTTCAAAAAANTTAATTAAAAAAAAAAAAAAAAAAAACATTTTTCCAAAAAGTTCATTCTTGAAGAAAAATAAAGAAGAAAGGTGCAGTTTGCAAAAATCAAAACATTAAGTTGGTATTAAGAAATTCATTGCTGTTCCACTGAAGATTTTGACTTTTATTTTAACCTTTACCTTTGCATAGAAACTGGCAATTTTCTTAGAACCTAGTAATCAAGCTTCTCTTCTGAAATTGGGGGGAGGATATGTTGTAATTTCTCCCTTCCTATTTTGATTGGTGCAGGAATCCGAAACATCCCACCATTTGTTTGCACTATGTTGACTGTGATCTATCAATTGTTGAGATAATTAGTTATTATTACAAGGCGGGCCGTGTCCATAAACCACTGTTAATTTCGAGTACTGCGCAAATATTCATGAAGTTTTTCATTTACCATCCCTTTGAATTAAATGGAGACCATCTCCAGGCTTTAAGTGTTAAAAATGACCACATTGAAAAGCAATAGTTCTCTGTCAGAAAAATCTGAAAATTATTCTTTGATTTTTTTTCAAGCATTTATTTATTTGTAACATCTTCCTTTTATTATAGATATGGTACTTGCCATCCCTCTTTTCAAGGTACTTTAGCAGAAGCACTCCAAGTGTCTTGTTACAAACCTGCTAAAGAGGTACTATACTAAAATATTTTTTGAACAAAAAATTTTAAGTACTTGAATATTTTACTCAGTATCACTGTATTTTGTTTTCATATAGAGGAGACCATTAGCTATATACCTCCACCATGATGCTAGTGTTTTAACAAATGTTTTCTGCACTCAACTTTTATGTACTGAAACTGTAGTCAGTTACTTGACTTTAAATTTTGTTACATGGGCATGGGACCTTAGTTTTGAATCCAACAAAACATTGTAAGTATAAGTTATAAGTGTTATATTGCAACTCTTTTTCAGATAAAAATATATTAATTGTGCTTTTTTTTACTGTTTTTTTCTTCATTTAAATTAAAAGTGAAGAATTATGTTTGAATTCCCTATATTGTAAAAATAAGTCAGCTGTCTGTATTTTTTTATATTTATATTTTCGTACATGCGTCGAGTTTTGTAAACTGGTTATACCTAAAAAATGTAATCTAAAATCTTGTTTATCCAAAACAAGGTTTTAGATTGTGGCTTTTTAAAAAAAATTTTAAATTTGTCCTTTAAGGGATTAAGGAATCCCTGAAATAACTTTTAATGGCAAACATTTGAATTTTTACAGTTCTCAAAATGGATGTGATAAGAATAAAATTACATTGTGTACGTAACTCTGAACTTTTCTTTCTTTTTTTTCTTCTTTTTTTTTTCTCTTTGTATGAGCATTACCCATACAAATTGCTACTTCATTTTTTAATGTCTTATTTTTTAGTTTCAACCTACATTTTTTAATCATAAATTCAGCGTATTTCATTAATCTCTCCCTAACAGGTAAGTTAGAAATAAAATGCAAGGTAAAATTTTTTTTTTGTAATGAAATAGTTATACCTTCATGAATATAAAATCTAGGTCTACTAAATTAAAAATGTTTTGCTCATGATAAGGAAATACATGTTTAAAATGTAGACTGATTGTTAAATATTTTATAGCATAGCTTTTCCAAATATACTGGCCTTTTGAACACGTTGTGATTAAATCTTTATAAAAAAAATTGTCTGTAATTGTGCAATTTTAACAAATTTAAATTAATGAAAGCACTTGTTTTTATTTAAAAAATTTGTACTTAGATTCTTTTAGCAACTCTTTTTTTAAAGTTGTGTAGCTTTGACATCTTGCATGATTTTATCATAAAAAGTTGTCTGTTGACTTTCCTAAAAGTTTTATAGTCTATAGTTTAATATCTGGTATCATATCATCGTGGAAATTTGTTTGTTGAACAATTTTTTACTTTTCTTGAAAATTTTATTGTTTATACATTTTATTATCCAGTCATAGAAATTATAATGATAATTAATATATGACTCATGTGTTGTGATGCATGCAAAAATAAACAAAAAAGATAAGATTCAATACACTAGAAATTTTTAATTCAATTATTATTATACTTAACAATAATTCTACAGTATATGTGTAATTTGTTGTTGTATGAAATGGTACTTAAAAATTATGGCGAATCAGACTCATTTAAATTTTTTTAACTGCTAGAATTAGTAGAAAAGTGTACTTTATTTTAGTGCTGATTTAGTAATAATGATTTTGTTCTTTTTGTAACTGCTTTTTAAGTTATCTGATATAAATATTAGTAATTTAAGTTATTTAATTGTAATTAATATTTTAATTGTATTGTAGCTTGCTTGCGATTCTCTCTCAACATCTTGGAATGCCAGCAGCGAATACTGTGAAAAACTTAGCTCTAGATTCTTTACCTGCCCTCTTGATTATTTCAAAAGTGAGATCTTCTCCAGAAGTTCTAACTGTGATTCCAGGTAAATTTCAAAATTTTTTTTCTCATATTTTTCAATCATAAAAAATTGTATTATATTTATAGTTTAAAGCTGTCATAGTGCTATCTATGATATTCATTTTTTCCTTCTTATGCATATCTTTCTTTCTCTACAAGTTTTATTTTTTTGTCAATGTGGACCTAGATATTCAAGCATGGCTCGTTTATTTCTACTAAATGATAGAGCCTCAATGGATCATTTCTCAACCATTCATTGTAAACGATAGGTAAGAGAAAAATTACCAAAGTGGGTCGACATAAAATATCAAGTAATGGACTTAATGAATTTACTAGGAGTATAATAAATTTGCTAGGAGTATAAAATGTTTTATTTGAAAAAATTATATGCTCACTACTGCAAAAATATTTACAATGCAAAAGAAAGATGAATGCAGTATCACATTTATTTATTTAAAATATTTAGAAATTTTTTTTAGCATTTTTTTCCCCCTCAATCCAAAACTAATAATAAATTTTCGACGTTGGTTACAAATAGTTGTTTTGTTTATTTTCTGTAAGTTAGTGTGAATGTGGCGTCAAAGCCTTCTGCAGATGTTGATACTGGTTGTGGTTCCGTTTTGCGATCTTCATCAGTATATCTTGCAACTATACATTGAACTGATCATGTTTCACCATTTTCATCAATTGATAAGCATAAAATGTGATGTTTTAGACGTTTTCATCAAAGTGTAATATGATCCTCATTTTCTTCTTCATTAGCATCAGGAGTTACTATTTTTCTTCTCAAAACGAAATAATTTCTTTTTTTTAAAAAAAAAATTGTCTGCAGAATTTCTGAATAACAGGCATGAGAATCTACGAGTTACAAAAAACAATCTAAATGGATTTTAACATTATGGGAATAACATTTGTGAGTTGAGACCATTAAAACAGAACGATATATATGAGAAAATACAAGATGCAGAAACAATGGGTCAAGGTTCGACTGTATTAGTTTATATATATTTGCTATATTGAATTTTTTCAATTTTTATTGTTATAAAAAAAATCAAAATTTGGATTTATGTTGCTTTGATATTGTTAAGCTTAGGTATCATTTTTTTTTGTAATTTTGTCAGGTTAATCAATTAAAATTTGTGTTGATGTTAAAGCTAGATACAAAAGAATTATCAAAATATGTAGATGCAGAAACAATGATGCAGAAACAATGGGTCAAGGTTCGACTGTATTCGTTTATATATATTTGCTATATTGAATTTTTTTCAATTTTTATTCTTATGAAAAAAAATCAAAATTTGGATACATGTTACTTTGATATTGTTAAGGTTAGGTATCATTTTATGAAAATATGATATAATTTATGTACATCAAAATGCTTATAATGCAGCATCAAATTAAATAATATACATTGATCAAGTTTGAAATGATTATGGAATATTTTTCAATAATTTTTAATTAAGTTCTTTTACTGCAAACTCCTTTAGCTGAAGAGCAATAGTAATCAACTTTTAAAAATTACTTATCACATTTATTCATTTCAATTAACATAGACTCGCCTTAGTAAAATTAAATTCCAGGTTAAAACGATTTTTTATTGCACAATTTACTATTTTTCATTTGGTTATAATTAAACTATATATGTTTATGTAAATAATTAAAACTTTGGTTATTTAAGAGATTTTTCTCTTAAACAAACTTGGTCTTTTAAAGAAAAGATAAAAATGATTTAAATCATTGTTTAAATTGACATTTGTTTAAACCAGTCAACCCTGACGACATAAGATGAAAATTTATTATGAGAATTTATTTAAAATCTTCTCTTCCGCCGCCTCATTCTCAATATTAATTAATTTTTACTCATCTTTTTTTTTAAAGAGATTTATTCATATCACTTATGAAAATTTATCTTTGACAAATTATGCTTGACAAAGTATCTTTTAAAGGAAATGTTGGCTTAGATGACCTTATGACTCGCCTAATCCATGCTGTAGAAGTGTTTAACAGTGAGGTACAATCAGAAATTTTTGAAGAAGTAAGTGTTGATAATTATAATTCCCACAATTTTTGATTTTTTTAATTGAAAGGAAAATTGATTTTAATTTGTCTCAGTAATTTTAATGTGTGGAAAGTTCTCTCATATTTTGTTTTTTCACTGGTATCTAATATGACTGAAAATAATATGAATATAAATGTAAATAAGGTGAATATAAGGGGAATTAAATATAAACAATATGAGTAATAAATGCCTTATTTGAAAATTTATTGTCAGTTGAAATTTACATTATTTTTCCAATTAGCTAGAGTGTTGAAATTTAAATTGGAGTTACGTATCTCAAGTGATGACAATGTAATTTTCAATTAACTGGATAGAGCTCTGTGTTAAAGGATGATAAAAGTTTTACCAAATCTATTTCTTTGCCCAAATTTTATGAAAATTTGATTTGTTGGAAGCATTAAATTTTTTTTCTTACAAAAAGTTAAATGAAAATGTTTTAATTGTTTGCTTTTCTTTTAAAGAGTGTTCATACAATTATAACCTTATTTAAAAATCCCACCTTTTTCCCCTCATTTCTTAGAACTATAAAAGTTTACAAATGAATCAAATTAAGAAATGTTTCTTTTTTCTTCTTTTTGTTTGTTTTAAAAATTTATTTATTTGCTTTTGGGCTATGCAAGCAAGTAAATAAAAATAAAAAATCCTTTTTTTCTTCTTTTCTTTTTTAACAAAATTAAATTAAATTTTATAGAGAAATTAATTTGATCCCAACATCTATTTATTTATAATTCTCTACAAATCTTATTAGTTTAAAACTTAAGAAATGTAAGTCTGAGAATTTTTCTATAGAAATGGTATCATTTTTTATTCTTAGTTAATAATTTGTATTCTAAAAGCGCTAATAAAAAATGAACACCATTTAAGTTAAAAATAATGGAGGTATTTTAAATTAAACATAGCTCGATTTTGAGGACAAACAATAATACTATAAAGCTATTAAAATGGAAAGGTAAAATTCTATTCTGTTTCATATTTTTTTTCCTAAATTTTGTACTTTTAATGATTGAGAAAACATGTATTTTCAGGAAGCCAGAGAGGCACGGGAGAAAGTAAAACGAGAGCAAGATGCTGCTTATGAAGCTTCTCTCCTAGCTGACAGAGCAAAAGTAAATTTATAATAAGTTTGCTTAATAAAATAATTTAATTCAGAAATTTTAATGATGAAATACATAATTGTTACAATTTATTGTTGGTTAATTATATTGTTGCTAATAGCCTAAGACAAACAATAATAAGGAGTAAAATTGGCATACTATTAATTTAAGGTAAGGCTGTGGTAATAAGTAATCCTAGTTCTTTCTAGAAGAACAAGAAAGAAGAAAGTCAACAGGTTGTAATAAAACTTTTCTTTTCATTTTTTTAAAGAAAAGAAGGAATTACTTAAAGTTGTTGAAATTAAAGTGTCTTCAATATGTTAAAGTGTCTTCAGTAATAATGTAAAATTGTTAATATTAGATTAATTTTAAAGCAAAAAAAGAGGGTGTTTAACGGGAACCTTAGAGTGCAAAAGATTAAATTGGAATAGATTTTTTTCTAACGTTACGAGACAGTATGATACTAGGAAGATCATTGGCTAAATTATTAGAATTTTTCAAAATACAAAATGATTCCCAGAAATCAAGTTCGGTAGATAAAGAGCAGTGTTAAAGGATTTTATCTGAACAAAACTCAAACCTATTATTGGAGTTCCAATTATGGAGGGAGATGGAATATCGACTAATATCCTGAATTTGTATCTTTCATTTCCTTTAAGTTGAAGTTAAAGGCTATGTTTAGTTTTTCCAATGTAAGCAAGGCCATATTGAAATTTGGGTATATACCCTAACTATTAATATCATCATTAGAGTCTTTAAGATTGGTGAAATTTAGTTTGTTTACAGGGGAGAAAACTGCTTTAAACTGAAATTTATTCAAAATCTTAGTAATTCAGTATTATCTGACTATCGCCTATTATCTGACTGATATTCAGATAATAAGGTGAAACAATCAAATTGTTAAAGATGAATTAGAGAATTTGGTGAATTGCTAAATTAATTTTAGATTGATGGAATCTATAATATTGGAAGGAAAACCATCATCTACATTAACAGCATTGTGCAAAATGCAATTGTACAGTGCTGTCATCTATTAGACAGCTGTAATTTGAGAAAACGTTATTATAAAATAAAAAAAACAATCTGCTCTGAGTAGGTTTGCATATTTGGTCTAAAGTATGGATCTAATTGGAATATTCGACCAAAGCATTTTTAATCCATATTTTAAAATTGCTGTAATTAAGTGATAAATGATATTACTTTATTCATTGAAAAGAAAAGTTTGTACTTTTTAAAAACAATAGAATATTCATAGATAATTTAGGAATTTTTTTTTTAATGTCTTGTTGCAGGTAAAATTTATTCTAAAAGCTCTAAGGTGACATATAAGACAAAATATGTGTTCTTTGTGCATGGAAAACTCCATTTACAGGAATAATTGAATCTCAAAATGTTGATTTCTCTTCAACTTTCCTATTTGTAGTTTCTTTTTATCTCTCATAGGAAAGACCTAATGTATAACTCTTATTTGTGTTAATTTAATTATTACTATAGGAGGAGGCTCGAAGACAAGAGTTTGAAGAAAAAATGAAACAAGAAGAAGAAGAACTAATGAAAAAAGAAGAATTAGAGTTAATGCGACAACATGAAGAAGCTGTTAAAGATGTAATGTCTTTTTTTTTTAACTTTAATTATTTTTAAATTTTAATTTTTAATTATTTAAATTATTTTTATCTTCAGACTTAGATAGTTAGAACTAACAACATTACAAAAGAGAAATTATAGGTTATCATGTAAATTCTACATGTTTTATGTATTCTGTTGATGAGACATTTTCATATTCATATCTATTATAACATTGGGTGGAGCAGTTGGTTTGTCATTGGCCTTCTGAGCCCAAGTCTGCGGGTTCGATCCCCGGCTCAGACACCTGATTTTCGGGATGCAGAAAATCCTCAGCGGCCGTGTCGTATTATTATGCGGCATGTAAAAGATCCCTAGGGTGCCTTATTGGCTCTTGGCATTTCCGGCAAAATTAAATTCCCAGTGCACTTTAGCATCCAAATAGAGTCTCGGTGCTGCCATCTAGTGTGCAGAAATTAGACGTCCAAATTAACAAGATCAACGGTATCTCACCCATTGTGGTGGTCCTGAAAGAATGGATACCACCTCTAGAGAACGCACTAGGTCTGTTCATTGGCAAGACCGATTGTGCAGCTCATTGGAAATAAAAATCTATTATAACATGTATCTGACTTCAAAAAGTAAATTTTTAAATGGTTTTAAATGCAGTGAAACTTTGTTATCTAACATTTGTTTTACTGAGAAGGCTACTCATAGGAAAATTATTTGTTACACTTCTCCTGTGATAAGAAAAAATCATTTTAAAAACCACTGTTATTTAGTCATTAGTTAGCCACTGTTATTAGTTACAAAAACCACTGTTATTAGTTAGAACCGATCTTAAAATTTCTTCTGCTTACTATAATTGATACAAATTTTTACTGCATTTTGCTTTGAAAACCAGGTAAATATTTTTGCTGAATAGTTTTTTTTATAGTTAACAGCAGCATCTATTAATGAATTTTATAATTGATTTTGTATCTTGGTGTGAATCAAATCTAATTTTCTAAGCAGAACACAGTAAATTATACATTTATATTTTCTGTGTGTTTTCTTTAACTGCATTTTAAAATTGCCAATCGCTTTTTGATCACTCAGTATCTAAAGCATTAAATTTTCTGACATTTTTGTTGTGTTAGGAAACTCTGATTGTAAAAATGTAATGAACTTTCTTCAACTATGTATTTATCATCACTCAAGAATTAAATTATTTAAAATGTATTTATCATATCTGTCAATTTGATCATTCTGAGTAAGTCATTTTTAATACCAATAAATCATTCATCAATGTTCAAAATGTGAAAGTTGATTTCTATGTCTAGGGCTGTTGGTAAAAAGTATTTTTTTTCTCAGCGTGCTAATAAATTAGTTTAGTCATATCAAATCAAAAATCAATTAGTCATATCAAATCAAATTGAAAATTTTAAGCTTAAAATAAAGTGTATGTTGAATTTTATTCACGATTTTTTTCTACAGTCTCTCTATGTTATGTAAATATTGATTACCTTCCTTAAAAATCTATATTCCCTAAAATTAGTCTCACTTAATATTCGGGTGATAAGATTTTTTGTATTCTATGTCTAGGTTGGCTGTTCATTGTTAGTAACTAAATTTTTAAAAACTTTAAACTTTTAACATAGAATTTTTTTTTATACCAAATTGTTTTATCAATTTAATTTTATATCATTTCCATGTTCTACAAATGTGGTTTACCTTCATTAAAAATAGTTCCAAATCAAAGTTCCCTCTCTATTAATCTCTCTTAATATATGAACAAGTTTCTTTGTTTTCTAAGTCTGGGTTAGAATAACAAAGCTAAGCACTAAGAAATGAGAATCTTAATTCTGGATTGGCTGCTCAAAATCTGTGACTAAATTGATACCATAAAAATACTATTGAATTGTTGAACAATTTAAAGCTCACAAAGTTTATTTGATTCTTTTTTAATACCTAACTACTGAAACGATTAAAGTTCTACCCAAATTACTCTGACTTAAAATTGTGACTTGCATGTCAAAATAATTAAAGCCCATAAAACAAAACGAAAGAAAAGTTAAAAATAATTTTATGCTAAAAGTTGAAGGGTTATCCCATAATATTCATGTATGTGTTATGTTCTAAGCCATATTTGGACATATTTGTAAAATTTCAATTATTTTTAATGCAACTTAAATACCCAAAAAGTCACTGAAAATGAATTAAATTGAGTTCGATCCTCCAAGCATTGAGTCCCTGGGTAAAACTGAATAGATATTTTTTGACATGCACGATTTTCCCATTCAGTAACATTACAAAACTGTTTTGTGTGTGTGTATCTGAAAGTTCGGAAAAGGCTGGGACTAGCGCTCATAGGGTTAAAGTATCACCAAGTCCAATTTTTTTTCCGAAGAAAGATTAATCTTAAAGTAATTTTTTTTTTTAAAAAAAAGAGATCTATGTTTTCTACTCAAATGCAAACATAAAAAATATATTGCAAACATAAGAATTTTGTAATACAGTGGAAAGTCGCGTATCCGGAATCGGCGGGNCCGGAAAAGGGACGTCCGGATATGGGACGTTACACTGTATATTTTTTGCATAAGAATAAGACTTGGCTAATAAAATTCATGCCACTGGTTAAATAAATCAGAGAAATTTGATAAAATCAGTGAGAAAGTAGAAACCATGATAATTTTTTATTAAATACTCAAAATCTAATATATATTTTCGTTTTATTTAGGCTGTCAGAAGATCTTTAGCAGAACAACTACCTCCAGAACCACCTGCTAACACTTCCTCTAAAGTGAGTCATATAAGAGTCAGATTACCCAACGGGGAGACTCTGATTCGGAGTTTCACAGCTGACACACCCTTATCACTACTATTAACGTATATTGCCTCCCAAGGCTATCCCATTGCAGAGTACAAAGTGCTGGCTAGCTGGCCTCGCCGAGATGTAAGTTAACACTTTTGTTTGTTAAATTGAAGCTATTTTTAAAGTTAATGAGGTGAAAAATTCATTTTTCTGAATTCGAAAATTTTCTTCTTTTATAAAATGAAAATATGTTTCGACTAATTATTTAACATTTTAGATATTTTAACATCCTTCTTGTGATTCGACTGTTTCTATTGAAATTTATGTTCTGATAATGTATTTTTTAAAAAGTTCACGATTACAAAATGTTCTTAGTTAATTTGTTTCTTTTTATATCGTAAAAAAATAATTACTATTCCATGCTTCCTCATTGAGCAAAATATTGATATATGACCTCATTGAGCATATGGTTGTTAACAGACAAAGATATTCTAATCTTGAGGTTAATAAAACCTATGCAGGATTTACCTGTTAATTACTTATTTATCCTTTATTTAATTGCATTTACAAATAATATTTGTTTATCACGCCATCTTATTATTATTTTTAGTTATTTTTGCATTTTGATTTTCATTGTTTTTAAAAATAAAAGCTTAAAACCAAGGTTAAACACAGGATTTACTAATACCAGGACAAAATTCGTCCTGGTATTAGTAAATACCAGGTTCCCAAATCCCATTTTCATATTTTATAATCTTTTAGAGAAATACTTTTCAAAACTATGATTTACCTTTTATTCTTAAAATATCAATTGTAATAAACATTAAAATATTAATTTCCATTTTTTTAAACTTAAAACTGAATGCTTGCTTGTTTTCATTATTATTAATATGTACTGTGAAGAAATTCTTTACTAAAATTGTAGAATATTGCAAAAACACACATATGCATATAAAATATCCTCTGCAGTTTTAAAATTGAAAATCATTTCATTTCTTGAAATGAACATCAACTTCTTGTTGTGAACTGAACAATTCCAAGCTTTGAACAATTGCCCCCTGTTTCCCCCTTAAGTATGGCATATTTTAAAATTAAAAATGTTACTTCATATTAAGTAATTATGACATAGAATTATATTTACTTTATTGTGAGTAAAACTGTGTTACGTCAACTTAAGCAATTAAAAAACAACAAATACAAAATAGTTATTTAAGATTGTAATGCAGTATTAGAAACCTACTTTTTGTTCTGTTGTAAAATTATCTCTAAGGGGGAATACATTTTACAAGGTTTTATAATTAAGCTAAAATTTAAATATGAATAAAAAACACATTTGTGGTTGGAGTAGCAAAGTAACTGATTGAATGATTACGTTTTTATCCTAATAAAAAGTTAATCTGTAGAATAAAATCTCTGTCAATACAATTAAAAAGGTTGGTATGTTTTGCTTGAATATTTTTTTAAGTTGGATATAACACTCTATTTATAGTCAATTGGATTTGGTGAGCAAAGCAAGCAATGGAAAGAACTTTATAGTTCTTCTGGAAATATTTTTTATTTTTACACAATTGCACTTCTGCCTTTTATTAATTTCAAATAAATAAATGACAATCCATAAAATTAAAAAAATAAAAATTCTTACAAATAAATAAAAATCCGTACGAGTAAAAGATATATCACCTAAAAAAAATTTGTTATTCTATTCTGGCATGATTTCATTATTTTCAAGCTCTTATATAGATGTTAGAAATTATTTTTCAATGATTTTGCTTGTGATGTTATTTTTAATAGTATTTATAGAGGGGACAACTTTCCAAATTAACTATCAGTATTCTATAAACACAATAACACAAAAGTATATACAGTTAATATTTATAGAATGGTCACTGTTAGAGCAGGTTTTGGCTCGGGTTGGCAAGAGAAAGGGAATCCTTTTCTTCGGCTTATTGTTTAAGCACTAGAGTGAAGAGCAGCTACCCTCCCTGAAATACACTCTTCTTGTTTCCTTGGCAGCAGACTGCCTCAGACTTTGAGGCAAGGGGAGTTCTTATAGACCAACTACACTTAATTTTATATAGGTACATAATGTTAATAAAAATTATATATATAAATTTACTGTTAAGTTAAAAAAAAGTATTTAGATGAGTGCACTAAATTAAAAAACATGCAATACTGAAATTTTATATTCTATAATAAAATTATCTTGATTATGTGGAATCGATGTCCTAATCATAATATATTTGATATAAATTGGAACTAGCCCTTATTGCCTTTTTAAAATCCTGCTTTTAAACCACAAAAAATATTTGCTCCTAGCATTTCAGATTTGAGTTTATGCTCTTTGTGTTTCTAATAGGAATAAAGTTTAAGAATAGCTTGTTGGAAGGGGGAAAGATGAGATTTCTTGTTTTTTTTTCATTGCTTGTTTCAATCAAATTGTTTTTCTTTTTTATTTGCTGTTTTTAAAATTGTTAAAAGAGTAGAAAAAACTATCGTAGATTTGTTGTAAACCACAAAATTTCATAGCTCTTGGTTCTTAAAGAAGGAGGAAAGTTATTTTAAACAGATTATGAAAATTCTCAAACATCGTATTTTTTTTTCCAACTGGAAGACTGTAATCTAGACTGAAATCATAAACGTAATATGCTTGCATATTTTTTTATTGCTTGTTTCTATCAAATCATTTTTATTTTTGTTTTTAGAATTGTGTGAGAGGCAGGAAAAAATTATCGTACAACAACAAAATTTGCACTTGCAGTGGCAGCAAGCAACAAAATTTAATAACTCTTGGTTGTTAAGGGGGGAAGTAAATAATTTAAACTGATTATTAAGGAAATTCTCAAAAAGTGTAATTCTTATTACTCATCAATAAGACCTTAATCTCAACTATGGAATCGTAATAATTACGGACAAATCATAATAGTTTTTATTTCTCTATTATAATCATGTATATGATACAGTAAATTAGCAAATGTAATAAATCACTATTAATGTTTCTTTTTTCTTATTACAGCTCACCACACTAAATGAAAACGAAACATTAGAAGAGTTAAAACTATATCCAAAAGAAACACTAACACTGGAAGAGAGATGAACTAGTGCTCACTATAAACTAATTATTATAAGACGCTTATTTCTTACCTTAGAAAGAGCGTAATGACATCTAAGCCACCTGCTGCAAAGATAAAGTTTTTACTTGTGATGCCCATTCTAAAATAACTATACAAGCAATCTGATCTGCGAATTTTAGGAAATGAAGTAGATCACATTGATTTCCATAGAGGGAAAAAACTGTTTTGTTAAATTTTAATATTTATTTTTTAAAGTTTTATTCTTTTGATCAAAATTTGTTTATGCTTTTGTATCTATTTTTTTTGGCTGTATACAACAGCTGATACTAAATTATAAGGATTGTATGCATGTAGATATATATACATATTATATATATATAAGTCACATTTTACTATCTCACTTTGTAATATGTGTATAAAATATAAATAATGACTCAAATAGTGTCAATGTTTTATTAAGTTCTCTGACATTACAGACAAAAACAATACTTTTTTTCAAATCTATAAATAGATTTGAAGATTCCTGGATATGAGTTGATACTAATAAAATCAGCCATTTTTTAAATTCAAATCTGCGAGAATGGAATTATTATTATATCAGAACATGAAAATCATCTTTCAATAAAATCATTGCAGTTCTGTAAAATCAAATTTTCATAAGGCGTATGTTTTAAAAATGATAAAAACTGCTTTTTTTGCTTCAAAACAGCAGCAATTTTTGTTTTTCCCTTATATGCCCATTAAACATCCTTATAACATCCATCCTTGTATGTCCATTAAACCTTATTTGTCCAGTGAATTTTGCTTAAACGTTATGACAGGTCAAGTATCCCAAAAATTGCAAAGGGAACAGGAAAAATAAGTTATGACTTGTTCTTAGGAACGTACAATTCTCCAACACAGAAAAAAAAAAATTTTCTTTTTCCAAAATGAGATTTTTTCTTTGCCTTGTCGATTGTCGCCATAAATTTTTTTAAAGAAAATGTGGTTTTTCTCAGCATTCTGTTAAACGTTTGTAAAACTCATTGAGCCACAATCTGTTCCTGTTTAGCATAGTTTCATACCATACAAAAAGCACCAATCATTTTACACAATGGATTAATTACTTTCTGCCAGCCCGTGTACTCAGCTGGATTCATTAGATAGGATTATTGCACTCAAAGAGCAACCAACAATCATTACTACGAAATTTTCACTCCCCTTTGATTAATTTGATTTAACGAGAACTGAGATCTTTTAAAATTTTAGAGAGTTGAAATGTCTGAGAGACCATCTGCGAATTGTATAAAATATTTAAAGCTTTTTATTGTAGTCTGATTATATTGAATTTGTTCTATAACAAAAACGTTGTTGTTCTCAGTGTTCCTTTAAACTTTTGTAAAACTCATTGAGCCACAATCTGTTTCTGTTTACCATAGTTTTATACCATACGAAAGCACCAATAATTTTACCTGATGGATTAATTATTTCTGGGTCTGCTTAATTGGCTGGATTCATTTGAAAGGATTATTGCACTCAAATTGTATGAAATATTTAAAGCTTTTTATTGGATTTGTTCTAAAAATTTGCAGTTCTCTTGAATTATTTTATGGAAAACTCAATTTTTAATGGCAGGGTATGAATTGGAAGACTTCTCACTATTTTAAATTATGCGAATACAGTAAGAAATCTTATGTGTTATAGATTTGTCAATTCAAAATAATGTATTTTATATATTTTTTTAATTAATTTGAAAATAGTTGCATTTAAAAATTCTCTTTGATTTGTTAAATAGGGTGAATGTCGGGACCATATAATATTTTACCTGTGGCAAAAATGTTTAGCTTCAATACTCATTGTCTTTTCATTTCAAAATTAATGAATTATTATTTTTTCATTACAGAAACATTGTAATAGTTATTCAAAGTAAATGATCGTAAAACTCTAAATTACAATGGAATCAGGCGTGTCAAGTGAATTTTGAATAAATCGTTTACTAATAGTGGTTACTCAAAGGCAAAGTTAGAATGTCTTAATAACAGTGTGTCATATGTAATTCCAAAAAAAAAAAAGATTGGAAAATTTGTGTTTACGATGTGGGGTAATCCAGTAGTTCAAAAAGTGATAACTGAAATACAAAATTCGTGCAGTGTAATAACATCATATTAAAGATATTGTGAATTGAAAAACCATGTGGAAATGAACAAAAACCGACTAACAAGGCTGTACGCTTTGCAACCCCCTCTAGAATTATGATTGCTGCATTGATGATTTTATGTATTGTTGATGGTACAAACATCAATGACCATTTAATTTTACTTGTCCATATGTCCCTACTGTATCATTATAGACAAGTTTTAGTGTATATGTAATATATGATGCTCTGGTTGCTATCGACTAGAATCGTCTCTAAACTTCGTGCTAATTTTAATCAATTAAAAATTGAAAGCTATAACCTTTTCAATTGCCACGACATGGCTTTTTCCTCCACAGACAGATGAAGAGGCTCCAGTCACTAACTTAACTGCTTGTGTATAGAAGGTAGATTACACGATTTATTTTGAATAAATTCATTCGTTTCAGCCATTTTCTCAAGTTCCACAGTGAGCATATGCTTAGCCCTTGGAGGCTACGTAAGGAAACAATTTTGCCAATTGATCGTTGTCATTTGTTTTAAAATCAAGAGGTGGAATCAAAAAAATAGAGAAGAGTTTCATTTGTTTTGCCTATGTACTTTCTGGAACTCTTTTGAAGCTTAATTTACTCACAAACGATAGTTTGACGTTGATCTTGGCTATCAGTACGTTTGCTGGATGGTCATAAACAATTGTTTAGATTACAGGATTCACTACTAATTTCAGATCATTGCGTAGATATTTTGAGTTGTAAATAACTTTGTACAGATGCTGTGCACTGGCTGAGCGTAAAGGCTCAGTTTTAGTGAGAATCCAAACCTATGCATGCGCTTTTACAGTATATTCCACAGCATCACACATTTCAATTGATGGCGCTTTTGTACTAATATATAGACGTAGCTTTATGTTAGTTGTTGCAGGTCACCTCATATGAGACCTGGTTTAGACATTCACATTGTTTTTGGACTTTTTCTGAAGTATACAGCTTGAAAAACAAATATTTTTGATCAGTTCTAAGCCCATCTGCATCTACTTTAGGCAGAACAGTAGCAATTTTATTAAACTTGACAATTGGCAAGTACTTTATTTACGTCGCACGAGAGCTGCACAATGGGCGATGGTTTGGGAAATCTTCCCCGAGGATGATTCAAAGACATGCCATCGCAATATTGATATTCTGCAGAGGGGATGGTTCTCCTGTTCGGTAGCCCGACGACCTGTGCGTGAAGTCTAGCAATTTACGGTAGAACAGTTTAACAAGGAGCGCACACTGCGCAGGCTGATCAAAATGGACACCCACCCGCTTACTGACCAGAGCCATGCTTAACTTCGGTGTTTTACTGGGAATCGTGTCTTTACGATCAGCCCACTTGCGGGGCTGATCGTTGCTAACTTCTGAAAAATTTCCTTATTCGATCACATGTAAAAGACCTGTAGTATTTCCATTTAGATGTTGTAACAAATAGGGTAAAAGAGTAGCTCATTGGCTCACAACTGACATATGGATCCACTGTAACGGTCTTCTTACATTTAACTCAAACAGTCTTATAACATTACCTTCCACACTAATATTAACTGTTGTTCCATTCCATTGCATTGCAAGTCAAGGTACGATTGAAAACTGACTTGTTTTCAATTAGATACTAATACTGAGCCTTCATGCACTGCATGTTTGGGAGGTGATCGACTGCTTTAACCGCTTGGCGTGGATGGCATATCAATCATTCTCGAGTATTTTATACTTAAAAAAAAATTCTGTAGTCTTAATACAGGAAATTTTCTACGCTTGGCGTAGATGGCATATCAACCATTCTCGAGTATTTTATACTTAAAAAAAAATTCTGTAGTCTTAATACAGGAAATTTTTTTTTTTAAAGATCGTAAATTTTTAACTAAGATGTTTATAGAAATAAAATTCCAAAGGTTTGAAATATCAAAGTAAATTGAAGATGCAACTATGTGTTAGGTACATAACTTATATCACATGCATAATCCAGATTTGCAAATTCTGAAGTATTAAGGTTTCACACACTAGTACAAGTAATTAAAAATGTTATCAGGAACAATATTTCTTACTCTGTTTTTTATTTGTCAATCCAATTCAAATCTTCACACTTTTGAAGAAGTGATGAATAAAATGGAAATTAGGAACTTTATTTTTTCTTATTTTATGTGCTATTCATTTACCAAAAGCAGAATAAATCTTCACTTTCAGCGAACTTTTTTATAATTTTTTTTCATAACATTTATTTTACGAATGATATTAATCAATAGTGATGTGCGAAAAACGAAATCAATATTTTAATTAACTCTTTTTTTGGTTCGATTCATAAAACTAGTTTTCAAAAAAGATAAATTTTTTTTTCGTTCTTTATAAAGTTTTCTTTACTGTGTAAGCTTATTCAGAATTAGTACTTAAACTTACTCCACAATTTTACATGCGTATGCAAGTTACCGCCTGTATGAAACTGAACCGCTGACCAATATATTAAATAGAAATGTCATAAATGACGAGAATTTAAAATCGTTTTAATGCAATACACGTGAATTGACAGATCCCGACGCAGTGAAAATTGAACTACTTTTACAACTTCCTTATCCTTTATGCGCCAGCTGAGATACAAGGTTTCAAGTCTTTCCAGACCCACCTGCCCTGAGCTAGCCTCCTCACATAAAAATTAGTTTTGTTTTGCACAGATCTTGGTGCATGTTTCTTTGCCAAATAAGTCTCAGTCTTCTTTTTTAACGTTTACCATCAGGTGCCCTAGTAAGTACAATGTTAGTAGTGCTATTGCGTTTTAAACTAAGGGTATGTTCAGCCCATCTCCTTCTTCTCTTAAAAATTTCTTTATGAATGTGTGATAATTTTGCCTTTGTTAGTAGATCTTTATTTAAAATGATATTAGGCCAGAGAACTTAAAAATAATTACATTTGTACACAGTTTATTAAAATTTAAACTATTCGAATGAAAAAATGACAACGTTATCGAGGACATGGAATCTGGAAAATACTATTTCATGTTTGGGAAAGATATTAAATTCACATGTTAACTCTAGAAAGACTGAAACTTAGTAATATACCTATATTGCCCAAAAGCAGTCAAAATGACTGGATTGTGAAGAATAACTAATGTGTAAAGAAATTTATTTAATATTAATTTATTATTACAAAATTAATTTATTTATTATAATATTAGAATAAAAAAATATATGTTCCACAAAATTCTAAGAAATTGTGTTTTATATATCATGGTTTCTCTAATTGAAATTAATTAGTCAAAATGACTTCCTTGGGCAATCTAGTGTTAGGGAATTCTGCGCTATATGTTAAGTTTCATTTCTGCGAAAAAGTGCAAGCTTTTGAATTAAATACAAATAAACCTATTCTTTGAATTTTTGAGTACAGATTAAAATAAAATGAATTTAAAATTTCTAAAAGTTTAGGAGTATGCACATTTAATGACTTTTGTTTCTCATTTACATGAAATGCAACTTATTTGAATACGTAAAATTATATAATCCCACCCATAGTGCATGGAAGTTTTTATAGTAATATTCCCTTTAAGACAGTTTTAAGGGGTTTACTTTTTAATCCTCAACGCACCGTGAGCAGACTGGGAGATCAACAGCAATCCTTTTTCTTTTTTTTTAAGCGTATACATTATCTACACAAAATATAATGCGTAGCCAAATGTTTGAACAAAAAATAAGTACTCTATAAGCACTATATATTTTAACAAAATGAAAAATAATTTTCAAATACTTAAAAAGATCATGATAAAATAACTAGCTTCTGACAAAGAACTCCTTTTTTTTATTACATTAGCCATTATGAAATGATCAAGAGATTTTTCAGTTTGATCTCAGTGGGTGGAAAAGGAAGTCTAAAATTGAGAATATCTTGCAAACTGCAGCAGAGTTGCACACGAGACAGCAAGTATTTCAATTAACACGTAAAACGATTAGCATAGTCATACGCTACCGACCAACGGTAAGCCGAAATAGACTGGTGTTGAATGAAGTGTGAAAACGTTGAATACAACAATGTGAAAAGCACATTTTTGCATAATGCATGGAGAAAATGGGCACGGTAAAGAAAAAAATCTTTTCGAAATTGGAAAATTTAGCACTTTTTAAAAACACCCTATGAAAAAAGCACCTTTAAGGGCTTTTAAAAAACAAAAATAAGCACTTTTTAAAAACGCTATGCACCATGAATTAATATGAAAGTGGTCTTGGAATATGAGGAAATATTTTCCTAGATTGATGGAAATTTTGCAAATAGAAACTTTTCATTTCCTTATTAATGAATTTTGCGAAATCAAGACACTTAAATTGTGAAAAGACCCCTTCATTGTGAGCGCTTGGCTGTAGTGAACTTTTTTAATGGTTTTGTCTGAACTCACATTTAGATGTTATTTTAGAGGCTTATAGCGAACAACTGAGAAATTTTGCTTTCAATTCATAGAATATCAAAAACATTTTCGCAAAAGCTTACAGTTCCCCACATTTTTACGTAGTCAATAAAAATTGAATTAATAGATCAACTGTGGACTTTGACATTTGTAATTTTTTAAGGCTATTGCAAATTCATGTTCCTTAAGAGTACTACATTAATTGTCTATTTAATTTAATATAAAAAATGTATTGATGTACAAATAATCCAATAATGCTTTTGTAACAGGATAATGTGATTTTTAAAACCAAAGGGATCATGTTTTTAAAATAAATGTGACCTCTTCCTTTTTGACTTTTAATGAGTTACAAAACATCACTGTCATGCAGCAACTCCCTTGGTAATCACCACCAACCATAACATCCCCATGTTCCAAAGTTTGGGATACCTTGGAACACTGAGTCATCAGTGAGTCAAAGGGGTAATGTGGAATTCTTATCTAAAAATAAACATGCTGAGTTAAAGTATTTTAAATTCAATGTTTTATTTTTAAAAAATATAATATTTACAGTTTTGATCACTTATTTTAATAACTTTTAGTAATAGCTACACAGTAGCTGACATTACACAAAATATTTATCATTACAGTCATGTTTGTACATAGCTTAGCTACTTAAAAAGGAAAACAGTAAAAGTGGCATATTTTAAAGAACTTAAAACACATAAAAACTTTCGAAATTAAAAAATTCTCAATCAAGCATTATAAAAACAATTTTTTAAATAACAGTTTTCTACACACAAAATCAGACTCATTCACACCAAATAACACTTTTCTTTTGAACAAAACCTAATCTTAAAACACACGACAAAACAGAATGTGAACTGATAAATACATTTAAAATTTTATCAGCTATCATATCATATCACATTTGAGAACTTTCAATTTTGAGTCTGTTGATTTTCCCACCTAGTGGCCAAAAATCTTCTGTATATAACTGTGACATATATTGCAACTAATAAAAGAACAAACATATCATCCAGTAGACCTAAAATTCCAAATACAGCCTCAGGAATCATGTCTAGCGGAGAAATGAGGTACATAATGGCGGCTACAAAACAGAGCAAAATACGTAGTCGAAACATGTACATTATTCCTCCAAAAGAGAAAAATTCTGATCCAGCATGTCTGAGCAGAGTTGGCAAATCCCATAAGTAATCCAGCCACTAAAATAAAAAGATACAATTTAAATAAGTAGACAAGTCTATTAATATATAATAAGCAAGTTCTGTAAATTCCAATTACTCCAGCTTTTACAGTAATTGAAAAGTTTAAACCTTTTTATTAATAAGTTTAGATATACTACTTTATAAAATAACAGTAAAAAAAAAAAAAAAAGACGAAGCCTCATAACAAAAGCGATTATAATAAGCAGTAGGCATAGTACTAGTTTATAAAATCAAATGTGATCTTATTGAGCGGCATATGGTGCATTATTATTCTATGCAGAGTGTATTGTAACGGAATATCGGCTAGCTCAAATTAATGGTAAATTACGATAAAAGTGACTAAAAGTACACTTAATAAAGAATTTTAATTAATAACCACAGATACAACATATATTACATTTGAAGTAAAAGAAAGAATTAAAATTTAAGAAAACTCGGGAATAGGGGAAAAGTCATGTTTAAGGTTTCATATCTGAACTTGAACTGAGTCTCGGTGGTGAGGACATAGGTGGCACCACAGGGCATCGCTTGGTTGCTACAAGAGTAGTTTTTCCAAAAAATATATATTACAATTACGCATTCATATCAACTCTGTGCACGAAATTTAATTTTAAGAAATAATATATCAAGATTTTGAAGTTTAATGGCATACTAGTATCTTTCAAATTATTGTGCTATTATATGCATAACTTTAAAATAATTGCAGTTAGTTGCAATATCAGAGAACTAATGCATACTTTTAAATAAAAATCAAAACTAATATATATTATTTACATTAAGTATCAATAAAACAACTTTTGATTTATGCTTATTTGAATAGTAAGATATTAAAAAAATGAGTTTTTCTTTAAACCAGTTTTTTTTTTATTAACAAGCAGGTGCCTTGTCTTTTTACAGAAAATTTCTGCTTTTTTTCAACCCTGGTGCTGCAGGAATAGTCCTAAAGTTTTAGGATTATTTTTGTTAAGTTTTATATATTTTATATATATATTTTTTGATAATATATATATATATATTTATATATATATATTGATATATATATCTAAATGATATATATATATATTTTGCAAAATTATTTTGATCATTGAATATGAAATTTTTACCAAATAAAGAATTATTTCCTCAAGCGGAAACTATGCTCAAGAAATCTGTCACTTGATCAAAAGATTCTGAGATTCAAAGTTAGCTCCATTGGCTGTTTAAACAGAACTTGCTAGTTTTCCGCAAATATTTGCAAGGCAATATTATTGTTTTTACTCTGATGATTAAAAAACAATTAATGGTGTCAAATAATCTAATTTACAGTATTTTAAAAGTTGGTAAAAAAATTTAGAATCAGAACAAAATATTTTTCATTAGGAGTATTAGGACTACTAGTCAGCATATAAAAGCAACTTTAACATTAAAATTAGTTTTAAAAAAATTATTGGCTTACACATTAAAATATTCAGCAGATAAAACTTTTTTTTTACCTTTTTACACACATAAATAATCAGCAGATAAAACAGTTTTCACCTTTTACAGAATATTGATAAATTAACAAGTAGTTAGATTTGCTTTTCTAGTTAATTGACATTAATGATGAACTTACTGGCCTAGGTTCTCCAGAATAACGTCGATTGTAGTCATTGACCTCATTCACAATCCTTGTACCTTCAGGAGAACTTTGCACTTGCTCAGGTCTGAAGCAAGGCATAATAGCTGTAACCTTTAAAAAAATATATTCCTTTAAAGTTTACTCTTATAACAAATTTTTCTTTAAAAGTACAGTATAATTAATAATCAATGTATAAAGAAATAAAAAATAATTTAATGAAAAAATTAAACATGGCAAGGAAGTTTCACTTTTACTTACACAGCAACAATAATCTAATGATAATTAATAAACATAAAAAAAACACCAACACAATTTTACAAGAGAGGGAAAAAAATGACCTTATATCAGTTAATATACAATTTTGTAAACATAACAACTTTTACTGTTACTGTTGTTCATTTACGTCACACTAGAGCTACACAATGGGCTATTGGCGACGGTCTGAGAAACATCCCTGAGGATGATCCGAAGACATGCCATAACAATTTTGATCCTCTGCAGAGGGAATGGCACCCCCGCTTCGGTAGCCCGACGACCTGCATGCGAAGTCGAGCACTTTACGGTAGAACAATTTAACGAGAACCAATACCGCACACCTTCGGTCCCGAAGCACACTGATCCAAGAGGTCACCCACCCGCACACTGTCCGCAGCCAGTGATGCTTGACTTCGGTGATCTGCTGGGAACCGTGTCTTAACAATCAGTCCACTGCGGGACAAAAATTTTAAAAGATAATCCTTATTATTGAAAAGTTGCTTTTGAAAGTATAAAAAAAAATTGGTACAATTGATGCATAATTTTAATTTGAATAAAAATCATGCATGTTTTAATACAATTATACATTAAAAAAAATTTAGTAAGGAAAAATGTTACAGAGCAAAATTCCCCTTTAAATACAAAGGATATTTTTAATTTAAGGAAATTTTTTGATATCTAAAACAAAAAATGCATTTTGTTTTTTGTCAGTGTTTCTTTATAAAAAGCAGAGAATAATTATAATTACGCATATTACTCATTTTCTGTAATTTTTTATTCAAATCTGTAAAGTAAATTTTTAGTTTTAATATTATGATATACTTAATGCAAAAATATAAAATTACAAAAAAAAATTCTATCATTAACAAATTTATTATTTATTTACATAAAGAAAAAATGTTTTGCAAAGCTTTAATTGCATTAATTTACAAAAATTTAAAAACTGTATTTATTAAGTTTATTTGGTCTCACAAAATAAGCATTCTTTTCTTACGAACTTAAAACGGAAAACTGGTCCATAATATAAACGTACCGCTGATTGAATTTATTAATCTCATTTTGTAAGCCTCTGATGACATATTTAGAAAGCCTCTTTTTCAATTTATTACAAAAAAGATATCTATATATATATATATATTGTGAACTAAAATTTTTAAACAAAAAAAAAACTATAAAAAGCGACAAATATTTACCACTGCACGGCAAACAGGACATTTAATAGCTCCAATCCAATTTCCATGCCTCCAATATGTAATTACACATTGAGCTATAAGAAAAAGTATACAATCAGTGTTAGTCAGTTTTTGTTTTTTTCGTTAGTTAGCAATTAGTTTTTTTTAACAATTCAGATTAGAATTTTAATAATTCATTCTTGATTTTCTCTTTGATCGAAGTTTTATTTGAAAAACTTAAACTTTAGAAAAAAGTTTCTTTTAAAAAAATAAATAAATGCTATAATAAAATGTTATCATTATGAATGAAAATTTGTTAAAGTACTTTTCTGTAGCTGAACAGCTATTTTATATTGGAAACAGATAGTTTTTCTAAGTGATATTAAAATGAAAGATAGCTGAGCAGTAACATATTTGCATATTAAATTTAATACACAATGCATAAATCACATCTATAAATAAAATTATTCAATAAATCAAATATATTAAAAACTTATTCAAGTTAACTGATAACAATCAATATGTTTTAAAAACAATGGTTCTTGGAATTTAATTAAATAAATAAATTCTCTCACACATGGAAAAAAAAAAGGTTATATTCCAAAATTTACTAATGTTATTAAAACAAGACATCGTGCATTATAAACTTTAAACATTTTTTTAAAGTTTTAAAAAGCTTTCTGTGATTTTTCAGCAAGTAGTCATAAAAAGTTTAATTATATAAAGAAAAGTAAAAAACACAGTAGTTGGAATTCCTGCTTGTCTATTAAGCATATCATTTCAATTTATGAGAACAAAGACATGCTAGTAATTTACTTTTACATGCTAAAGAAATTTTTAAACGAATAAGTTAACACTCTTCAATTTATTGTTATATTTAAATAATTATTTATACAATAACTTTTCTTAAAAGGAAAAATATAACAATATAAATGCACTTCAATACATTTATTAAGACATCTTACATTGAAGATACATTAGCAATAAAATTAAATTACAATATAAAAAGTGTAAGGAAACAAATGTTTAAAATCAAATTAATAATAGAACTAAACTGAATGTAGAATTTAACAACACAAAAAAGAGTAGTAGACGATTCACACTATACAACAAAGTAATTCGTTACATTCATAAAAATAATTAGCCGTATTTATTTTTGCATTTTACATTTAGATAAGTATAATAAAATTCAATTCCAAACAATAGGACAATAAGGGATGAACCATAGGCGAAAATAGTTATTATGATTTTATGAAACATGTTAATAATATCACTATCAGGGGTCTGTCTAGGAGTTTTGTGAGGTAAAATTTTGTTTTTTGCGAAAAATTAAAGTTTGCGAAAATTTAGCAATAATTTGTGAAAATTAAAAATTATTTTAAAAAATCAACAAAAAAATGTGGTAAAAATATGGTTGATCATTTTTGCGGGATACAAAAATAAAATTTCAAGAAAAAATATTGTTTTTTCTAAAGTTGAATTTGTGAAGGTAAGGCCCCTGGACAGACCCCTGACAATATAATTAAGAAACAACTGTACAATATTCACAATACCACAAAAAAGATGTCCACAGTTTGTTTCAACTGGATAATTAGGTCTTGCTAGGCACACTGGACAAATCTGATCAGGACTAAAATGACGAGGACGGTTGGTCATATTAGAGTTACCTGGATCACCACTAGTATTGTTATTGTTCACCAAATTAAGCCGTCTTGCTTCATTGATGTGCTGGTAATTATTAACGCTATTATATGCAGAATTTGTGAAACTGTAAAACAAACACTCTATAATACAACAAAACTAAAAAAATACATGGCAATGAAATGAAACACAGTGACTTAAAATTACTATTTTTTTCAACAATCAAATTGTTCTAGATTCTTAATTTAATTTATTTCTGCCATATGGTATCCAAAGAGTTTCGATTGTAAACTTGAAGAGTTTAAAAAAAAAATCTAATTATTGATAATATGTTTTTTAAACAAAACATGATTTTTATGAACCCTGATAAAATGCCTCAATGTTTTGTGCAGTCACTAACCTTAAAATGCAAAACCTTAAGCACACTCCTGATTGAGTAGAGTGCAAGTGGTAATTATTCAAAATAATATTGAATGGACTGCAACTGGTCATTTAAAGATTACACTGAAGGGAGTAGAATTAGTATTTATATATTACTTTTTCACATGGTTTCTTTTTCAAGGCGAACAAAATATTATTGACATTTCAGCAAAATGAAAAAACTAGATTAAACTACTATATGTGTATGTTTCTTTAGTTACAGTAAAGAGTGTATCTATTTTCTTTAGGAAAAATTTAGTATTTTGTTTTCTGTAATTTTTATTTAATACAATAAAAAAGAATTAATAAAACAACATCGAAGAACTAATGAGTTAATTATGCTATAAAGAAACTTTTAAGTCAATACGTTACTCAAAATTCATATTTATTGTTATGTAAAAATATTACATAAGATTATAAACCTTGTTAATGTCGTACTAGATCAGTATAATTCAGTTGTTGATGACGGCCTGCGATTCATCTTTGAACCAGTTTATTTATGAAATTAAAATCATGAATCAGGAAAAAGACTTGATTAAGAAATTCATTCTAATAAATAGTTTCATTTTACAAATTTTAAGAATATACAATATTATTCACCTTATAATTTAGACATTTTCATATAAAAAAAAATTGAATGTTGCAAACAAATCATTCAAATGTAAGAAAAATCTAACCTTTTGTAAATTAAAAATGTAATTAAGGAAACAGCAAATAATCCTGTCAAAAAGATTACGACTTCATTCCCGATACCTTCAATATAAGAAATATCATTGCTGTTCATATCCATGTAAAAAATAATTATCACTGTACTCAATCACATTGTGCAATACTGATAAACGTTACTAATTTTATTATTAATTTAAGTCTAACAGTTAGAAACGTAAAGAAATCTCATAAAGTTTATTTTTGATTTAGAACGATTATGATAACGATGAAAATTGGAACTATTTTTACTGGCATTTTTTATGCAGTCGGATCGACGATTGAGTTACGCACTTGCATTCACGCATGTGGTTCACGCACCTGCGATCGCAGACGTGGGAAAATGTTGATTAGTGAAATATATTCTTGCTCGAAAAACTCACCAATCAGATTCTCTATTTTTCTTGAAGACGATCAAAGGTGCATGAAGTTTTCGTATAAACCTCCAGTGTTATAAACACTTTGCACGCGGCGAATCGAATTGACGTGAGAATGCACTATAATGAGCATGTAGGTACTTTATTTACGTCGCACTTGAGCTGAACGGCGGGCTATTGGCGACAGAAATATCCCTCAGGATGAACAAAAATTATGCCGTTACAACTTTATGATTCCAGTTCTTCCATTTAGACATAGATCTGAAGGGTAAAGCAATTTTCTCCAGATCCCAGTACCCATAGTACTACTCAGCGATCAACCACAGGACCTTCGATTCCACAGATTTTACGAGCATGTATATCACATGTACTCAGTGGGTGCAAGTGGAGTCAAGGATCGAACCCTGAACCTTCAGAAAAGGAGCTGAGCTACCACAGACCTATAATAAGCAGGTAGGCAATTTATTTGCGTCTCGCTAGAGCTGTACAATTGACTTTTGGCGACGGCCTGGGAAACACCTCTGAGGATGATCCGAAGACATATCTCAACAATTTTGAGCCTCATCACAATTTTAAGGGAATAGGCTATCTGCCTTTTCATCACAGATATTCAGGAATTTGGGAAGAAAGTCTGTAATAACGGATCGAAGTTCCGGATCCGGGATAGTATAAAGAATAAGTCTTAAGTGGGAATTGGCTGGAGTGGAAAACATAGACCTTACTGGTCCATGTAAAAAAAAGAGAAGAAAAAAAATGTGAGGTCCTATATCATTACCTTAAGTGAATTAAAAAAAACGAAAATGTTATTAAATTGCATAAAAACTGTAGCTTGTATGCTTGTAGAGAGAAATCAATTGCAGAATTTAAAACAATGACGAGAAAATATCCAAGATCAGTGCAATAGAAAAAAGAAATGAAAAAGCTATTTTCCATAGTTATTATTAACATAAAGGGACTAATTTTTCGAATATTCTTCAACCTAACTATTTGTACCCTATTTTATAAATTGGGGCTACCCCCTTCCGTATTTTTAGGATCAAAATTCAAATTCGTTGGAAAAAAATGCATGTTCTTTTGGAGAAAGTGCATTTTTGTGTCTGATTTCATAGCTTAAAACATAACCTGCTCAAATTAATTAGCATATTTAAAGCCAAACCCTCAAACCAATAACATTGACTCTTAGTACGGAGTTAACCTGATTATTAGCCAAAAGTTATTTATAGGTCGTTATGAAAACAAATTCTATGCTAACTCAATGTAAACAATTTTTCTTCGAGCAGCAAATGTCCAGGCAAATTTTTCATGGCAAAATTGTTAGCACTATCAAGAGAGTCATGTTTGAAGCTTTTAGAAATGGTGTTTATTTTACCCTTGCAAAATTTGAGTCGACCAAGATAACCTTAGAAAATTATTATTTATTTTTTTTAGTTTTTATTACCACTATAATTAAAAAAAAATACTCATTCAAATATTTTAATCCTATTAAAATAGTATCGGACTATCACAGTCACCAAAGGCCGCTGTTATAGATGAAGGAGTGGAGTATCCATAAATTTACTCAGTCTGAAAAAAAAAAGTGGTTTCAGAATTTCGATCCAAATTTTGCAAGGGCAAAAATATCGTATAATTTCTGAAATCTTTAATTTGTGCTAAAATTTTTGTTACGTACAATTTTTGAAATCATTAGCTGCATAAAGAAGGATTGTTTTCATCGAGTTAGTTTAGCGGTGTTTCTAGTATTTTATTAACCATCTGTAGGTTTCCTTTTGCTTTCTCTCTCTCTCTCTCTCTTTTTTTTTACTGAAGTACATTTTATTTAAAGTGAGAACAATTTTCGGTTCATACGAATAGCTTAAAACATCGATATTTTTCTGAATTTTGCAGTAATTAAAATTTTTTTTAAGATAGTGCAACTCTGAAGTAATATTTAATATTTGTTGGGACATATTTTCTTTTTCATTATTTTTGTTCTTGTTTTTAAATGAATTACATAGAATTTCTCTAAGGCGCAAACTGGTTTCCTTGTTAAGAAGCCTAGATAGTTTTTCATTTAAAAAAATCGTGTACAGGGTTTAAATTCTAAGACGTGATGCTATGAGAAAATTACATAGCTGATTACTTTTACGATTTTTGTTAAAATTTTGCATAGTGGTACTTAAAAGACAAAGTAAAAGCATTAAAGTTATTGGCAATTAAGGAATATATATATATATATATTGCTTATGTAATATAAAATATATAAATTGATACTACTATTAATAGACATCATTCGTAAAAATCGCAAAAGTTGGAAGGTAGAGGGGTTCGATAAAATTATGGAAACACTTCTATATTAACTTATTGTAAACAATTATTCATTTTGAAGCAAACGTTTTGGAAGATTAGGCAAAATGTTTGCACAATTTGAAAAATCTCGTTTGAAGCTTTTAGAAACGGTGTTCTTTTTACCTGTGTAAAATTCCCATTGCCCAAACTGAGCTCTCGAAATAAGCTGATTTCCTTTTGCAATATTACTAGAATTAAAAAAGTATTCTGATATAAATATTGTAATTCTATAAAAGGATTTTAAATTTGCTTGTATTGAAGCTGAAATGAAGTTATTAACTTCTCTTCATCATGTTCCGATCCGTGGGTTAAAATGACATTTTTAAAAGCTTCATGGTTGATCTTTTAGTTTGTGCCAACAGTTTTGCCGTAAAAAATCTTCCAAAACATTTCCTGCAAAAAGAAAGATTGTTTGTATAGATTTAGTATGGATGTTTCCATAATTTTGAAGAAAATTCAGACAGTACACTTAACATAAACGGTAGATTTATTTACAAACATTGGACTATTAAAATAATCTCTGTTAAATCCCTCTGTCGGAAAAAAACCTTTATTGAAAGAGATTGCACTCCAGTATTGTTTTTAATATTAGAAATTTTTTCCTTTTCTTCTTTTTCTTGAAAGGTTGGTTTTTCAAGTTGTTACTTCAATTCAGATTTAAAGTCGTACAAAGGATTTTCTATTCCAGTGACTCCAAATTGCTGTGGGGTAAAAATATTTAAATATCATATATGCATTTAACTAAATTATTTAGTTTTGAATACGATGTTAAAAGGAATATTATGAAAACAAGTACACAAATAGAGAGAATATAAGACATGAAACACAACTATGATTAATTTTATTTCAATGGTTAAAAGCACTTTTAACACATTGTTAACCAGAGGTTTTTGTATGAACTAAAGCGAGAAACCGGAGGAGGGAAAACGAATATCATGATATAAATATAAACAACTTTATAGGATATTTGCACATATGTTATTAAAGTATTTTTTGTTAAAAGTTCAAAAACCACATAGTCCAATTCTCATGCACTTATACATACATATGTTTAATTTATTTACATGTCGTGGTGGTTAAAATTATTTTTAATTAAATTTATAAATCCATAAAATAAATAAGAAGTCTAAATTATGATCGCTTTAGATATAAATATTAAATTTTACACGAAATCAGTAAGAGTTGTTGTATATTTTTTCGACGGAACTGCAAATAAATCGAACACAGACGGTAAGTTAACGATAACCTAACTATGAATGCCTAATATAATACTTCGTCTGTTATATCCGGCTTATGACGGACGTCACATGATGTCCCAGTTAAGAAGTGTATACGAAACACAGGAAAATATCATGATATTACATTTATTTATAATGAAAGGTAGAGTTTGTGTGTTTCTCTTCCGGAACCGTTTGCTATAGTATCCTGAAATTTAAATTGCAGGTGCAAAGAGCAATTTTAGCCCCCAATTTTTTTTTCATTTGTGACTGACCTGTGAGAAACAAGCATTCTCTTTAGCTACGCATTGTTGCAATTTAAACAACAAACGTTTTGTTTATTTTTTCTTATTTATTTATTTATTTTTCTTTCAAAGATAACAGTGATATTATGCTAGCATATAGCTCTACTTAAGAAAATGACGAATTTTACTGAGGCACGTTTTTTCAATTATTATTTATCTTTATTCTGTCTTGTACACACACAAGGAAAATCACCGTTGATGGCTTATCAGAGTAACGTTAACGAATTAGTATTTTGAAAATTATTTGACACCAGATGTTTATTCTTGCATTTAGTTAAATTTTTTAAACATGTTCTTATAAATATAAATAACACGCAATTTTTCTGTTGTTGAATAATTGTTTAATTATGGTAAATTATCATGGTAAAAAATATTATGTGTTGTTCGTGATTAAGAGGATCATTTAGATCCCGAATGATGATAAGATTTATTTCTCTCTCTCTTTTTGACGAATTAAATTGTGAAAATTTTCTTTCATAAAATTAACAAAACTGAAAAAATAGCGGGAAAGGCATCAAATAATAATACTCTTGCCGTTATGTACATTTATTTTTCTGAATGATGACGTACAATTAATTAATATTGGCCGATGGATTATTTGTAGTTTGTCTATCGAAAAAACTCCCTTCGCCATGAAGTCTAAGGCCATCTGTGGCTATGGAAACAAGAAATAGCGCATTTCAAAGAGGGGAGCCTCTCTAACCTCATATTCCCTTTTTCTAGCCCCGCCGACTCGATCAAAACCTATCTTAAATAATGATCCACATTTATTAATATGTAATACTTGAAATAGCTAAACCTCGTAACCATAATCACATCCATCACTCTAGACGAATGGCTAGGGGAGTTCTTTAGATAGACAAACTATACGATATTTTTTTTAAAATTCTGTATGAAGAACAGGTATTCAACTAGCACATAATAAACATGAAAAAAAGCTATATCTTCTTTTTTAAGGCAGTAGAGTTCAATGCATGTTATTAGAAACGTGTATAGGCAATAGAGTTGCGCATGCTATTAGATGCACGTTTTTGACTATTATGATAGGATGACTTCGATTGACGATCTTCCGGCGATCTAATGCATAAGTAGCCATACCGTAGCACAATGGAATAATTAAAAGTGGCTTTTCGGTTAGCTTAGATATTACGAGAAGCCATTGTTCCATTTCAACATTAGGTACTTCTATTGTATGTATATTTTTAGATCATTACTAATCCATAATTTTACCGATGAAGGCAACGGGTTTACATTAACCAGACTAAGGACAAAGGATTATAAGGGCATGAAAACTCATGCCGATAATACAAGATCATATTTCAGTGGATTCTTTACAGTAGATCCCCTCCCACGTAAATCCTTACTTTAATGATCTGGCCGATGAACTGGCCAAGGAGGGCTCTAATGATGCTATAGATAGTAGTGGCTTTCTAACATACAATGAAATCTATGCAAAAGTAAAGGCCGACAATAACAGGACTTGGAGGATTCCACCTAGTCATGATTGGTATCAACAAAATAGTTCTGGGGTTGCCCTGGAGCTAAAAGGTGATAGGAAACTACAGACAGCTATCACAAGACTAATCAGTGGTCATACCAGCGGACTAACATTTGTTCAGTGTCAAAAGACTTTCCCTGTATGCCTAACATGTAATGTGCACCAGGCTACACCTGATTATTTGCGGTCCTGTATGGGGCTAGAGAAGAATTTTATCTTGGAGGGACCGGCGATGGTATATGATTTTCTGTCGGTGAATGGTCTTCTAGACTTGGTCTAGCCTTGTTCTGGGCCAAGTGGAATAAGTAACAACGACAACAAAAACAGATCATATTTCAACTGCAAGAACTGTCCGGATTTCCAACCAACACAAAAACATATCTTTGAATGTCCAATTTTTACTGCAAATGTCTTAAAGATCGGTGTGCTGCTACTTAAGAAACCACTTCAGGAGATTTTTTATAGCTCCGAGGGGCCAGAACTGGCGGCTGCGGTCAACCGCTCCTTCAATGGCATCTAGAAAACAACCCTCCCCCATGAATATGACAGCAACAGGCCACGGATAAAAATGCATTTTATTTAAAAACAATTCTGCTTCAATATTTTTGCCAACATTACAGAAAATATCTTTAAAATTTTTAAGATTTCTTAATGGCCAATGAGTAACAATTCTTTAGAGAACCGGGAAAGTTACCTCGGTGTGAAAAGTAACCCCAGTTGACGGAGTTATCAGTACTGGAATTTTAAGGACAATTTGTATAGTTCCTAACTATTAAATAATATATGTTTTTTTTTTTCAAATAGGATACAGCGTTATTGTTTTGTAACTTATTTAAGCTGTTGAAAAAGAAAGAAAAACAAATATACTTGTATTGTAAACTTACTTCATAGTTTCGAATAGGCATATGTAAATTCAGTTCCCCAAACTTGTCCTGAAAAATATGTAAGCAAAGCCTATAGTTATTGAAATAATATTTATTTTATATTAAATACACATTAAGTCGTAACATATCAGACGGATAATTTTGAATTACTTAATTATGTCGGGGACCTTTTTACTTTGGACATAGGTCAAAAAGTGGAAAGTTCCTGTGATGCTAAAATTTTTTGACACAATTTTTAGGCATCGTCTCGCTTTAACTTTTCGAGTATTTAACGACAGGATTTAAAAAACCAATAAAACTTTAACCCGAAGTTTCTGGTGGCAATATTATGTTAGCAAAGCCTATAGTTATTGAAATATTTTTTTTTAAATATTAAATACTTACATTAAAGTAGTAACATATCAGTCGGATAATTTTTTATTCATTAATTCATTATTAATAAATTACTCCTGGGAGCTTTTTACTTTGGGCATAGCTCAAAAAATTGAAAGTTCCCGTGATTCTAAAATTTTTTAAAATAATTTTTAGGCATCGCCTCGTTTTAACTTTTCGAGTATTTAACGACAAGATTAAAAAACCCAATAAGCTTTTTATCCGAAATTTCAGGTGGCTATATTTTTTCTCATCTAAGAGCTTCAAAGAGTAATATTTAATTTTTTTTGAGTAACATAACCTTCAAAGACGTATAATAATTAAAAACTTCTTACGATGTGAGAACCATAATAGTAACTACTGCTAATTTTGAATTCTATTGTTACTTAAGCTATATGCAAAAAATATTCCCTGCTTATTCAAAATAACTTTCTGCTTTAAAAAATCTAGCACTTAAAACTTTTTTCATTTAGTTTTAAGACATTAGATTACATATCAATTATAATAAAAACTATTGGCTAATTCGGACTATTCGTTAATATCATATTAGAAAAATTATATTGGAATGAAAAGTAAAATGAAATATGTCGATCTATCTATAAATAAAGTTTTTTCCTTTTTCCTAGCAGATAACAAAAAAGTGAAATATCAAGCGTGTGAGGGAGTAAACACGTTTTATACTAAATTATATATTAATGCTAAATAATATTATATACAAACTTCTGAACTATATACATATATAATACTGATATGCTAATATTTAATATTTAATTAATGCTTAATAATTATAGTGGTAGTTACGCTACATATTAATTTTATTAATGCTGATTCAACAATAGCATTTTATTCATTGCTATTGTTATTCTTTCAAAAATGAGCAGCAGTCGTGCTGTTACGCCTTTTTTAAGTACAATAACAACCATAATAATGAAAAAGCATGCTCGAAGAGCAGAAGAAAGAGTTGATGACAGTTATGAAAAACGTAACATTGAAATTTTCTCTATGCGTTTTACAATGAATTGAATTTAAACTAAATTGTCATTAGAGCTGAAAAATAAGATTGCTACGTTCCTACCGCATGAGAACAGCTCGATAAAAAAAGGTCTGATAGTGGAGCCTTATCATTAGTTTAGTTAATAAGTTCTTAACTGATATTTTTGGAATTCCTTGATAAAAAGTAATTCAAGATATTATACACACAGGGTATCTACTAAATATTTAAGTGAGGAAAAAAATAGAATTTAAAAATCTCGTATTGAGACCAATAAGGAGAAGAAGAGATTAACAACAACAAAAACCTATTTCTATTATTCGGATGCTTAAATAACAGTTTACCTGCTTCAGTCTCTAAAAAACCGATTTTAGATTATTTTAATAATATATTGCTCTTACTAATAAGTAAGTAATTTGAAAACCTTTCTGCTCTATCTCATTCAAAAATTAACTTTTAACCGCTTTAATATGTGCAGTTTTTTTGTAAAAACATGCAGGATTGTAAAAACATGCAGGATGTTCCCTAGTTATCACTTTCAATATATATTTTTAAAGGTCCTTGTCCGAAAAATTCTACACATCAGATGACAAAAATATTTATGTACGAGAAACGCAAAAAGGCTATCAAAATCTCATGAATTACTAAAGAGGAAGTTGGAACCGAAAACATAACCTATAACATACTTTCAAACTTCATCCGCCTATTACATTCATGCTGTTGTCTCACGTCTTCTTCAATTGTATTTTCAGTTTTTCTAACGTTTTTGTTCTTTCTTAACTTAAATACAATTGTATGACCTCTAATGAGCATACACTTTTTAACTTTATATTAGTAGATACCTAAGGTATTTAAAAAATTATGTTCCGTCATGTATGTTAAGGAGTAAAAATGCATAATGAATATGCTTTGAGATGCATAATGAATATGCTTACAGTTTCTAGATCAAGTCCATAGACCGGGTTGTCTAAACCACGAGATAGTAGTGCTCGTTCTCTAAAGATAAAGAAAAACACATATATCAATATCAAATGGTACAATAAATTGAAATGATAATTTTGAAAGTAATTGTAGCATTCTTTTACAACATTATTGAATGCAAATCACTGTATTTTGCTGTAAAAGTTATTCCGTAATGACTACTTTTAACATATATATTTAAGATCCATCTCAGAAATGAAGTCTATGAAGTATACTCTTTAGGGAATGAGCATTTATATTAGATCCACGCTCTCAAAACCAGTAGAATCACTAGTAAAGAAGGCGGACAGAAACATATCCCGCTTTGGTAGAAGAAAACATTGACCTACAACATTCAAAACCAGTTTGTCTAATGAAGCTTGAGGGTGCTAATATTTACCTTTCAATTCCTCGTTGTTTCTAACCGCAATCAAACAGGTCCTTCAGCCCCACTTTTTCCAGTAGAGAGCTTTTTTTTTCTTCCTCTAATAAATATTAACTTGTAATTCGTAACGTGTACGCGTAGTTTGACTTCTTTTTGAAAAATATTCTAAAGATATATAGCTGGGATGTATAAAATGTTAGTGACTGCTTATACCGAAGTCTACGCTAAAAAGTTTGGTTTTCTTAATAAAAATGTTTGAAAGCATAAGTTTATCTATACCCAATTAATCATTATTTATTTTAGTATCACGCGAATTTTAAAATGTAACAGTAGCAAGACTTCAGATCCAATTATAAAGCCATAATTGTTTTGTTCAGGCATTTATCATTTCTTAGATAAATGCCTGAAACTTACAAATTTTTTCCTACAACTTTTAAACACGTGGTTCTTTTCAAAACGATATTTACGAGAAAATCTGCTCACTAAGACTGTAGAAGTTTGCTTGTAAGAAAATTCCTTCCAATAGAGTGCCTTAACAGCACCTAAACCGTAAGAACACTTTAATAACCTTCGAGTCTGGAAGCAGGGTCTTTCCAACATGTTCCAAGTGCATGAACAATCCAACTACTCCCGTTCACACCCTTGCTTGAATGAATCTAGAACTATAAGCCCTATCCTTGCAAGCGCGTTTGGTGCTTGATTTTGCCAAGGTTCACGAACTCATCCGTTTGATCTAGCTGGTGCTGAATCACGACGGTTTGGTAACAACAGCAATATGGTATATTAATTTATTTGCTTAACCCCGACCCGAGTATAGTTTATTAATATAATTCTCTGCTTGGCAACACGCAAAATGAGTAATTAAAAGAAGGTTTTAAAATGAGATAAAGTTCTAAGTGATTTAAAAACTGTAGTTATTACAAATAGAGCACATATTAAAAAGCAGACCTTATAATTGCATATTATATCTTATAATTAATTACATATTTAAAACATAACTTTCGATCTAATGAATTAATTTTAAGTGCTTACTAACATGCAATCTTAATGGTATGAGAAGAAGGATATACATTTATTAATTACTTAGAGACGATAGGTTAGGTTATGAAAGGTTACGAAAACATATTTTCACATTTTGGAAGTGGAATGGAAAAGAATAGTGATTTATAGGGGTTGAACCTTGGCGAACAAGGGTTGAACAAACACTTGCGAGCACTTTTATACTAACTTTATCTAGACAATATTTATTTTAGCAGCATATGTATTGGAAGATTTTACATGGCACGATTTGAAAGATCAGGCTTGAAACTATTTAGAAATTGTGTTATATTTACTCATGCAAAATGTGGAATTGTTAAAATAGGGAATAGGAAGTTATAAACCTTTTTTTAGGTACGAATATTGTTTGCTCTATTAACAAATCATTGTGTAGGATTGCAATACGTATATTAGAATGCTTTTTTAATTAAACTGGTACTGGAAAAAGAGTAAAAACTTCCTACATTCACTTAGGTCGATGCAATTTTACTTAGGTAAAAAAGTCACCATTCTTAAAAGCTTCAAGCAGGATCTTTCAAATTGCGTAAGAGTTTCCAAAACCTTTCGTTGCTGACTAAAAAATTGTTTACATTGAGTTAGTATAGAAATGTTTCGACATTTTTGTCCAATTCCTGTGAGATCTGTTTTGAATTATGAACAAATCTAGATTTCGTAAGTCAACAAGAGTCAGTAAATTATGTAGTTGTATAGTTATTAGATAATTTTATCTTATAAATTTTTTTTTGCTTCTAATTAGAATACGTGAATATCGTAGGTTGCTGTATCGACCAAAATTTTCTGTCCTAAGTATTTATCTGGATTGGCCAGAAATATTTTCTGGCAAAAGTACTATTGAAAAGTTTTAGTTTCATTTTATTCGAGGGAAACTGAAGGGAAGCAGCATTAGTTTGGATGTCATTGTTTTAAACGTTTTCATGAAAAGTGAGTTTCCTAGTTTATTTGAAACATTTGCTATTTAGACTAAATACTTATTTGGAAGAAATGCATGTTTTTTAAAAATATGCTATATTATTTTTATATAAAAGGCGAGCATTGATCATTTAAAGAGCACGAAGGAGAGAAATTTCTTTTAAATTGATGTTTTTAATATAATATAATACTAACAGAATACTACTTACTACCAACTAGACATTCTAAAAAGTCTCAGAATGTATACTTGAATCTTAAAAAAAGTTACTTACGTATTTGTATTTCTTCTGTACCAGATCACAAATACTATGAAAGTAAACAGAAGACATCCAAAAATTGAACCAAGGAGCCAGAAAATTCTGGAAGCTGTAAAATTTCAAAAAACTAATATAAATTAACTAACTTTGAACAATGAACTTTGGCACTTTTTTTACTTCCTTTATGAACTTACTTAATACGTGAGCAACGAAAAAATGTTATTCACTGAAATTGTATTTAGGGTAACATGTCTGCATAAATTATTAAAAAAAAATTCATTCGAATGTTAAAGTTTGATTTATTATTGTTAAAGCATGAATATCACACTTTGTTTGGAGATCATTATTATATTTGCCGGAAAACTTTTCCGGAATCCACAGTTCATACTGCAGCTTTATTTTGGGTGCCCCAAAAATATGATACTATTTAAAAATAAACAGAAGAAGAACGAGAGAAAATAGAAGTACCGCGTTCTGCCATCACCCCCTACATCAAAAAGTTTCCACAAGGGTCTTTTATAAGTAGTCCGCGCAGACTGCTTAAAAAGTGAACCAGTTGTGCGCATGNTCCAACTGTGTCCTGACGATCATCGAAGACGTGTTTGGAGACGCACAGGGCAGAGGGGGGATCCTGCCTTCCCTATTGCACTCCACACCGGCCCTCAACAAGGCATTATGGTCTGGGGTGCCATTTCCTTCGACAGTCGGATCCCTTTTGTCGTCATTAGAGGTACACTTACTGCACAGCGGTACGTCGACGACATCCCAAGACCTGTTCCTTTTGCAGACCCTGGGCTGGTTCTTCAGATGGACAATGCCAGACCACATACGGCCCATCGAGCCTGTCTGGGATATGATGGGAAGGCGATTGCATCTGGCACGGAATGTTGATAACCTCGCTCGACAATTGGATCTAATTTGGCAGGAAGTACCGCAAGAGGCTATTCGGGAGCTGTATCGGTCTATGCCACGCCGAGGTGGGTCAACACCTTATTGAACTTGTTACTGTAACTCTGCAATAAATTATTCAATTGTTCTGAGATTTTAATCATTTACTATTCTGTACATTGTCTTCCTATCCACCAATTTTCGTTTCAATAGGACAACTCCTTCCTGGTGTGTTGATTTTTTTGTTATAGAGTGTATTTCGAAATAAACAGAAGAAGAACGAGAGAAAATAGAAGTACCGCGTTCTGCTAAGGAAGAAAAATAATATTTACTAAATTTCAAAACAAGCTTATTTTGCAATCTGGTGTAAAAAATTTCTAAAATTTGAATGCTAATTTGTTTCATAAAAAAGTTTGTCAAAAAATAGAGATTCTCATTAAATGAATTTTGCCAAAATTAATTTAATTAATTTTGTCCCCAAACTACAACGCATTGTTGTCACAACGTACACTAGTGCCACGTTCTCTCCAGATGAAAATCAGCCTATTATCAGGATGAACAGTAAAATGGGACCCGTCGGAGAATGGAATATTGCGCCATTCATTTCTCCATGGCCTCTTCCCGGTCATGGAGAAAAGCTTACGCAAAATTATTTTATTTAATAAATCAAAATTAGCAAATTATTTAATTTAATAAAAGTCGAAAAAATTTAAATTGTAAAATGTACAATTTCTTACATGCTTTTAAAAATGTAAATTTTCTAAGGTAAAATACAAAAGTTTAGTGAAATCGGTCTAATTTTTCATGAGAAATTGAAATTAAAAAAAAAATCGAATAATTAAATCTGAAAAACTTACTATTATAACTTGGCTTGTCATCAGGTTTAATTTCAATTTTCATTTTTCCACATCTATTTTGAGCGTAACCTTCTTTGCATCTATAATAAAAAAGGAAACCAATAAAAATATCTAAATTTTGTAACTTTTATATTTTGTATTCACTTTTGAAGCCGTAATATTAGTTTTTACTGGAATTTTGTGCCAGATTCTAATTCAATATGATTCTACAGTTTCCATATACCATGATAATCCTTGAGAAATATTATGATTGCAATTTTTCCTCTTTGATAAATAACTTATTAACATTCTGAAACACACTTTTGTTTTATTTTAACCATTACAACTGTTAAATCATGTCTAAAGTTAATGAACCCTAATCAAACAATTTTAATTAAAGTTTAAAGTAATTTTAAAACTTTTTGGAACTTTTCAAAAAATTTTATAATTTAGAATGGTAATTTAATAATAAAAAAAAGGTTTAAAAATTAAAAATTATGTTCCATAAAACAAGTTTTAATGAATAAAACAAAAATTATTTCAAAAAAGCTAATAAATTAATAAATAAATCTGCCATTGGTGTAAATTGGTACTGGATTAAATTCGAAAATACGCTTTAATCTTTAATGGCAGCGTAATTTTGAAGAAAACTGTAAAACCTTTTAAATTACATGTTAGAAGATTTCTAAAATCTAGTTTAAAATAAACTAACTATCTCTAAACAAATAATAAATTTTTTGTGTATAGATTGAGAAATAAACTAATTCTGGTCATAAGAAACAGATTGTTCTAATCTTTTTGGAGTCTTACTCCAGTCCGGAAATATCACGAGTACGAGAAACAGAGGGCGAAATTTTATCCCCTCATTTTGACGGGAGCTAGAAGGAAGGGGTTAGAGGGCAAATCATTTTCATCGGCAATTCATTGTTCAAACTTAAATGAAGTTAAGGGGAGTCGGTAAAGCATACATCAATAATGCTAAAACTGACCTTTTTCGACGTACCTTTTGCTAAGAAACTGCTAAGGATATCTCTTTTTGAGGATATTCGAATTTATAACAGTTGTATGCTGTGATACTGCTTTAGCGTTAACAGAAATACTTTTTGAGTTATGAAAGATTTTTGATGAAACTTTATAAAAAATTAAAAGTTCTCAGTTTATAATTTAAAAAAAAAATTCTGCCAAAGATTTGTATTGACAGTTATCCCAGTGTAAACACGTATATGTAAATATTCTGTGAAAAAAAAACTGAAGCTATATCTTGTTTAGATGTTGAGAAAAGGTACATAGAAAAAGGTCTGTTTTAGCGTTATTGGTATATGCTCTAAAGACTCCCTTTAATACAACGTAGTAAAGCACAACTAACAACACATAAAACAGTTCTATTTGTCATTATTTTAGACATGTGAGACAGTTTTATGGAAAAACATAAAAACTAGGGTAAAATTTTTGTTTTCGTTTTTTAACAAATATTATATTCCTTCACATCACGTATTCCAAACGTTCAAACAGTTCTTTTGAACAAGCTACATTTTTTATGTAATTAAGTAATCCCTACTTCTTTGGTACGTAGAGAGTGGTTGGAAGAAGGCAATAATATATTTCTATTTATATAAGCGATGTATTAAAGGCGAATATTTTTTGTCATAAGAATTTAATAAACTAAACTAAAAAAGTTTATATACGAAACTAAAAACATCATTTTGAAAAACAACTGCAGTTTTTGGAACAAAACTAATTTTTGATTTGAAATCCCAACACATGAATTTGGTAAAATCAAGTACTTGTATAAATACAACAAAAAATTTGTTCCCCAGTGTAAATTTTTATGTTACGCACAAGGCAGTATTAATAACATAAACAATAATAATTAATAAAATCACAAATTGGAAAAAATCCGAAAAGTAGTTGTAATATTATTTGTGCTTTTCTAAATTCTTTCAATTCTATTTACAAGCAGCAAAAAATATTTTTGTCTAACTTAAATTTTACACTTACTTGCAAACTGGTATCTTTCCGTCCATCAAACTGCAATTGCCGCTGTTCAAGCAGAAAGTCTCAGGACAGACTAGGGGATATTAAAAAGATAAAACTCTACTATATGTTAAAAAAAAGTTGTTTTTAGCAAAATTAATTCAAGATTTTTTTATGGCCCAAAAATAAACATGAAATTTAATGCTATGAGAAAAAAAAAACTAAAGTAAAAAATTGAAGTATTTTGGCTAAAAACCACTTCTTTCAAGCAAAAAAATAATAAATACAAGATAAATANTTTTTTTGAGTGCTCCTCACACTATTGTATTAATATATTTTGCTTTGGCTTTATTGATACAATATCAGAAAGCACTCTGTTTTGCAGATATAATCGTGTGGGCTGAAGAAAATCTTTGATTATATCTTTTTTTCCGGTTTTTTAAATAAAATTTAATCTTTTTTATTTCTTTAAATTTTTTTATTTTTAATAAACTGTCGTTTGTTATTTTTTTACTTATTATTCCCCACCCCCTTTTTTTCATATGTCTATAATTTTTCTTTGTTTTATTCTTCATTTTGAACTTATATATATACACATATAAAACTTACTTGACAATATTTTTGTATTGAAAAATACATTTAACATTGTGAGAAAAAAATCTGGTCAAGGAGCTTTGCATTATATTAAAATTTTTTTTTTGAAATACTAAGACGAAAATTGCTTTTTATTTTTCCTGAATGACCGAAAATCATAGTTTTTTTGTTAAAAAGTATGACATTTAATATTATGCAATAAAATACGGTCGTAAAAAGTGTAAGTTATTTGTATAAAATTCCTGAAATCTGCGAAAAAAATTGTAAAAAAAAAAATGATTTCAATAAAGGCCTGTAAAATTTGTGAGATTTTCCGAGCTCTAATACATAGGTTACAACAGTAATTATGTGTGCATACCTCCACAAATGCTTTCATCTGAACCATCAGTGCAATCGTCGACTCCATTGCAAAGTTGTTCCCTTTCTATGCATGGAGGGAATGTTCGATCATGGCAGAAATAAAAGTTCTCACCGCATAGCTTAGCATATTCTGTAAAAATGCAAGAGTTTCATAAATGCCCGGTCACAACAATCAGTGTTTATTTGAAAAATACCTACACTATAGTATCCAAAAATTAAGCATACCTTTACACAAGGCATAAGTGTGCTTTACTTTTAGACATCAGTGTACGCAAAAATAGTGATATTTCATATTTGATATTATATATCACTGTTATACATTACAAACGTCATTACCTATGTAAATACATACATAAATGCAATCAGGATTACATCTGTATACCGTATCTGTATCAGATTGTATCTGTATTACCGTAATGATTATAGATTACATCTGTAAAAAAAGCCTAAGCCTTACTGAGAGGATATTTCATTCTGTTAACTATCACTTTAAAAAAACACTCTGTTTTATTTTCCAATCAAATTTAATTTACATTATTAATATATTGAATTGTTCATGACAGAGTGAACTATTTAATTCCTTCAAACTAAATCCTATTAAAAAGATACTTTTGATACCACATTTTTAATTTAAAAAAAAAATCTTTTTCAAAGGACGCTAGCCAAACTTAAGTTAAATTGATAAAAATCAATACTAAGTTTTTTTTAATGTTTTTTCACTCTTATATACTTTGTTACAAAAAAATTCGTTCGCAATTTTTCATTTGAGTGAAATGCTTTATCATTCATAAGGGATTTTGGAAATGTAGTGATAAATCCCAATAAGTCTTTTCCCCCCATCTAAAGAAAATTGAGGGTCGTGAGTTCAATTCTGGTTGCCGACTAAACAACCGGCGTGAATCTATATTACAACCGTCGTTGAACAGCAGACCCGATTTTTTGGGTTTACAGCTATTAATGTTCAACTACGTAGCCTTGTAATTTTGAACCCAATCCAGAGGACAAAGAAACTCCTGGATCAAGTATTGGGAAAATTTGCCTTTGTGGAGGACGTTTTGATGGAACTAACCCGCAATTGCGCTTCATGGAGAGGAAGACCACGAGAACCTCTCACGGTTAGCCTAACGACAGGGGGACTCTAACCCATAATCCGTTTACCACTGAGGATATTTCACGTCAGCACTGTGGTCGGTGCAAGCTGGATGTGGAATTCGTATCTACTGGGATTCGAACCCGGTTCACCTCATTGGAAGGCGAACGCTCAATCCCCTGAGTCATCGTGGCTCGGCGTATATCTACAGCAAGATGCACGTTAAATTTGTCGTGGTTGAAAGTCCTATTATTGGTTGTAACATAGAAGTTTGGTAAGAAGGGTAACAGCTCAGGTGCTACCCACATCGTCTGATGAAGGTCAAAATTATGTGGCATTCCTATCATGGCCGTTAAAAGATAAAGCTCTAAAAATGGTGAAAAGAGCTTGGCCGTGGGTGGGTGATCGGTTTCTAGAAAGCCTTAGTTTCTTTTACATCTATATGTTTCTTACCACTGTGTCCAGATAGGTATTTAATAAGTTTCTATTGCTTACATTAAAAAGTGGCGTTCTTCACCAAAACCACTCTAAAAAATTGCTCCCCAAAAGAAATTGAAAATGTTGTTTATCACGATATTGTCCCATACCTTCATATAATTCAATAATTTCTGCTATGAGAGAGACTATTATCTAAACTTATTTAATAAATATAATTTTCTGTCCTAAGAATTTTTTTCTGTTGCAATTCAGGAATTTCCACTTAATAGTATTGCCAATCAATATAGTAAACTATAGAGTAAGACAAGCAAAATAATTCAATTAATAAAATTTCCAATAATTGTTTAAATGTAGTTATTATTTTGAACTCGAAGAAATGCATTGGTAAAAAAAATCTATGAAAAGCAATGTTTAATACAAATTGGCAAACAAGAATAATTCATACAGTTTAATATATTTTCTTTACTTCAATTAAAAAAATTGATATTTAATATATTTTAAAAAACTAAATTAAAATGCATATTTTTTATATTGTCATTCAATAACTGTTATATTAATATTAAATTTGTATTACTTTAATTTAAATATGTACATTAAATATTCTTGATAGATAAATTAAAAAAATATAATTTTAGATTGAAAAAATATTTGAACATTTTCATTAAAGTCTAGAAAGATAAATGCATTTTTTAAAAATCTAAAGCAAAAATTTTACATTTTTAAAGGACACATTAACCCGTTTTGTCCCGAATTTATATATTGAAATATTACAAAAAGTGGTTTTATGGAATAAGTGGTATAATGTATTATCGAAATTAATTGGTTTTTCTACTGATAGGGCATTCAAAAAGTCATTGATAAAACAAAAAAAAAACTTGTTCCTTATAATTCTAGATCTAATCAGAAATAACTAAATCATTGTGGTATCTTTTATCTATATTTTTACCAGCTTCTTTTTACAACCTTTAATTTTTATAAGTTTAAATTATTAATTTAGTGGTATTAAGTATAGTAATTTTTAGTTTTTTATAAATTATGTAAAAATAACCACCTAATTCCGAAGAGTGGATTTTTAAAAATAGCTGATATTATTGCGAAGATAAATGTTGAAATTTAGGAAATCAGAATTCTTCTGATCATATCACAATTATTGAAATAGAAATTGTTTTTGATTAGTTACCAATAAAATTGATAAGAACCTTGGAACAGGAGCTTAGGTATACATTTTATTACCTTCTTAACTACACTGAGAAATAATTTTTTTCCTGTTGCATGAGATTTTTTTATCAGATTGTACATATATTTTTTGTATCGATGACATCAAGTCTGAAATTGGTTTCTCTTTTCAAGCTACAGTTTTATGCAATTTATATTGCTTTAAGTTAAAATCACACGTTTTTGTCTTTAGTGTTATTTTCAAAGATGTAGACAACTTAAGTGTACTCCTATACGTTCTTTATAAACTTGCACATTCAGACATAAAAAATATAAACTAAAGCAGCAAAAATTGCAGTTTTTGGAGAAAAAGTAATTTCAGATTTGAAATTCCGCACCCGAATTAGGTTACATCAAGTACTTGTGTAAATGAAACAAAAATATCGTTCCCCAGTGTCATCTTTCAACTGTACTTTGTCCCGCAGTGGACTGATCGTTAAGACACGATTCCCAGCAGATCACCGAAGTCAAGCATCATTGGCTGCCGCCAGTGTGCGGGTGGGTGACCAATAGAATCAGTCTGCGTAGGGACCGAGGGTATGCGGTATTGATCCTCATTAAACTGTTCGACTCCGCGTGCAGATCGTCGGGCTACCGAAGCGGGGGTGCTATCCCCTCTGCAGATGATCAAAATTGTGATGGCAAGTCTTCGGATCATTCTCAGGGATGCTTCCCAGACCGTCGCCAATAGCCCATTGCGCAGCTCTAGTGCGACGTAAATGAACTACAACAACTTCAACTGTATTTACCACAACTACATTTTCAACCGTACTGTTTCAACTTTACCAGAAAGAAAGTTATTTTTACTGACCACATCCGTATAATTCATCCGATCCGTCGGAACAATCTCTTACGCCATCACACACCAAGAGAGCAGGGATGCATCGCTGATCACTATCACATTGTCTCTGACCATGAGGACAATCTTTTCGCGGCAAGACACTTGGGTGAGGATCCTCGGTTGTCCACGCGACAGTACTTATTTCTTTAGGAGCTGAAAGAAAAATATTTTTTTTTAAGATTATCATTGGAACGCTGGTAAATGCGTATTATAAAAATAATTCAGGCATGCTACTTACATAGTGTGGAGGCACAGGTGCTATCGCAGTCCAATTCGTCACTCCCATCTTCACATTCTGGAGCACAATCACAGACGTAACTTTCTGGAATGCACTGAAAACCACTCTTGCACCGGAATTCATCTTCCTTGCACACGATGGAAGGGCCTGTTGGTACAATCGCCTCTCCTACAAATAAACAATTATGGTAAGTACTAAATAGTTGTTGTAGAAACTTCAAACCAGATACTTAATTTTTTTTCTTCTTCCAAATCCCATATTTTGTAGAATGAAAATTTAGATTTAGAGAGTGGGTTGGTGGGTATTAGTTTCCGTTAATGTCTAAATAAATATATATTTCTCTTACACGGCAATAAAAAAACAACAACTTCTTGTTCCTTTTCCGCGTTGAGAATCAAAAACTGAAATATCAAGAAAGTGACCAGTCATAAGCATGAATACTTAAAAGTAAATTTTAACGCACTTCTGAATGAAAATTCTTTACTCGTGAGAGTAACGAAAACGTGGGGCAAAGCAAGAAATGAGAGTTTAAAGTAAGTTTATTAATATTTTGAGTTCTACTTCAGTTTTAATGATGCTTCATAATTACCGCAGCCAGCTATGCTCTTTCATTTTCCATTCTTTTCCTTGGTTTTTATTCATTATAAGAGTTCATATTGGAATAAAACGTAGTGAGTTTATCGAATAATAGTTAAAATGTTTTGACCTCAAATACTGAAATTTATAATTTTATGCGCATAAATTAGTAATGTATATAAATTGAACTAAATATTTATAAATGAAAGGTTTCAGACGACGTATTGGAATCCAAGTTTTGGTTTCATAGTTTTACCTCCTTCTTCGCATCCATGCGTAAACTTGACTTCATCGATTGCAATGTCCGTCTTATTATCGCCACCTCTCGTTGCAATAAAAGAAACCCTGTAAGGCTGATCACTTCCAACCCTTACATGTGCGTACAACCATCTAACCTCTTGCGGTCCTTTCCTTATCCACAAAGGGAATACTTGCCCCTTTTCACCTTCACTACGAACCTAAGAATAAAATTTAACAAGAATATCAACAAGAAATCAGAAAATTGGCACTGCAGTGTAATAAATAACAATACAATAATAATAATAATAATACATATTGAAGAAAGCTGTTATTTTAAGTTTGAAATAGTCATGTTTTACATGATTACTTTATACTCTCTCCTTCCCAAATCAGTAACTATATTTTTGTCGAAATTTTGTCCCAAATTAGTAGTTACATTTCTAGTAGGTAAAATCATAAATAACTTCCAGTTACGTAGATCGACACGAGTAAAATTATGCAACTAATGATAACTTTGTTAATGCTATCCAATCTTTGTTCGACTCGATGCCCAGGAGAATAACTGCTGTTATTGCTGCCAGGGGAGGATGCTCTGGGTACTGATTCCTCAGGATCTATACATACAAATATCCTGAAAATTTAATCACTTGTTCTTCCAACTATAACGTATGTGCCCAATAAATATCATTCTGTTATTTGCATTCCTTCCTGGTGTAGCAATTTTAATGGCCAGTAGAGTAATTTAGTACTGATTTAAGGAGGAAATACACGGTAAGTGAATGTTGCTGATTGATAGTATAGCACCTCATAATATTTGAAAAACGTTCAAGCAAAATCATAAAATCACCAGTATTGACAATCATTAAAAATATTCAAACGTCGCAACTAATTTGGAACACAGCGAATATCAAAAATAGAAATAAAATACCTAAATTTATATTGAAGTATTTCATGATTATGATATACAGGAGTTGTACAATATAATCTGAGTATTGCTATACTAATTATACAGAAACAGCATTCCTTTTAGCTGAAAACTTTTGGAAAATTCTATTGCAAAAGTTCATCACCTTTTTTAAAACATGTGCAGTTAAGAGAAAAACTGTTTCATTAGAGTTAGTATAGGGTGTTAGCATAGGTTAAAATGTTTAAACTTTGAATCACAATTCAGATAATTCTAGAGCAATTAACTTTTAATATGCTGACAATTTAAAATTTGCATCGTGCATTCTATCGGTAGAAATCCTTCAGCACGGCATTGAGAGTGGCAGATTTTCACAGAATCTGCAGATTACAATTTTATCTTTGAATTAGAAGAAAAAAATTGATAGAGGAGAAGCAGAAAAATCCTCTTTAAAATTCCTAAACTTAACTATTTGTCTTAGTTCTTTAAAAAAAAATTGCAAATTGGCGAACATACAAGCTAAAGAGCAATGTTGACTTTTAAAAATTCCAATTTAATTTCTTTAATTCAGTTCACTTTTGAAAAATAACGAATTTAAAAACCGAGAAAAATTTAAAATATGATATTTTTATATTCCGAAAAATCTAGTTCCTTGATTCTAGAGATTAATTGAATTCTTCATATTTTCATTATTCCATTCATTTTAAAATGTATAAATATGTTGATAAAATTTTTATCAATTTCATAATTACAAATTATACTATGCATGTTAGATTAATCTTAAATTTTATAATGGACTCTATGTGGCAGGTTACAGACAAATCAGAATCTATGACGATATGTTACAGATTGACTCTGTTAATTCTGCTACCTGGTAAATTCATAATTCTAATTTAGATTTTTTTTTGCGTCTCATATCATATCATATTTACATTTATAATTGCAGCTAATGTAATAACGGGCAGTTATTTTTATGATTCAGAAATTTAAATAGTACAATTTATAAGCCAGCTGTACATAATTTTTAATAGATGTGAATTTTGTGAATCGGGATAGTTCGAATACATTTTAATTACATTTCCTCTAATTGTTTCATTTCTAAGTTTTCTTTTGCATTTTCATATGGAATAAAATTGTTATATATTAACCTCTAGTGCTCCTAAACTGGAAGACCCTTTCATATAATACCAGAACCGAAGGTGACACTTTCCTTCACTGGCATTGAATAAAGGAGTCACCACACCAGCTCTTTCACCTTCAACTTGCTTCGAACTGTCAATATATAGGAAATAACCTAAAAAATAAATACACACAGCATAAATACCTAACTATAGGAAGAACTGGAACAACCGACATTTTACCCTATTCGAGATATTTTAAGATATTATTAATAATAATACACACAATGTAACATAATAATACAAAATAATATTGCAATACAAAATAAATAATACAAAATAATATACAAAATAATAACAAAATAATACAAAATATAATAAATAATAATAATATATATAATGCCAAAATTTATATAATAATAACATAATATATAAATTTTGCCATAAAATATATAACAAAATAATTTAAAAGCACAAAAAATTTTATATTTTACAGTTCAAAATTTTTCGACTATTATTAAACAAAATAATAAATGTTTACTAAAAGTTATTTTTTTGCATGGCATTATCTTTGGATAAACGAATTTTATAATTGCATGAAGCCGGCCAGGCGGCCAAGTGGTTAGCGTGCCTGACTGCGAAGCCAATGGCTGCGGGTTCGAATCCCTGTCTGGGCATGGATGTTTTTCTCTCTGTGTGTTGTCTTCTGATGTGTGAGTGTGTGAATGTGGCCCACCCTATGAACGGGTATTGGTGGCAGTGTGGCGTGGGTAATGTTGCTCGCCTCCGTGACTTTGGTTCACAGGTGCCCACTGGGTAGCGATAAATGAGCAACACTACCGGCATCTTCTAAGGCGAAGAACGAAAATTCAGTGTCTGCCGTTATTTAAAAAAAAATAATAATTGCATGAATTTTATAATTTGCTTAAAAATTTCTTGAGATATGGCGAAATATGTAAAAAATAACACTAAGGGGTCCAAACTTTGGTCCGCTATCCAGACTGTATGTGGACCATACTTCCCAGATTGCGGTTACCCCCTATATTTTGGAGAACAAAAACCCGAATCCGTCCTGAAAAAAGTATGTTTATTCATAGAAAGTACGTTTTTGTGTTTGATTTCGTAACTTAAAGTATTATATGCACTAATTAATTAGCATACTTGGCATCACCTCTTCGAATGATTAAAATTGAGTCCTAGAACTTAAAAATCTGATTGTTACATCAAAAGTTATTCATCGTACTCCGTTTATTTTTTTGCTCACGGTACAGAGCATGTTAGTTCCAAACAACGCCTTTATATAATATTATATAACTGTGATGCTTCTTACCTTCCTGCCTAGGATTATGATTTCTTCTCGGTCCAGTTTCAGTACTTCGTCCATCTTTTGCCCTTGACCATTCAAAATCAAGATCTTTTGATTCCCAGTTGCAGTTTTCTTTCCAATTTTCTGAATCAAAATCACAGTCTCCGTATCTTTTAGCTGAAAACAATTTAAGCATAAATATAATCCAACATTTGCAGGAAAAGAAATTATGAGTCAAGTAATAGAACAAAATGCTTTTGCTGCAAGTTTGCTATAATTAGAATATTATTTTAACTCAATTTTTTATGGTCCTGATTTTTTTTGTCTTTGACATAACACAAATTATTCTCGATTTATAGACTTACACTGACCCTAACTAACACGACTTGATCTTTTATGGCTCGAAAAAGTTAACCGAAATGAAGCAGACCAAAGAATTGAAAATAGCCTCCACACGGTTTCTTATAGGTAGTCCGATCAGACCACTATGAAAAATAAACCAGTTTATGAGAGACTCATTTAATACAAAATCTAATAAAAATACGAAAGTGGTAGCAAATATATGTCTAAAAATTTGTTTAATTTATGAATATGTTTGGTTTGTCTTATTCACTTGTTAACCACCACAGATTCAATTCTCAAACATATATGATAAATTTCTTTTAATCACTTTTAAAATAGAAATTGGGTTCATGTGCGCAACTGGTTCACTTTTAAAATAGTCTGCGCATACTATTTCTAAATAACCGTGTGGAGGCTTTCTGATGTAGGAGGTGATGATATAGCTCAATTCCAAATTTCTGCGCAATAAAGTCGAGTATTTTCAAAGAATGAGTAAGCTTGTTTTATGTCCGTATCTCATGCATTTTTAGCCTCAAAACTGCACCGTCTTGCAGTGGAATTCAGAAATGAAGGGAATTAAGTAGATGAAGTCATTCAAGTTCATCCTAATCATATCAAAGCTGCCAAGTTTTGAGTGAGCTTTGTGATTATTATTTTCTCATTCATGATTACACTGGGGAATATTTTTTTGTTGTTTGTTTGAGATATTTTAACAGATACCTTTTACATCGCTTAATTTTGATATGCTATCGGTTTTTCTCTGAAAGCTACAGTTTTATTTAATGCAATTTAATAATACAGTCTGTACCAGATTTTTTTAAAAATTCACTGGAGTGACTGCTAAGTGATCCCAATTCTCTGTTACATAGGTCGTGGTAGGAATAAGGAGATAATAAAATTACTCAGTTTATGATTTGATAAGTTAAGGTCATATGTTTTTTGTCTTATTTTCAAAGGGACACACAAGTTAATATATATGTTTATAAAACTATGCGTTGTTTTTAAACTTGTATGTTCAGAAACAAAATAAAATAAACTGAAAATACCATTTTGAAAAAAAAAACTCTTTAGCTTTTGGAACAAAAGTAATTTTAAATTTGAAATCTCCACATAGGTAATCTGAAGTATTTGTATAAATGAAAAAAAAATTGTCCCTACTGTTATCACTTATATTCGTGAGGAAATTTTTTTATTATCATTTGTTGTTAGAAATCAGGAAGAAATAGAAAACTTAAAATTTCCCATTTGTTGTTAGAAATCAGGAAGAAATAGAGAACTTAAAATTTCCTCTTAAATTTTTTTTAATCATTTGTTGTTAGAAATCAGGAAGAAATAGAAAACTTAAAATTTCCTCTTAAATTTTTTTTAATCATTTGTTGTTAGAAATCAGGAAGAAATAGAAAAATTGAAATTTCCTCTTAACCTGGAATATAAATTTAATCTTATTAGTGATGGGGAGGGAAATCTAATAATAATGAAGAGAGATGTACCGTTGATGTTTGGAATTTCAAAAAAGTTCTACGACGTTAATAAGAGATAGTGAAAATATCCTTATGTGATACAAATATGCAAACATGCGTTAAAAAAACGACAACTGCTTATAACTTAAAGTCGAAAACTAAAACTAACAGTAAAATGGAACTTTGGGTAGAGTTGAATCATATCAGATTATAATTATCGGGAATTGCTGTAAACATGTATGTACGTATTTATGGGTATTGATTTTATTGGTTCGATATAAATATAGTCATCAGAAATTGCAGTAAGTATGTATGTACGTATATATATGTGCGTATATATATATGTATGTTTCTTATGCAAGTACGAAAGTATACATGTACGTACATAAGTATGCATGTAAGTATAAGTAAAATAAATAAATAAATGAAACAAAAAACTGATACTCTTTTTTTATTAACTGTGAATATCACTTTAAAATAATGCAATTTACTTACTACAGTTGTATTCATCTGATTTGTCTGCGCAGTCATATTTTCCATCACAGTGTGTCCATACTTTAATACATTTCAACTCATCTAAACACATCCATTCATCACTCGAGCAGTGCATAGGTGGAAAAACTGAAGTTAAAAAATTATTTTAATCAATCATTTTCAGTCAGTTACAAAACTAAATAAATGACAATTAAAAGAAATGAAAACTTCGGTTTCTAACACTTGTTTCATTTTTCTATGTGGGTATTTTGATTAATATCGCAGAAATAATACTTGTTTTTATAAGTTTTCCTTTTTACGCATTTAAAAAAAAAAAAAAAAAAAACTGGAACCTTTTCTCTCATGATGTTGTAATTTTTGATCAAAACTATATAAAATTTTGTTCATTGACCTGAGATAAATTATTTAAAAATCATCATAATTTGTTATACTAATATAATACCTCTTTGTAACAAAAAGTATTTAGATCTTATGCCTTTCAGTTGAGTTCGAGTAACGGTTTGGGACTCACAGTCAAAATTTATGATAATCGTAATCGACAAGTGGACTGTAAAACGAGCTGTCCAATAAAAGCAATAATTTATTGAAGGGGATTAAAATAAGCAGTTTTTCAACAATATCTTTTTATTTTCTCATTGAAAGTGAATGCGAGAAATGTTTTATCTTTAAAAATGAATAATTTACAATGCAAATCTTAGTGATAGTTACGATTTAATTATTAAAGAGATTTCATTTTTAAACCCACGTGGCAGTCCTGTATTTTATCCAGAACGATATCATTAGCTACCATAGTGCGTGATCCACCCATGAATTGGCATTTTATTTTATAAACGTCGTTGAAAGGCCGACCCAATTTTTTGGGTTAACGACTACTAATGTTCAACTCCGTAGCCTTGTAATTTAGAATCCAACCCAGAAGACATGGGAACTCCTGGATCAAGTATAGTGAGAAATTTTGCCTTCATGCAAGAATTTTTTTTTGATGGAACTAACTAGCATTTGCGTTACACGAGAGGAAGACCACAAGAACCTCCCACAGTAGGCCTGACGGCAATAGGACTCTGACCCATGATCGTCTACAACTAAAGATATTTCACGTCAGCACTGTGGTTGGTACAAGGGGAATTCGATGCGGAATTCGTATCAACCAACTAACCCTCGGATTCGAACCCGATTCACTTCATTGGTAGGCGAACCCTCTATCCCATGTGCCATCACGGCTCTAGAATGGGGCTAGCCGAAGGAATTGCCCTGTCAAGTGCTTAGATTTAAACCCTATCGAGAATTCCTAGGATGATATGAATCGCTGAATTAAGGAGTATCTAATAACTGTCTATATCCCGGAATTGTCTTTTTTAAGACACAAGCCATCACGCTAGGGGAAAGCATGAATTGGACGATTGAGGCAAATATTGTCTCTTATGGAAACATCTACCTATTATTGAATCTGAATAAATTTTGCTTTTCTTATGATATCCAAACACTTAGAAGATTGACTGTGATATCATTAAATATTACTTACGAGATTCACACGCATAGAAAAATAAATCATCTATAGCTAAGCTGTTAAAATGAGTTTCTCCTAAAGTGCACTGAACAATAACACTGAATTCTTCCTGGTTCTTTATCTCAACAACCGCATTTTCCCATTCTTCGTCTGTTTCTTCTCCTGTTTCCCAAAGTGTTTCATACTAGATAAATTACATAGAACGTTAGAATAAATTATCGCATTTTTTTGTAATTTCAGAGAAAAATGTTTAGAACATCACGTTTTAATGAAAAAGTGAAAAATAATAACTATCATGATCTTAGGCCTCTAGTTCTTCGTTTTAGTTTACATCATTATTAAGCTATTATATTATTTAACATTTACATACTGCACTATTTTCACACTTTCATTACAATATAACGAAAATCGGGCCTTGGGGCGAACATTCAAATACAACATTCAGAAATTGAATGTATTTTGATAAAAACATGAAATTAAGTGGGCTATTTTAAATATAACCTCTAGTAGCCATATTTTAGAAACCACTTTATTTTATGGACTCCATGTGTTATATAAAAACAATACATAATGATAATATAATCTCTATAAGCAAAGCCGATTATAACAGCATAACAGCCTATTACGCAGACTATACCGGTATTATTATTAAATCCAGAAACCCAAATCATGCTCTTCAAAAACTACAAGACCATATAGACGAAATAGAAGACTGGTGCTTAAAATGGAAAACTGCAGTAAATGCTGGAAAATCACAAATATTAATTATACAAAAAAGAAGAATTAAAATACTTCCACAACTTCAACCAAAAATGTTCAACATACCAATACCAATAGTTAAAAAAGCAAATTATCTTGGCCTTATAATCAATAGCAAACTCACCTGGAATGATCACATCAAAAGCACAATATTAATCCAAAA